AAATTAAACCAAAAACTTTGTTTTTACTATGGTTTCACGGATTTGTTAATTTAGTTGGTAAATATTTCCTGCTGACTGCTGCCCCAAAAGGATGCTCCCCGTATGCTTATCTGAAGTTCAGAATCCGCGTGATTGCCACTGCATCCAGTGCGGTAAAAACTTTTACTCTACTTTCCGGAAATGGTTATGGGAAACTGCTGAATTTGGTTTTTGCTGGTGACATCCCAATGGCGTGAGAGGTCGGTTTCATTTCCCTGTTTCAAACTCTGCTGTTATGGCTGCGGTTTCCCAAAGTGCAGATGCACTTCTAGCGAATGGAACACTTGAAAAATTATTTTGTATTCCAAATTTAAAATCTTTAAGTATTCGTCTTTAAGTATTCGTCCAGTATTAACAGGTAAGTAAGTAACCAAAATTATATATTTAAAAAGATCAAATTAATCAGCTCCTAAAAAAAGTTTCTTTATACAAATTTTGTTATGTGTAGGAAGTTATGCAATTAATAACTAACGAGATCAACCCCCGTAAAATACTGATTTTTTCAGGGTCCACTGTTTTGTCATCTGAACATTTATGACGCTGGGACAGGAGCAAACCAAAACATAATAAAATTGAGACAATTAATATTGTTCACTGTCAAAACATGGCACTTAACTTGGCACAGATTGCAATGCGGTTGCTCGTTGCGTGGTCAATTTAAAAAAGGATTGCCTTTCCGATTGCAGAGCGACTTCTAATTGACATGACTTGGGTGCTGGTTGCTGTGGAGGCAAATGTCTTCATTAGTTTAATTGCAAACATTATTATTGCTCACCAAAAGTTGCACTTGAATGCGCGGAGCAGCCAGGAAGTTCAGTTCACTCAGCTTGACTCATTTGGCAAACGTTTCCCAGCCAAGCGAGATAATGAGGCAAAGGGCCAAAGCAAAAGGAAAAGGCATGAAAACAAAGTGAATTTATCCTTGTTTTTCGCGCTTATTTTCTGCTTTCTCGCCGCTGCATAAAATGGCTAAATTATACTGATAGAAGGAAATCTCTGGCATCTGCCAAAATGCCAAGCAGTTGGCTAAGTGGGTAAACTTCCGCGGAGTGTTGCAATTCTTTAAACGTTTTTGCTTTTTATTTTGTTCATAGACTTGCCCCATCTTAATTAAAACACAAAAGAGAATGGAGAGCAAGGTACAACTTAAATGGTACGCAAGTGAGCAGAAAAGAGTTTAAATAAAACAAAGAGTAAATAATCGTGGTGATAGAAGAAATATTTGTATACAAATTAGTTTAAGCTCCCTATAATATATATGTACGTACATGTGAACTTTAAGCAATTATCGAAAAGTTACAGAGTGTGAAAAGTACTTATAATAAAAACGGCAAACCGAAGTTTAAATGCCTACGCAACCATACCGAAAATAGATGACAGCGTGCACTGCGCGATGATACATATGATTGCTATAAGATATACTCGACTCAAAAAATGGATTCAAATGATTTAAAATTATAGTATTATGTAAAAAAAACCCGATCGTTTATATGACAGAAAGTTTTATGTTGATAGCTTATAAAGTCCTCCTTTAAAAGCAACAAATTTATGAATATATATTCTTTAAAGGGTCTGATATGTCTCCTTCAATACGTTACAAATCTCTGTCTATAATTAAAATATCCTCTGCAAGGTTATAATAACCTATAAAAAGCCCAAACAGTCAAATCAAGGTTCGATTTTTCAGAAAAACTCTTGGAAATAATAGTCAAATGATAGAATGTCATATCTTGTTGAATTCGTTACAAAATTTGCAATCGATTTGCATCCCAACCAAAAAAATTTTATTTTTGACCAATTTTCGTAAAAAAGTATAATGTAACCCCTTATAAAAAATGCGAAAATCGGTCAAAAATTAATTTTTCCAAATCAACTGATAGTTGATCTGCTTAGTCATTCTTTTGGCTGTGCGTCGTACTTTGGCGAAGTTATAACAAAAAGCTCTTCTAAATTTCAATTTTTTTTTTATAACGAGGTATTACATTCCCACATCAGACCAATATTTTTCAGGGTCTTCCTGAAAAATATTGGTCTGATGTGGGAATGTAATACCTCGTTGAAACGGTATAGAAACAGACCAAGGCAAACTCTTTATTCAACATTTTCCTTGGGTCACAAAATTTAACAATGTCCGCAAATCATCTTACCCCATTCTCAATTTCCACCCTCCTGCTCATCGCACCAAAGATTGCGGAAATTGTCTTTTTTTTAAGCTTTTAGCTTACCATTGCGCAAGTAATATTAAAGTTTCATCAAGGATCCAATTTTAATGCCGAAACGATATTGCCCAACATTGTCTAGTGCTCGCCAACGAAGAAGCTTAAAGTTTTGGCGTAAAAATAATTACTTTTCATTAACACGGACGGCCAGTTTGAGGCTCATTCCTCGCACCTGTTCCTTTCCCTAACCAAAAACTGACAAAGCCAAATAAACTTGACCGACCAAAGGAAAAACATGGACAACGTGGCAAGGAGGAAAAATTAGAAAATACATTTTTCAGCATTAAAAAGTGTTCGACGTGCGGAGATTGCGGTAATTTCGCTTAACAGTTGGTTGCCGACGCCAACAGTAGGTACACATGCTGTGGTGCCAGTCAAATGCACCTGCTCGCCAGGGGTTGCGGTGGGTGGTGTTGGGTGGTGCTGGGTGGTGCTGGGTGGCAGTGGGTGGGTTTTGGTGGGGCTGGGCGGACCTGGGACTCTCGGGAGGTAACCAACCATGTGGGCGGCGTTAAATGTCGAAAGTGCAGGCCAGCTGTCGAGGTGGGCGTGGTTCGCTACCCGGGGCTAAAGGTTGGAGGTGGACGGTGGGTGGTGGTAGGTGAGGGGTTGGAGTTTGGGGGCATGGCAGCAGCTGGCACTTGACATGAGCAACGGCAACGAAACAACTCGAGGGCTTTCAACTACTCTCGCACATTTCGCTTCCGCTTAGAAATGGCGAAAACACATCCCGGCACCCATTTTCGCCCCCGCTCAACCACACAGCATACCCACTGTTTGAAAAATAAAGTGTAACTAAAAAAGCTGAAATGAGATACTGGCAAACAAAAAATAATACAGAGGCCAGAGGGCAGACAGCGCCGCTGGATGGCAAATTTATAACTTAATATCAGATTGTGTCGAGTGGGTTGGCATTCGCAGTGCTGCCGCCACCGCAAAATGCTATTTCTAGAGTGCGTATTTAATTATGACGATTTAACTAAACTCAATTGCTTACCATTCTGGTTTTATTCTACTTGTTGCAATGGCTTAATTACAATTATTGAACCGATTTGTTCGAGCGTGAATGAATTTTGAACATTTATTTTATATTAAAATATTATTCATATTTTATGAATTAGTTATAGTTTAAGTGATTCAAAATATAGCATAGTCGAGATAAGTATACTTAACTAGCATAACATTTCTTTAATTCCAATATAATAAGTCAAATAAACATAATTATTTATTTTTTTCAAATCCAAGATGATGCAGGAAAATTTGAATCCCATTGTAAGCCATAAAAGGCACTAAGCCCACACAATATGGCGTAATTCGCTTAAGCGCTTTCGGCGCAAACATTAACAGCAAAAAACTTCGAGAAAAAAACCGCCAAAATGGGGAAGCACAATGCTTGTAGTTCGTTCAGGACCTCAAAGCGTCACTGGGTCTGCACTTCACCCAGCACTTATGGAGGAAGTATAGCTCCAGGTATCCAACAACTGGCTCCTTTCCCACGCATTGTGTGTCTTCGAAGGACGTCAAAAGACTTGAACACAAGTTACGAAAGCGTTAAATTACAACATTTTGACAAATCATCGGGCAAACAAAGCAACAAAAGCCGTGCCGTCAATAGGGCATTAGAGCCAGCTAAAAGGAAAAACCATTGGCTGCATCTATCATAAATATTTTAAGCCGCAAACTCTGACGATGGCTTTGTGCCTTTGTGCTTTAGACCAAGTGTGTGGGAATGCGTGGCTAATTGCATTACCAGCCAGCTATGTGGCCTCAAATGCCAAGACACGGCCTGATAATCCTTCGTGGCTGCGCCGAGCTCATGGCATTTGCGCCAATTATAGAGTTTTGCAGCAATTAAATTTTAATGAGCAGTGCAATATGCTGTCGGCTGGACGTCGTTTAAATAGCTAGTCAAGCGAAAAGGCCAGACTTTAATACAAATGAATAGCTTGGCAGCTTACACAAGAATAACACATATATTTTTACAACCCTTCTATTGTATTTATCAGAAAATTTATTTGTATAAATAACAATTAATATGAACTCCCAATTAGCAGTTCCACTGTGCTTTCGTTGTAGCATATAATCGTTGACTGCCTCCAAGGGCTTTTAAAATTCATTGATCAAATTAAGGCCTAAACTGTCCCACTTTCGACCCTATCGAATGTAATTTGGCTCTACTTGAATGCATGCATTTGGCTAAAACAAAGCGATGGGTCGCAGCCGTAGGGTTCGCCATCGCATGACCAGGTCATATTTGTCCAATTATATGGCCCTTGTCGCATAAACCGCGAAATGTTAAGTACTTCCGATTTGCATTTAAGATAAAATTGCAATAGGGCCTTATGAGCTAATAAACATGAACAACAAGCAAAATTAACAACAGGACCGCTAAAAATTATTGGGGTAAAAACATTCAATGAAAACAAATCAATTTATTTATTAGCTTATTACCTTAAACCTCTCCTCTTATATATTTGCATGCTAGTAATTGCAGTGTAGATCTTGATAACATTTGGTTTTACTTCCAACAAGTTAAATAAAATAGTTTTTAGAATATAAAAACTTAAAACCGCTCCTGTGCCTTTAAATTGTCATTACTGCCATTGACTTTGACCCAGCAGAATATGGTGACAGTAACCTGGTGATAAATGCTAGGCAAGCTCCACAGTTTACCAGGTCCACATGCAAAGGGCGCAGCGTCCTTCAACTTGACAGTAACCCACTGACACTCGCCCAACAAATATGGATAGTCGTGCGGCGGAACTTATCCTCAGAGAACCGGACATTTTTGCATCCGTTCAGCTGGAAAATGGCTTGAGTAAATCCCAAAACATCCAATTGATTAACAACTCATTCGTTCTGGAAATGTTCTTCAGAATAACGCAGCTTTATCACTTCAAGAACTTTATTTTCTACATATCCGAGAGATTGGATCTGAAGAACAAGGACTCCCAGGAGTTCTTCCACGACTTCTGGACCTATTTTCCACTGGCGCCCAACTTGATAATAACCCGGGAGCATCATGCGGCTATACCGATGATGCAGTTCATCAGCACGCCATCGCTAGTGATGATCTTCACCACGGGTAAAGACGATCCCATCATGGAGCTGGCTGCTCAAAGTCTGCATGGAATTCGTTGGCTCAAGACGATATTTATTCTCTTTCCAAGCTTCGAGTATCGTGAATTCGACTCGAGTCGGGAGTCATGTGCCCACTTCACGGCCGAAATCAAGGACATCTTCGACTGGGTGTGGAGCAAGCAGTTTATCAACACTTTGTTGGTCACGATTAAGGACAACGTCTTCGTGCTGGATCCCTATCCAACACCCTCGGTTGTTAACAATACGGGTGTATGGAGGGCCGAGGATTTCTTCCAAAACTATGCGAAAAACATGAAGGGCTATGTGGTGAGGACGCCCATTTTGTACGATCTTCCTCGGGTCTTCAAATCGGACCGAGCCACCAACACGTTCGAGAAGAACTTCGTGCACGGAACTAGCGGAAATTTATTTCTGGGATTCCTTGAGTTCGTCAATGCCACGCTGTTGGACACCAGCGCAAATATAACTATGGACTATTTGAACATGACGGACATGCTGGATTTGGTGTCTAAGGGAGTGTACGAGACGCTAATCCACTCCTTCACCGAAATAACCACCAAGTACGTGGTCAGCTATAGCTATCCCATCGGCATAAACGACTGTTGCATCATGGTGCCCTATCGAAATCAGTCGCCTGCGGATCAGTACATGCGGGAGGCCCTCCAGGAAAATGTGTGGATACTGATTATCCTATTTACACTCTACATAGCTCTGGCCATCTGGTTGTGTTCGCCTCTGAGACCTCGTGACTTTAGCGCCGCATTCCTGCAGTCCATCTGCACTTTAACCTACAGTGCGCCCACCTTCATCCTTCGCACGCCCACGCTGCGTATGCGTTATCTGTACGTTGTGCTGGCGATCATGGGAATAGTCACCTCGAACATGTACATTTCCCGGATGACCAGCTATTTCACTACTGCCCCACCGTCGCGACAAGTGAACACAGTGCAGGATGTGGTTGAGGCCAATCTGAAGATCAAAATGCTAGCAGTCGAGCACGAAAGGATGGCCAAATCTGCATTGCAATATCCAGCCAACTTTATGCGCCAGGTGGATTTGGTGGACAAGCGCATGTTGGACCTGCATCGAGAGCCATTCAACACCTCCTTTGGCTACACGGTGAGCAGCGACCGTTGGCGATTTATGAACATGCAGCAACTGCATCTCCGGAAGCCCATCTTTCGGTTAACGGACATCTGCGAGGGTCCCTTCTACCACGTCTTTCCCATGCACCTCGACTCCCACCTGCGCTCCCCGATGACCGAGTACATCATGATTGCCCAGCAGGCGGGCCTGATGAACCACTGGAAGAGGGAGGCCTTTTGGGAAGCCGTGCACCTGCACCGTATCCAAGTGCATCTGATCGACGAGGAGCCGATGGCCCTTAGCCTGAGTTTCTTCTCTAGCCTTTTTCGAACGTGGACCTTTGGTCTAGTGCTTTCCGGCATCGCTTTTGCGGCGGAGATGAAGTGGTACGAGTATGTTACTATTAGGCGTCGTCCAGTTATAGGACTTACACGCAAGCCCAGATCGTTTCTCAGGCGATTCATGAAGTTGTGATACGCTGAAAACAAGTAAAATAAAATAGATGCAGTCCTAGGTACAGACATATTTAAGAAGAAAACAATATATACAAAAATCTGTAACGAGTTTCATAACAATTGTATTTTAACAGTTTTTTAAAGCCTTGACTTTGATTGATTTTAAATTTTTGCCAGAGATTACAAGAGTTTTATAAAACACCTCCGATAGTATATAACATGTAAGCTGTATTTCACAAATTATTTAGAAACGATCTTAATAATAAAAGTTTAATTAAGATCATTGGTAATAAAACAGAGTTCTCGCAGTTCCCCTAGAAATAATTTCCAAAGCAAATACAATCCCTGCCAAGACACTCATGACCAACAGTAAAATAAAAGCAATGGCCAAGTGCTGCAGTCCGGCGGATGTGTACTCCCGATTCTCAGGCAATCGCTGAACCAGACCGGCATGCAGAGCAGAAGCAAAGCTACTGCGGGCATAGAAGCTGAGCAGACCGGAGGAGTGGATGCGGAACGTGAAGTACTCGATGTCCCGCCACAAGGTCGAATCCATCTGCAAAGGAAAGGCCAGGTGATAGGAACCAAAGCAGATCCCACTTAGTTTAAATAGCCGCTGCTTCAAGTGTTGCTGCTGTTCGTCGAGGAACTGCCAGTGGTCCTCGGTGACGAAATAGGCGAAGGAGCTGTTGAATTTAGTCTGGTGCTCCGAGAAAACGGCTGCATCCACGGGTCGCAGAAGTTGAAGGAAGTCTTCGGGTAACTCCTTGTTCAGACTTAGCAGGAATTCCATCTCGTAGTCAATGATCATGACGGGCAACTTAGCACTCACTATGTCATCCATGGAGTTGATCTGGGCGTGGAACAGATTCACGGTCAGAATGCTGCCCAAATTGGAGGTGTAGTAGGCGGAAAGGAAAAACCCATGGAAGAACACTGTGGCAAGAAGGAGAAACCGAAGAAGGCAGGGCTGTTGCAACTGTCCCTCGGTAGCTACGTTAATGATATAACAAAAGGAGTCTAGAAGGGCGCCTTGGTAGCCTGGCCATCTTTCGAACATCCTTAGCCACATCAACTCCAGAAGAACCAGGGCCAGAAGAGCTCCCACCACACAGAACCACACGTTCCAGGCGAAAGGCTGAAGTGGGTAGAAATACGTGGACACACTGTTGTAGAGGGGAACCATTAGACACCACTGAACCACCAGCAGCGGATACGTCTTCTCCAGTTCATCATTGGGCATGAATAAGGCGTAGGCATGGGCACAGAACTCCATCTTCCGTTCACGCACCAACTGCAGGGCCTCCTTCATATTAATCACCTGCCCACCGAGGGCATCTGGTGGCATTAGGAGCTCCGAAAAACTGCCATTAATAAATTTCACAAATGTATCGATTATCCGAAAGGTACTTCCATGGTAACGTCCTTGCGATCGGAACAGATGTGGAAGGTCCTGGCGTAAGGGGGTGCTAAATCCGAATCCCTCCACATCCGACCTTGCACTTAAAACCTTTTTCATAGCATTTCCAAAGAACCTTAAAAAGTCTGTGCGGTTCTCGATAGTCATTGAGGGAAATTTGGATACACCGAAGAGCTGGTTGAAGCCCTCCATTGTCTCAAAGTAAACCATAGAGTTGACGAACTGCTGCTTGTAGGCAAAGACCAGTAGTTCGTGAATCGGCTGCATGTCACCAACTTTGTACACATACATTATCATCGAAAAGTAGAAGTGGCGTCCAAGTAGTACCTTATTGAAAACCGTCAATATTGGGTCATCTGCGCCAGTGGTGAACACAAAGCTCATGTGGTTCCTTCGAGCCGATGAGTGAATCATTCGCATTTCCGTATTGTTATTCACTACCGTCTGTGTAGCGGTCTTGCCAAAAGCCTCGTCTATCCGCCGGATGAACTCGTCCACCTGGTCCAAACGTTGATGCGGACTTATAAACCATACGATTTCCTGGAACGCGTTCATTCGAGCAAACGGGGTCAGCAGATTGAGCACGTATTGCATGTTCCAGCTTTTACATGGATGACAAGAAACCACTAACAAAAGGCTAATCACAATTTGTGGCCGCATGTCCTCATCCAAGAAGCTCTACGAATTAATTGAAAAGCCCTGCGATTTGCTAGGCAGGTTAATTCATTTGGAAACATTCTTTTGGCTCTGTTTAATTTGTCCCGAGGGAAAACTTAAACATCAGCTCCCTAAGCAGCCATTAAAACATTTCATTAACAAATGCCCATGTTGCACATTCAGTTGGGGAAGCGATGTTTTCCACTGCTTGCTGCAACCTGAAATCCCTGTCATATTCAAAGTAATTAAATTCACATTTAAGCTTTATATCATTGAGCCCCATGACCGCTATTTTGTGACTCATAAATAAGAGTATTAACCCATTATCTTTACTAATTAGCAAGCTACATAAGTTATCAATAACCTTTAGCTAAGGGTTTTACTTTGAAGCGATATTTTCAAGTTAATATTGTGTTCATACCACTTTTGGTACCTCTTTAGGTAAGATATAAAATAAATATTAATCAATAGCATTCAAAGCGTTCGTATTGAAGGCGTCTTTCCCTCTGGCGATGGATAAAGAGCTCCAAGCAATAGACAACCGAGCTGATGGGTATGCCCAGGACCAAGACAATCCAGGCCGTGTTGAAGAACTCTAGGTTCAGCGACTCCACGGGATACGTGTCCAGGAACACCTTTGCGTAGCCAGCTCGCTTTGCATATCTAAAGGCGATCTCCTCCCAGTGGTTCCACAATCCCGCCTGCCAAACGTTCAGGATGAAGTGGTCCAGAGTTGCCCCGAAACTAGCGTCGGAACCCAAAGGCAAAGCATTGAACAAGCCGCCAAAACACACTTTGGAAAGGTGGAAGTACGGCTGAATTAGCACCTTTTGCTGCCTGTTAAAGAACAACCAAGCGTCCTGGGTGACCACATAGGCATAGGAACGCGAAGGACTCGCCAGCAGGGCCTGATAGTCCTGTCAGCTGCGCGCATCGAACTGCGGATCCAGCGAGGTGGTGTTCACCACCGGCACCCAGCGCAGCTCCTCCAGCAGCGAGTCATGGATGACAATTCGGAGCTTCGAATGGATCAGATCCGACCAGGTGTCAATGGGTCGTAGGAACACGGGCTTCATGTCGAAGGCCGTCATGTGGCTGAGGTGGTAGTTGGTCAGGATGAAACCCAGGATGAAGAGCAGCGTGTAGAAGACTATTACGCGCAGCGAGGCATGCTTAAGCTTCACGGTCATGTTCATATTCGGACTAAACATCAGGATGGCCATGGCGTGGAGAACATTCCGAGTGAATGAACGGGTGGCATTCCCCGGCTCTCGCCAGTGCACATACCTCAGCAGAAGGGCCACGTAGAAGGTGCCGAAGAACAGGCATGTCCAGATGTATCTGCCCAGCGGCCACACCATGTACATCCACTTGGGCAACTCCGGGGCCAGTGGCACCATCACGCAGTTCGTCATCAGCTCCAGCGGGTAACTGTGCCGCATGACGCTGGATAGATCACCGACACTGTCGGGACGAATCGTGACTCCATGAAGCGAGAGGTTGTACAACCCTGCCGCAATGCTCTGCTCCATCACCGATTTCTTGGGCAGACTCTCGACAGGATCAAGGAGCAGCTTGTAGTGCTGAGCCTTGGCAAAGTGCTTCACTATCTCCATGTAGGGTCCGCAGAAGATGGGCCCCAAATGGTTCGATTCGTTGAAGATGAAGGCGTGCGGAATGTCAAAACTGTACGGCGATCGGATCACTCCAGTTGCCAGGTCCGTGTCGACCAGCATTTTATGGCCGACTAGTCAGATTGGCGTGCACCTGGCCACGTTTATATAGTGGACACTCCATCGATGCTACACGCAAAAAAAGCGACCCTGGCAGACTGGCTGGCACCCACGATGCATAGTATACGAAATCCGGTTTATTTGACGTCAAAGTTCAAAGATCTGTCGTTTAATGACACGTTTTTGTGTGCTGCCGATTATCGTTCAGATTATAACTCCATATAGCCAACACATCGATGCGAAGGACACCATAGAAAGTTATATGCCACTTAACAAAAATATTTTTGCGGACGGCACTTTGTTACGAAGCCCGAAACGCCAACAACCCAACCTTTGCGTAGTTATTGGAGCGCAAGTACTTTCACAGTTCACAAAAAGCGTCCAGTTTTTTTCCATATTCAAAAAACAGACCACGAAATTCAGAATAAAAAATTCCTGTGAGAACATCACGGGTGTGGGATTTGTATTTGAATTGGCAGTTTTCATGTAAATACTTTTTAAATTTTTTTCGGGTTTCGAGGCTACAAAACGACGACGATTTCTCCACCCCATTCAAGCTACCAATTGTATGTGTTTGCAAGTGGGCCAGAATAAAAACAGAGCTGCCATTGAAATAATATTGCACTTAAGGGTAATTACAAAATCGTTAAACGCAAAATTAAATGAAACTGGATTGTACAAGTTCACATTGGAGAGTTTTGGTTGCTAGCAATCGAAACCTGTTCAAGGGGTCGTAGAAACGCGAGTTCAGCAAATGTCGAGGATATATTTCGCTCGCGAAAAAGCTCACTTTTATATTTTTTAATTGAAGCGCAAGGAACCATCGAAGTATTAATCCTACTATAGGTAAATGAATACATCAGTTCGGAAAAACTGTATGAATGGCAAAATGGATGATTGGTTTGGCATTTATTTGTAAAAGTATCTTGTGTAAACTATACGCATATGAACACAAAAAAGTGGCAATACTAAGACCATTTAATAGCGTGTTTTCGTTCTTTTAGTTCAAGTTACATTTACATCTTCAATCTTTATCTCTTTAAATAAATTGATTACTGCTATTATTGTCTCTATCAACGTTATCTTTTCAGATTAGAACTTTTAAGAATTGTAACTTGATGAACCTGTAATAAATTGTTTTAAAAAACTTATATTCTAATCTGGATATTTGGGAACATACGTTTTCTTAAATTAAAAATGCATTTTTGATTTATCTTGGGAGCACAATATTTTGTGATTATCACTTTAACTGGACAGCTGGGTAAATGAAGAAATTTGTGGGCTTTTAAATACAACTATATTTAGTTATGCTTGAATGAGTATATAAATATGTAAATATAGTGTAAAAATACTCCTATTTTTCATAAAATATGTAAAGGCAATTAAAATAAATCCATTTCTTCAGTGACGGAACATTCTAAATTTATTCATAGTTTATTTTTGAAACTTTTTACTTTCGCAACCACCCCGAATTTCGACCCGTATTCCGACCCTGAGAACAGCAAAGCGATGCTGATAGCAAACCACATTGAATCGAAACGTTAAGCCCGGCACCACGCCCACTTCCCGCCCCACCAACCCCACTTCTGACGGCTTGGCAAATTCAAATTAATTTATGAGCCAAAATCTTGTTTATCGGCTGATGGTTTGTCGGTTTGGTGGGTTTGTCTGGTTTGCTCGAGTGCTTTAGACTTTCGCTGTTTATTTTTTGCTCCGTTGTTGTTGCTACTTCTGCGATTAGAGGCGGTAGTTGCTCCACAAACGAGTTGTTTTAGAGCGAAGAAATGCAGTCAAATTGCTTTGGCTACACGCCTCATATGCGCTGCTTTTGGAGGCCAATTTCTGTCGGAGATTCATGTGCCTTCGTAGCCGTGATCGTCTAGTGGTTAGGACCCTACGTTGTGGCCGTAGTAACCCAGGTTCGAATCCTGGTCACGGCAATGCTCCAATACGCATTGTCACGGAGAAGGTGCAATTTTTTTTGAGTCACGTACGTCTTTTCAACTTACTATTATACATTGGGTTATATGTTTATTCCATTGTGGAGCCAAAGCTTTGAAGTAAGTCTATATTTCACTTTTTTAATTGAATAAAATCTATGGTTCTGCCCCCAAAAACTATCAATTTGCGCTGGTACACTATAATTTTAAAACGTCGTTTTCGATAAGAGCATTATTCTTTTTGGAGTAGAAAGAGATAAGGCCAATATATAATTTATGGTTTAAATGATATCTCCCACTGAAAACATTTTTAAATAAGCAAGGCTATAAAATAATAAATATACTTAAAAATAAGTCTTTACCTCCTAGGCAATATATTCTCCAAGGATATGTCAAACGCAATTGATTTATTTAATCTCTTAGTAAAATACCACACGTTAAAAAGTAAGGAAAAAGCACCTGAGCTTGGGTTCAATTGTCCTGCCTTGCGGCTTGAGTTGCGAATTCAACAGCGGCTGGCTTTGACTTGAATTTTAATTTAATTGTGAGCAATTGACAGAAATACAGAAAAACCCAATCCGGCACTTCGACCGAACGATATTAAGACGCTGGCAGCTGGTGTTGACATAAAAACGCAATAAAAAATGCGGGCACCGAAACGAAGCAGACGTTGCAGTACTCAGCAATATAAACTGAGACTCTGAATATCCTTTTGACTAATTCTGTTTATAAGGAAAATAACTCTGTACCTTGACCAAAGTTATTATTATAAGCAAAAAACCAACTTAAAAGCAAATGTATTAAATTTCAATCAATGTCCTTTAAATTCTTATCTAATTGCTTAACTAAATGTCGTAAAATTAAACTTCACATTGTATAATTAAAAATAGCAAGGCTCATTATCTCTTAAATTTTCCCGCAGTTAGTTAAAAAATAATATAGGAAAGCTTTAATTTTAATTTGTGACCTGTATCCTCTGTATATACTATACCTGCATTGGGTAGGTCTACACGGTATCGGCCAAAAAATCACTCAAAATCAATTGAATGTGGCCAGCACTGGTTTGGCTGTAGCAATGAGGGAAATCACCGTGAAAATAGCGACGACAATGCGTTTTGTTGTCGCTGCGAGCAAGTGCTTATTGGATTTTTGCCGTGAGAAGCGGGTGACAGCGTTTGGAAGTCATTACGGTTATGGGTATGGGATTGGGTTTGATTTTCCGTTTGGGTACGGGTATGGGATCTCGGGAGCACCGACCGGTGGCACCGACAGCTGATGCGCCGGAGCCTTGATCAAAGCCCGGAACAGACGTCCCCATAATTGCTACGGCACGGTGAGAGTCTTGTCCCACATCCAATGGGAATTTAAATTTTCCGCAAATAAAACGGCCATGTGAGACAATCGTATTATTTACCATACACAATACAATACACGTACAATGCAATGGCCATTTCCATGCCGTTTCATTGAAAATAAAGTAAAAATACAAAAATATTAACCACAAAAGCCTTGCTCCCATCTGTGGGGGGGGTTTGTGGGTTGTGGATGGTGGGCGTTGGGTGGTGTGCAGTCGCCTGTATTTATGCATTTATATTCGTCCGTTTCGCTGTGAGTGTGCATATCGAATGGATAAAAGGGATTTGCGTTTATTTCGTTCTGCGTCTGGCCTGGTGAGTCCCCAATAATATATACATATATGGCCTGTCTATATGGCCGATGTCTGCCGCCCATTTCGAAACGCAACACGCCGGAAACATTTTTGTTGTGCCATTTCCATTGTTATACAATTTTGCTTAACACATTCACAGAAACGACGGAGCCACCCCAGTTCTTTTTTATATTTCATAAACCATGGAGGATGGGTTTTCCCGTCATGTTATTCCAAACAATTGTCGTTCACGAAGGTTCCTGTTTTAAAAGGCGGATCCCAACATGTAAAATACAATAAATATGTCAATAAATTCTAGATTTTTCTTTTTGAATTGTTAATTTGTTAACCATTTGAAATTCAAACATTAAGCTGCCAAAATAGACACTGTTTTATATGTTCCAAAAACAAAGGTTTCCTATAATTTAGAGGCAACACACAACTTAAGTTACTCTGATGTTGATTAAGAAATGAAAATGTTTTAGCTATTGATACATTTTTCATTGAGCTCTGTTTAATCAAATCCGCATTAAAATCCTTCATCTACAGCTCTTTTCTAGACATTTCCAATTGACGCTCGTTCAGCAGTTCTTAAAGTCTACTTGTTCTTAAACAAGTAGCGGAAATGATCGTTTGAGCGCTGCTAATTGAATAAACCTCCAACCACAGCAGGGGAATAATAACAAACTCAAACTTCGTTGACTCATTCCACATATTTAAATATATTTGGTACCTGATATTAGCTACAAATTAAATAAGCAAATGCAAGACCACACATATAATTTATACAATAGCAACGCGACGAGGGCACGTTTTAGTTTAGAATTGGATGCATTTATAAGTGCAATTGTACGTGTCTCCGGCGGTGGCAGTTGAGGTCGCAGTCGCCCCAATAAGTTAAAATAAATTAAAAACTAAACGAGTAACAGATATTAGCACGTGCATGCAGAAATGAGATGGCGGGTGGGCAGAGGCCGGGCGGATAGCCTACTGGACCTTCTTGGCCTCCTTGGGCGCAGCGGGCAGTCGCTCCACGGCCTCCTTATAGAGTTGGTTCAGGCCGAAAGTGGCACGAACATTGTCGCTGGAGAAGAAGAACTTCTGCATCTTGCCTTTGGAGTCGTAGCAGGGTCGGCGGTCCGTCTCCTTGCCCTTCTGAAACAGGATCACAGTGGGCAACTCCCGGTGGTTGCCCTCCGAGATGCGGTACTTTTGGGCCACGTCCGGGAAACGTCCAATATCGATTTTGCCGAACTTCAGGTGGTCCGTGTTGTACTCCGCGGAGAGCTCGGCATAGATTGGAGCAAAGTTAACGCAGGAGGGAATCCACACTGTGTAGAAGCAGATCAGCCAGCTGGTGCGCTTGTCCCGGACCAACTCCTCCTCCAAGACTTGTGCGTTGCGGAAGTAGGTGATGTGCTCGGGACCGCGGTACGAGGGCTCCGGCAGCACCATGCCCACCAGGACGCACAGCAGCAGGAAGCCCAGGCCGTAGCGAAAGTCAGCGTAGGCCCACAGGATGGCATTGGCCACCTTTGTGTAGAGGAACGACGAGGCCAAATAGTTGATCATGGTGACGCTGCCAGTCTTGCGCGACCGTATCATGACCACGATCAGCAGGAAGAATAGGATCTCCACCTCCCTACTGTCCAGATCGCAGTCCTCCTCCTCTCCAACGAGATTGAAGAGGCGGGTGCAGATGAACTTCGTCTTCTTGGCCAGCATGTACGAAATGGCCAGCAGGATGTTCACCCAGTAGTAGGGTTTGGCCAGCAGCGCCAGCTGCTTCTTCCACGTCATCGCTGTGTCCGGGGGCTAAGTGCGCTGATGTGGGTCACGTTTTTAATTAACAATTTCCCGAGTTTTTCTTTTCTCGCTTTTGACAGCCAATTGTTAATTTTAGCCTCGCCGTTGACTAGAAATTAGCAGCCTAGATGTCTTGCACAAGCGTTGCCACCTGTTAAGGAAACACTGCTGACGCGAACAGTGTTGTAAAATCCGAGCAGCAACTTGGCGCAATTTCAAATTCAAAATTACTTTAAATCTTCAATTGCAAGAAATTTCTTTGAAATATATTTGTGTATCAGCAAGTTTTTTACGCAATATAGGACACTATATTATGTTATCCCTACTGAAAGTAATCAATACTCTTGTTTGTTAAATATTCTTTTCTAAGAAATATTTATTTAAACAAACCAAGTAAAAAGTCGAAGCTGCATTTTTGTTTTTTCAAAAAGCGTCTACAAATGATAAGCGTATCGTTTCGATGCCTGACTTCGTTACATCAGCATTTTGGAAGAGTCATTGACGGATTGTTGAACTTTGCCAGGAAGGCCCCAGAACAAAATAAGTAAAAACTCATCGAGGATCTTTGTTATCTGAACACACGCCAAGTTATAATCTGGGAAAAAGACCGGCTCTACGTGATCTCAGACACTCGTGGCATCCATCACTTGCCTAATCATTAAACTAATATTGTTTTTTTTTTGCTGTTGTGTATTTTGGAAATTAGAATGTGTTTGAAACTGTGTGCATACTGTGAGAATTTTGTACCTACTTCATAGAGCACCATCAGTATTATCAGATTAATGTTTTTTTTGTAGTAAACACTTTGCGCGTCACTGAAATAAACGATTTATTTATAATCGTATTATTGAGACCGTTTTACGAGGGTCATCCCCATGATCCCCATCGGATCACCCACCTATTTACTGGTTTCACTAGTGAGCCTTTCTTTGTTTCACAAAGATTATTTCTTAATGCATTATATGCATTTAATACACTGGCAAATACAGGGGGTTAAAAGTGGGTTTTGTGTGTATTAGTTTAATCTTAATAGGTTTTGAGCGAAACTATTCATGATTTTGTTTTTTCAATCTTGTAAAATCTTTCCATACGGCTAATAATCAGTACTAAAATTCTTAAAATAAAAAACATTACCATCTTTAATAAATAAGATTTAAGCTCGTATAAAAAAACTATCTTATTTAAATTATTTAAGGAAAGGCAACGTTTACTGAACTTTAATTTAATGTTCATTGTCATAAATATAAATGTTTCCTTCTCAACTTTATTAGAAACCAATAAATCCAACATCTTGACGAATCACTTAAATTAATGGAGCAAAATCATTAACATTCTCCACATTATAAACATACAAATGAATTTGAAATAAACAACATGCAAGTTAGGTCAGTATTTAATAATATTATAATCGCAAATGCCTCTGACTATATTCTAGAGTGTGTCGATAACCAGATTCGACTGGTTTTCAAACACAGCCCCAGTAGATTACTGTCTATTTCAGTACTGGGACAAAAGAGACGGGTACTAGAGCCCTTAATATTGCTTAGACTAGCAAATCTCGTCTAGAGATCCAGGTTCCTGATTCCCAGAGATGTCGTTAAGCAGCTGCCTCAATATCAACTACATCTGCTTCCCAGCCCATCGAAACTTCCCGTAAAGCTTGGAAACAAATGGGCCTCTATAACAGACCAAAACAACGACAAATGCAGCTGATAAGTGGAACAAAATGGCGATGAATTGCCGGCTCCATTATCGCGCTATCAAGGCAGCCTGATCTCCTGTCCCCCGTGTATCACCCCGGAGCTGCGATCATAGCACGCGGTCTATAAATCGCCATCACTCCTAGGCGGCAGCTTCAGTTCAGTTTCGAACCCTTGTGCTGAGTGTTCATCTCCGAGTACCAGAGACATCTTTCGCAGATCATCGAGCAATTTCGTGAAATAAAACAACTGGCATTTAATGCCTCCCGATCTACAGTGCTAACACAATCCAATCCCCTTTCAATTGGTTCAACTTAGTTGAAAGTATAAAAAAACAAAGACAATCTGGGACACATTTCGATAAGTGCGAAATACTCCCCAAACACCCATTTGTCGCGGACTTTGAGTTTGGCTTTTGAATGCTGCTGCTGCTGAACGGAAAAATCATAAACCTCGATCGGCATTTCGCAGAGTGCTGGAAGCTAAGCTTTATAAGAAACTTTGAATTTTTCTCCCTCCTCAGTGTTATTTCCCTAACCGGTAAGTTGTTATAGCAATAACTAAGGATTCGAATGACTAATAAATACTTTGCAGCTGCTAAAATGGCCGCCATTCCCCAAGGTGCATTCGCCGCATGCAAGATCCGCGAGCAATTTAACGAACGCGAGATGATCGTCGCCCGTCTGAGGTCCGCTGCCTCCGATAAGGGTTCCGTTGACAACGGCAACGCTCTAACCCGTAAGTCCTCAATCTCGATCCGTATGGGTCAATGGATCGCTTACTCATCGACTGATCGATCTTTTCAGAGCGCGAGTACTCCCCGAACAAGTACAACGACAAGCTAATGAACTCCATCTGGGGCCTGTACAATCGCTATTCGCCCCATAATGTGAAGAAGAATGAGTACGCCCCCACCAAGTGAAGACCTAAAGGGGGCACGACGGCTTCCTCAAGGTCCAGTTGTCGTGTCCCAACTCCGCCAGCATCCCCACCAGGATGTTGGCCCCCCTCACTTATATACTCAAAAAACTATAATCTCATACACTATAATCTCATACACTATAATCTCAGACAATTTAAACACTTGAAAACCGTTGTTAACAAATATATACATATTTTATTATATTATGTTTGTAAATGTCACTAAATACTTATGATATTGCATGTAAAGGAACAAATCAAAGAAGCCTAATTTAATTTAATGCTTTTTATATAAGTGGAAACTATATCCACACACACTGTAATCTCAATCAATCAAATATCTATTTAATTTTGTAATGTTTGTAAATTTCAATAAATACTTATGATATTGTATGTAAAGGGACAAAACCATGAAGCGTAATTCAATTTAAATAGCAGGACTCGTAGGTCGGGACCATGTACTTGATATTGATGAAGGCATCTTCGCCGCCGTGCAGTTCCAGGACCTGCAATGTCTCGTCGATCAGATCCCCCAGATTCAGGTTGTTCTTCTGGGCATAGTCGATCTCATCGCCGCAGTTTACTGTGAGATTAAATGAACACATGATGAACCAGTAAAGCTGTGGCCCATGGAAATACCTACAGTTTTTCACTTTGAAGGCATTAAACATGGGCAACAACTGCCTGTAGAAGGGCACCAGGGCGGGTCCCACCAAATCCGAGGACATGACCAGCTGTTGGATTATCTTCAATGTCGTGCACATTACCTCCAGGTTTCGTGTGCTCAATGCGTCTGAAATGGGGGCGGATTTGAGTTCGTAGTTTGTATGAATTCGGATTTGCAAGGTGCAAATTAGACCGAAAAAGTTCGAGGCATTTGCGTGCCAGGCGAATCCCTGGTACTCACTCTTCAGCGGCAATATTAATTGCGGTATCACCGGGTGTATCTTCTCGCCCCCGGCGAGCAGTAAGTCCGTAACCCCCTGCCGGGCATATGTCTTGTACGGGTGCTTGGTCTCCGCCAGTCCGTCGAAGAATAGCGGCAGATAGAGGCTGTAGTCCAGCTTTTCAATATCCACCTGTTCATTGGAACGAAGAGGGAAGGGAAAAGAACAGCGGGTCAAAGGTGAATAGAGCGCTCGGAGTTCGAAATTGGTTCGTGTACGAAAAATGGGAATATATTATTAACCTGTACCTGCCTATAGGGATTATATTATAAGTCTAGTCTAATCTTTTTTCGCAAAAATGTGGTTGTTACGGTAGTCTGAAAGTCCAGACGCCGCAAATTTTCAACTCAGGTGATCAAAACTGCTCACATGTCGTTGGCGTATGTTAATAAGTTCCTTAATTTTTTTCTTTCCTGGTGCATATTAGGGCGATCAAAATTTTTTAATTTATACTGTGTGCACTGTTTCATTTAAAGAACCGCAATATAATTGTTTTAAGCAATTCGTTTCAAATCACTCATACGCACTGATGCACTGATTATTATCAATAATTAATTTTTAATGCAGGTGGCATAAACTCAGTTTTATTTTGTGCCAAAAAAAATAGGTTTCTTGTTCTTTAGCTGTTGACTCTTATTTGAACGAGATCAATAAGTTGAGAATGGGAGACATACGTCGTATGAGTAATTTTTAAGGAAACTCACATTTCTCAGTCTTGATACATGAACTCTCGAAAAAGAAATAAAACTGGTTGGGGAAATACTTATAGGTATCTCCAATTAACGGACATCTTTTCTGTCTTGAAGACCTAACCGCATTCCAATTTGCATTAATTGCAGAAAAGAATTTATAATTAAAACCCCGGCGACATCTCGGGTATCGCAGCTGCGGGCAACTCACACATGGGGTTCCCCGACTTCGACCTTCGACCCAGTGACGCAAATGAAGTAGTGTCACTCACATATCACTCGAATGCACACGAGCTGTCACGGCGGCATTTCGGCCTAGATAAACAAACGCACCGCCCAAAAGACATCCGCCGCACACATATGTGGGTGTATCCGTGGAACACCCGCCCAAGGTCTGTGACATTGAACCAGCTAGAAGGGTCACACGTATCCGGTGGCAAAAGTAGGATCCCTATGCCATTCCAATCCGTGAAAAACTGACTGACAGTTGGACGGTGCGACGTTTTGAATGTCAGCAGTCGCATTCCGGCTGGAATCGCTTGCCCGTCACTACGACGGTGCTCTACTAACTCCGGAAATAGACAATGGCATATTATTTACTCGTTTTCGCTTTTAGCTGCAACACTTGAAATAATTGAACACGCAGATGTACGAAATTCGAGCGAAACTCAAATAGTTGCTTCGCCTATAGGTCACTGAGTAGTAAGGTTACCCCTTTTAGTGACAGTCCTGCGATTTGTTTTGATTTGCATTGATTCACATTGGATTAGATGTAGTTGAAGTTACTCGACTCTAAATAGCAACTGGCATATGGAAATTTCTAGTTGCTGAACCTTTGCAGTATGAAAACAAATGTTTACGTACATAATTCTTAAGGCGATCTTAAGACTTAGCTTTAAAGGAGTATATTCTTGACTTCCCTGCTTGGACTCCTGTTTAAATAAAACTGGCTTTAAAGGGGTTCTAATATCTAGATTTTCGTAAGGGAGTCAGTTAGGTGATTAAATATATAAAATATTTGTGCGATGTTTTCTAAGACAATTATAAAAAATAGTTCAAAAGACAATAACCATTTACTTTTCTATGCAAAAGGCAACTAACGTAAATTTATGATGGAACCCCAGAAACCAAAACTTCGTGCTTTATGTACTAATCGAAAACACTAATGACCTAATGGAATTGGTTATGTGTTCTCTACCACTCTATACCCCTACTCACCGTCCAGCCGATCTTATCGCCTCCGCACAAATACTCCATCTTGATGGGCAGGTCACCGCGGTCAAAGTACATCCGAAACAGGGTTCCTCGTCCCGGATCGTTACCCCCACTCGCGGCACTTCCATTAAGACCCATGCCCAGATTGAAGGTGGACATGGACTTTTGCTGCCGCCTTAGAACTGGAAATGAGTATACGGAAATGGTAAAGGAAATCATTAGGGAAACAAACAGTTAACTGTGACAGGCAGACAAACAGACAAACAAACAAACAAACGCACTTTTCGGGGCCCGCGCCCTGGCACTGGCTGTCTTGGGGGCGGACTCATGGATGGGTCCGTCTATGACGACGGTGTTCTTCTGCTGCGACTGGATGGAGAAGGGCGGCACGAGACGGGAGGAGACGGCCGCCCCGTGGACGCCGCTCAGCGGACGCAGTGGCGCCGGATGGGCGGACTTGGAGCGGACTGGTCTCAGCGAGATGGCGGCGCTATGGTGGTAGTCGTGGTGCGTCGGACGCCTTCCCGTGGCGGTGCGTGCCGTTTGGGCCATGGCCAATCCGGAGTGCGACGATGTGCAGCCACGTAGTGTAAACAGCGAACTGCCGAGCAAAGGAATTTTTTTTGGCCTGGCACTCCTGGTGTTGGCGTTGCTGTTGGGTGTCGTGTCGTTTCTATGGAGCACGTTGCTAGGGCTCCCCCGGCGGCGGCTTAGTGACCGATAAGCCAACAGCTAATGCCGCTTACTCGGATTCGGTTTCGGTGCTCTCTTCCAGTCGCAATTATTACAATGTCAAACCTCGAGGCAAACCCCAAGCCGGTTAGCCCCGAAGGCGCCAGTTATGTTGCTCTCATTGCTTGTATTATCAATGGTCTGTGCAAATAAATTCACAATCTCCGGAGGCACATTTATTTGCAAAGAATTTTTATGAAGCCTTGCAGGTCAGCGAACCCTTCGGAGCTGGGTTAATCGGGGTTCTTTGGAACCCGCAGATTAGTAACTACAAATTGATGTAGCACTCATCAATCTTTCTACCCAAATATATATAAATATAAACATTTAATTTCCAGCATACATTTTAACAATTTGTCTCTTATAATAGTTCACATAAATGTGCTGCGAGTGATCTGATAGTGATTTAAAATAATTTAATATGCGTTTAATAAAATAAAGTATAAGATTAAATTCGTCTATAACAACATTGTTAATATTAACAAAAATGGAAGTCAACTGCGGCCAATCAAAGTGTGTAAAACGCTTGTAGTTATATAAAATGTAATTAATAAATAAACGATCCAACTATCTTAGTTAGGTAACAAAACAGTTCATAGTGTATATATTGCAGTAAAGTTGATTGAATTCTATAAAGATGAAATATTTGACCTGCACAACACAAGTTTTCCAATTTGTCAAACTCACTTATGTCGTCTTAAAGTTTTTCTTAGATTAGGTTTATTTTTGGTATCACTTAATCAATCCAATCAGGGCTTAGGTCATACAAAACACACAAAAGCTTATTTCTTATCAGTAGCTTCGCAGATTTTGAAAACTTTGAATACAAAGAAGAAGCATTGCACTATGCATTTATCATAGTTAAAAAAAATGTAGTGCAAAATTTTGTCTGACCGGGATGGAGTCGTGATCTTTGATATGCACTTTTAAACTTAATTAATTTTAATATGCGCGCCATCTAATTTAAATAAATGACTAACCTTCCTAACCAGCACTGGCGCTTTGTTTACGTTTTTCATTAGAGCACTGCGGCTGTTCGGCAACGCCGCGCCTTACTGTCTGGCAACGCTACACCTGTCTATGCGGGTGGCGTGTTGTAAAGTGCTCGAACAGAACCCTCACATCCTAGCCAACACTGAACGAGAGCGAATAAAGAACAAAAGTGTGATATGTCGCTGTGAAATTCCGAATTATCTGTGTGTTTTTGTGCTAATCTGAAAGTTTCGCGCATAGTCAGGACCGGCGGAAACCGATAAGCATTGAGATGGCGGGTAACATGTCCTCCAGCTCGAACGGCGAGCTGAAGAAGCTGTCGGAGGAGTCGCTGTTGCAGCCGCCGGAGAAGGTGTTCGACATAATGTACAAGCTGGGCGAGGGCAGCTACGGATCCGTGTACAAGGCGCTCCACAAGGAGAGCAGCTCCATCGTGGCCATTAAGCTGGTGCCCGTGGAGTCCGATCTGCATGAGATCATCAAGGAGATATCCATTATGCAACAGTGCGACTCGCCGTACGTGGTGCGTTACTATGGCTCCTACTTTAAGCAATATGACCTGTGGATCTGCATGGAGTACTGCGGCGCCGGCAGCGTCTCGGACATCATGCGGCTACGCAAGAAGACACTCACGGAAGACGAAATCGCCACCATCCTGTCGGACACGCTGAAGGGTCTGGTCTATTTGCACCTGCGCCGGAAGATCCACCGCGACATCAAGGCGGCCAATATCCTGCTCAATACCGAAGGCTATGCCAAGTTGGCAGACTTCGGTGTGGCCGGCCAGCTCACAGACACGATGGCCAAGAGAAACACGGTCATAGGGACTCCCTTCTGGATGGCCCCCGAGGTGATCGAGGAAATCGGCTACGATTGTGTGGCCGACATCTGGTCACTGGGCATCACCGCCCTGGAGATGGCCGAGGGCAAGCCTCCCTACGGTGACATCCATCCCATGCGGGCCATCTTCATGATCCCCCAGAAGCCGCCACCATCGTTCCGGGAGCCTGATCGCTGGAGCACCGAGTTCATCGACTTTGTGAGCAAGTGCCTGGTGAAGGAGCCGGACGATCGGGCTACGGCCACCGAACTCCTGGAGCACGAGTTCATACGCAACGCCAAGCACCGATCGATCCTGAAACCCATGCTGGAGGAGACCTGTGCCATTCGCGAGCAGCAGCGGGCCAACCGTAGCACCGGCGGAGTGGTAAGCAGCCAAGCCAAGAGTCTGGCCACCCAGGAAAACGGCATGCTGCAGAACATACTAAACAACGTGTTTATGGAGGATCCGGGAACCCTGGTGCCGGAGAAGTTTGGCGATTACCAACAGAGCTCGGCATCGGATGCTACCATGATAGCGCATGCGGAGCAGGGTGTGGACGAGGGCACATTAGGTCCGGGAGGCCTGAGAAACCTGGCAAAGGCAACTGATCCCACGGTAGGCGGCGCAGCAGCCTTGTCGGCTGCATCTCCCTTAGATGTTCCGGCAGTTGACAGCGGCACAATGGTGGAACTAGAGTCAAATTTGGGTAAGATAGTGGTTTTGAATATGTTAGAGACATTAACATGGCTTTTCAATACTTAGGCACGATGGTCATCAACTCGGACTCGGACGACTCCACAACGGCCAAACAAAACGACGATCAGAAGCCGCGCAACCGCTACAGACCGCAGTTCCTGGAGCACTTTGACCGGAAGAATGCCGGCGATGCTCGCGGCGATGAGAAGTCTATGCCCACCGAGTATTCCCCGGCTGCAGCCGAGCAGCAACAACAACAGCAGCAACAGGAGCAGCACCTGGCCAGCGGAGCTAATGATTTTAACAACTGGGAGCACAACATGGAAATGCAGTTTCAGCAGATCTCCGCCATCAATCAGTATGGGCTGCAACAGCACCAGCAGCAGCAACAAGTTCTTATGGCTTATCCTCTGATGAACGAACAGCTCATTGCGCTCAACAACCAACAGAATCTGCTGCTTAGTAATGCAGCTCCGATAGGCCAGCAGGGAATCCCGGCAGCTGCGGCTCAAGCTCAACCGCCGCCCGCATATCAAAACCAGCATATGCACACGCAATCGCACGCGTATGTGGAGGGTGAATTTGAATTTCTCAAGTTCCTCACCTTTGACGATCTGAACCAGCGGCTGTGCAACATCGATCATGAGCTGGAGCTGGAGATCGAGCAACTAAACAAGAAATACAATGCCAAGCGGCAACCAATTGTGGACGCCATGAATGCGAAGCGCAAACGCCAGCAGAATATCAATAATAATCTGATTAAGATATAGGAATAGCAACTCACAATTTCGCATGACAACTGAAAATTGAATTTCAAATCTCACAAGGACCTTTACATTGGGTTGAATTTGCAGATAAATGCCGGACATTACAGACCCACAATCTGTATCCTCAAAAAATTGTTCATATATTGAGCTTATTCGACTGATGTAAAGGCCTAAAAACCAATCACAAGAAATGAAAACACAAAAGCTTTATTGTAAAATGCAGTGAAAACAGGATGAAATGTAGTCAAAGGAGTCGTCGGTAGAATCTTCCAGCACGAATACTTGTGTTCTGTTTGTTCCATTTTTGGTTTTCATCACATTTTAGTTTGGTTTTTTATGTTTTATCTTCCATTGATCTGTCTTCTAGTATTGATATCTTCAATCCAAATTTATATTGTGTTTATTATAGCTGCCCAACTGCCTAAGCCTTATCTTTATTTATAAGACTACTATTATTATTATTCGTTCTTCCTTGTTAACTATTAACCTTAATCTCTTTATAAACCTTAATTTTGGTCTTCGTGCGAAAAAAACAGTAACCCGTCAAGCAATAATTATAAAGGAGAAACATTTTTATACGCATTGGAATGCATATTTTTCGAAAGTATATTTCTCAAAGCAAAATGCACAGAAGCACTCACATATAAACATTTATATATACCTAGTACTTTTAGCAATTATAAATAATTTACACAATAAATATATAGGAATATATGAAGCAAAAAATTGTATACAATCGATTAAAATTTCTCTTGACCTATTAATTTTGAAATGTTTAATAAGAAAATGGTCAGCTCGTGTCTTATGATATTCAAGGACAGAAAAGGTCCCTTCTTTGATTTAATTCTCAATTGTATCTAGTCTTGTATATCCATTTCCTGAGTTGCCTGTTGCATATCCTGCAACTGTGCACGCAAATCCTCGGGCAAACTGTGTTCGTTCAAGGCACTGGGATCTTCGCCATCGACCACTATCTCTTCTGGATCTGGGGCTCGTGGCAGAAAGTCAGCATCCGCGAAGAGTTTACCAAATATGTGGCGAGCGTTAGCGATGGCCGCGTCATAATCCAACTCATAGGTTGGGGTATCTGTGTAGTGAATGTGCTCGGCAGCGACACTTTTATTGGACTGGGCTACAATTGTGAAATATGAGCTAAATATTATTTGTGCATCAGAGTGATCGAAGAGTTGGCTAGTAAAAACAGCTAGATCAGCCGCAGGATCTTCGCTTACAGCGGGCGTGGTTAAGTGAAAGATGTCTGAAAGAAACGCACTCATTAAATATATATCAATCGCAAACTTTCTACGGATTCTTACACAATCCCTCAGGGCAGGCTCCTGTGTAATGCGCCAGTTGAATTAAGATGGCTTCTCGTGATCCATCGGCATCGAGCAATCGCAAAAGATTCACACCACCACCGCCCTTATTTAACTCCTCGTTTCCCAAGGGGCTGGATGATATGAACAAGCCCCGTGAGATGTGAGGCTTCATCTCGATGCCCTTTGAAACTGGTGGATATCCAGGGGCAGAGACCACATTCTTTGCTCGCAGCGTTTTCCCTGCGCTACTCAACAGGAATTCATTCGAGCTGGAGTCCAAGGCAATGTCGTCAACAGCTCTCTTCAGGCAATAAATGCCACCATATACGGCGCACAGTCGGCAGAAACACTGCGGCAGTTCGCCGCAGCCATACATGGGAAACAGGAAGGGTGTGTTGCCATAGCGACCCAAACTGCCAAGAAATCGTTGCGTGCGCTGCATACCCTCCTCGAAGCTGGTGGTGGGGCCACACATCGCGATGGCCTGCATCACGCACGATGATATCTTTTCGGTCACCCGCTGCGCCTGCAGGTACTCCTGGAACGTGCGCCCACGGAACTCCAAAGAATCTTCGTTGCACTTGTCCTCGCCATAGTCATTGCAGGCTGTAAGGAACTTCATTAGAAGCCGCTTCTCAACAATGGTCAGCGTCTTGGTGTTAAAGACGTCGCTGCGGGAGCAGGGCACGGATACAATCTCCCCGTTGTGCCGCATACACACATGGTCAACGGCTCGGAATTCGGCATAGCGGCAGATATTTGACTTGATGAGCAATTGAACCAGCTCCCCGGCAGCGTACAGGATGCGTGGGCAGAGATCCAGGCTGAAGCGACGCGATTTGGCCAGCATGGAGTCTCTGTTCCAAGGTTGTTCGCCTGTTTCTTTTTCCGTGGTGTGCCAGTTGTAGCTGCCATTTCGCAATGTCGAATGGGGTTCGGATTTCTGATCCAAACGCGCACATAGAGCGTCTATGGTGAAGGAGCTCCACACATCCCCGTAGAACTCATTGCTGTCTAGATGTAGCACCGACTTGCCCACTCTGCTGCCCGCAGCGGCGATGCAGGATTCGGTGAAGCCTGAAAAGGGCGTCCCTCAATGACTCATTCTTGGTTTAAACTTGAAATAAAGTCTTGATATTTACCTGTGCCTATGACCACCAGGTCGAACTGCTCCGGCAGGTCATCCGACATCTTTTTAGATATATTATTACTACTAGTTAAACAATATTTAAAGAGAATTTAAGTAATTTGTGAATTTATTGCGAATTTACACACAAACAGCTGATTAGGGATGCGCAACTAACGGTGACGTCAACGACAACCAGCTGCTCACAGTGTTCGCTAATTTCTTAAAATAGCCAAAAAGCCAAATGTGAGTTCAAAAATCAACAGGTGCAATAAGACAACACACACACAGGCGCAGGTGGCTTGTAGTTGTGTTAGCCGCTACCATGGAAACGGAAAAATCGTAAACAAAAGCCGGAAAATTGTAGATCGCAGAATGTTCCCTGCCACAAAATAGGAAAAAGCCAAAAATGTCCTTCGAAAAGATACTGTACAAATATGAGGAACCGCACGGGATTGGTGATGTGTACTTCATTTGGCAGAAGGCTCTTTTGGCCACCACTGGAACCGATGGCTCCGTCGCCCTGTACAATCGCCAGGGGCAGCTGGTGCAGCGCATCATACTCTCAGGGTAAGACAGATATAGTCTAGGAAGTAATGGCCGAAATAAAACTTGGTCTCCAGGCTCTGTTCGGGATTCGCATGGGACCAGGAGGGCGACTTGCTCGGCATTATCAACAGTGGCTCGCCAAACATAACGCTGTGGGACTACACCAGCCAGGAGAAGATCAGCGTGGAAACAGGACTGCGGGATCCGTTGACTTGCATCCTTTGGTCCAAGCAGCAGCAGCTACTGGCCGTGGGCACTGGACGCGGCAACCTGGCCATCTACAACCACCGCAGTGGAAAGCGACCCACTCCGGTGCTCGGCAAGCACAGCAAAAGAATCACCTGCGGCGCCTGGTCCGCTCAAAACCTGCTGGCTCTCGGTTCGGAGGACAAGAGTTTCTCGCTGAGCAACGAGGATGGGGACACGGTGCGTGTTGTCCAACTAAGGGATGCACCCACCGATATGTACTTTGCAGAAATGGCCAACGATGAACGGATTGCCGGAGACAATGCCATCAGCATGATCATCGGAAAGCGCACACTGTTCCTCTACTACCTACCCGAGCCAGAGAATCCCACGGAGCTGGGCTTCCAGAGTCGCTATGGGTCGCTGATGCAGCACAAGTGGTTCGGTGATGGCTACATCCTGTTGGGATTCTCCAACGGACATGTAGTAGCGATCTCCACGCATCCCAAGGACGTGGGCCAGGAGCTGTGGCAGGTGAAGAACCACAAGGACACGCTGACGGGGCTAGCCTACTGCCCCACCTTGGATATAGTGGCCTCCTGCGGAGACGACAGGTAAATAGTGACAATTAAAAACTTTTTTTGTTTACAAATTTAAATCCTATTTAATTCTATACCTAATAAGTATAAACCTCACCATCTTCGCAGATAACATTTTTAACCGATACTAGACCGATTTGATTCGCTTTGTCTTAAAGATATAAAATATAAATCGAAACAAAGTCGTATTATATGCTTTCAGAAAGAATTTTAAATCGCCTTTTTTTTAATGACCAACTTTGTTGATAATCATAACCAATTGATTTTAATATATTTTTTAAGCAGCATCAAGATTCACTCAATTACGAATCTGCAAGAAACAGAGCGAATCATCACCGTGCCCGACCATGCAGGTGTTCAGATGATCGACTGGTCTCCCGATGGCCAACTGCTGGCGGTGACCACGAATCACGGCACTGTCTACATTTATGTGACAAAGCTGCCACACCTGTTCGCCGTGTCAGCTCCCCGAATTGTGATGCTGAGCAGTCTGGCCGAGGTGTCCATCTACGTGTATGCCCCGGACAAGACCAAGTCACTGCCATTCCGCTTGCCTCTGGAGGGAGAGCCCACCTTCATGGCGGTGGGACCTTATAACTTTGCCGCCGGAATTGAAAAACACGTGTGGTTCTATGATCTCGGAAAGAGTCTGGGCGAGGAACCGCGTCCACTTAGTGAACGTGACTTTCCCCGAAGCGTGGAGAGCATGAGGCTGAATGCAGATTACTGTGCCGCTCTCTGTCCACCCCAGCTAATCCTCCAGGCCATCGCCGCCGACAACCCTAACTGCAAGGACAAGCTGCAGGCAGTGTTCCCCACCGCGCTGCCCAACATGCCAAGCGATGCGGTGATCACATGCTTTGCCCTTAGCCAGGAACTACTGATATTTGCTACTGATGTAAGTTTATTGGTTTTTGTTTAACGAAAATTGCAATTAAATTTGACATTATCAGTTTCTGTAAATGGTTATTGTTGCTTTAAAAAACTTTAACTTTAAATTAATCGTTTTGTTTTCTCTCTGTATTCCCAGATAGGTCACCTCGTTTTTTATTCGTTGGAAAAGTGGGAAAGCTGCAGCATCTACAGACACAGTATGGGCATCCGGAAGCTTTTCATCGACATCGAAGGTACCAAGGCTATATTTATAGACGATCATTCCCAGGGTTATGTGTTTTTGCCCGTTGTGGAGGAGGCCTTGCTCATTCCGGACATTCCTAAGCAGTGCCTTGGCTGTCTTTGGGATCTCACTCAGCCGAATATATTCATAAGCTACGATGCCAGGATTGTGAATACCCACGCCTTTGTGCGGCACTCTGTGCAAGGCACACACACCTTAAAGGTGGGTGAGTCCAAGCTGAATCCGGGTCAGTTTCCACTGTTGCTCTGTGGCGGGGAAATGGCACTTCACATTGATGGTGGGCAGTATGCAAACCAGTCCCTCAGTACCCATATCGTCAATCCAAGCAACAGTCAGACAGCGAATCTTCAGGTGCTCCTGCGACTGAGGAACTACGATGAGGCCTTCAAGCTGTGCAAGCAAATGAATTCGAGCAGCGCCTGGCGAGAGTTTGGGGAGCAGGCCATTGCAGATCTTGAACCGGATATAGGTAAGAATAGTGCTGCTCTTCTCTTGATTAGCTATTCTTGATTGATTAATTCATAGCTATTCGAGCATATCGTCAGCTGGGAGAAGCTGCTTTTGTGAATGCTTTGGGAGAGCTACGCTATGTTGAGGATTTGGACATGCTCATCGGCTGCTGCTGTACGCTTTTGGGCCAGTACGATCAGGCCAAGGAGCACATGTTAAGGGGAGTTTATACACGAGCAGCCCTGGAACTCTGCCGAGATCTCCTTCAATGGGATCAGGCGCTGCTCCTGGCCCACAAAAATGATCCCCAGGAGGTGCCCTATATAGCCCGGGAGTACGCCCAGCAATTGGAGTTCACGTATGGATTGTAACATTGTAACCTAACCGCAGCTTTAACTTTTTTTGTTTCTTAGTGGCAACTATGCAGATGCTCTTTATCACTACGAAAAGGGCTACAAGGAGGATTTGATTAACAACAAGGAGAATGATACTGCTGCTTTAATGGAGAGTTCTCCCGAGTATGAGGAGCATGTGCGTCTCTGCAAGATGGGCATTGCTAGGACCTCTATCAGAGCGGGAGATTTCAGACGAGGCGTAAATATATATTTATTCATTAGTTACCTAAAGAAAGTTATTCGAATAATGTTTCTCTTCAAAAGATCCAATATGCCGTGGAGCTTGAAGACCAGCAGCTTTTATTTGATTGCGCTGAGCTGTTGGCTACCGTTGGACATCTTACCGAGGCAGCAGGATTGTATGAACGCGGTGGGTTCTATGATGAGGCCTGTGGACACTACATTGCTCTGAAGATGTGGAACAAGGCCAATAATGTTTTACCGAAGGTAAAGAGCACCAAACTACATGCCGCCTATGCCAAGGCGAAAGAGAACGATGGCCACTTCGAGGAGGCAATACGGAGCTATCGAATTGCAGGTGATTTGGATGCATGTGTTAGGATCTATCTGGACCATCTGTGCGATCCCCATGCAGCCTCTGAAATCGTTTTGGAGTCACGTTCTATGGATGCTGCTAAACTACTAGCCAAGTTTTACCAGAAAATCGGCGATGTGGAGCAGGCCCTCCAATTTCTTGTCATCTGCGGCTGCGTGGAGGAGGCCTTTGCCCTCGCCCAGCGACACAACAAATTAAGGCGTCATGGCGAGCTTCTGGAGAGGTATGAGAATGCAAAATCATCCGATTATTTGGCTCTTGCCCATTACTTCGAGGGTGAAAAGTACACACTTCTGGCGGGTAAATATTACTTTCTGGCCAGAGAGTTTACCAAGGCGCTGAGGTTTTTGCTCAAAGCGTCGGCCTTTAACAACGAGGAGCAGGTCTCGCTATCGTTGGCTATTGATTGTGTGGCCACATCAAACAATGAGCAGCTGGCCTCTCAACTTATCGAGTTTCTGTTGGGTGAAGTGGATGGTGTACCCAAGGATCCGCGGTATCTTTTTCGTTTGTACATGGCAAGGAAACATTACAAAGACGCGGCTAAGACGGCTGTTATTATCGCCAACCAGGAGCAGCTCGCTGGAAACTACAAGTCGGCAAGGGATCTGTTGTACTCCATGTACCAGGAACTGCGCCGGAATAATCTGTCAGTGACGGCTGAAATGAGGCACCAATTTATTTTACTACATCGCTACACCTTGGTGCGAATTCATGTAAAACTGGGTAATCATTTGCTGGCCGCCAAGCTTCTAGTCCAAGTTGCCGCCTGTATATCCCAGTTTCCAGAGCGTAAGGATTTTGTCATATGTTCTTAAAAGTTTTTGATAATCTATCAATTTTACAGATATCATTCCCATTCTTACCTCCACGGTTATCGAGTGTCATCGAGCTGGTCTCAAGAAGTCAGCATTTACCTATGCCTCCACTCTGATGCGTCCGGATTACAGGAATCAACTGGACTCCCGCTATGCAAAGAAAATAGAGTCGATAGTGCGCAAGGCTCCCAAGGGCATCAAGCAATTGCGGGATGAGATCGACGACGAGACGATGGAGTGTCCCATCTGCGACTCGAACCTGGCCAACATGGAGGTGACCTGCTACAGCTGCAAGACCACACTGCCCATCTGCATCGCCACTGGGCAGCACATCATCAAGCAGCTTATGACCTCCTGTCCGCAATGCGATTTTCTTTGCTTCCGTGCCGAGATGGAGAAGTAAGTTCGGAATTATCATATCAATTTAAAGTGACTGACTAGGCTGTTAATTTTATCTATGTGCAGCATTCTGTCGGAAAATGGAGAGTGTCCCATGTGTGGCGAGCACGTAGCACCGGAGCAGCTACTGGACGTCGAGGATATTCGGCCTTACATTCTGGCAGCCTCTTAAGATTAAATCATTTAAGGACTGAAGCAAACAAATAGACTGCACATCACCACACCAAAAAATAGATAAATATAAGTTGCAAAGCACAAAATACACCTAATATATCACCCAAGATAAATCCGTAATTTTTATTTCCAAGGCATTCGGGAGTCATTTTAGGGGGTTCGTTTCGAACAGAAAATAATTGATTTTAAGAGAAATTTGCTTAGATTTTTAAAGTTGTTGATTTCATTCTATCTCCTTTATTTTACATTTAGTAAAATTATTTTAGTCTGTATAAGCAAAATGAATTTGCTTAGAAAGGCTAATTAAAAATTATAAATAAAGTATGAAATTACAAAAGGAAAATTCACATATTAATTTTCTTGTTTCTTTATAGGCGAAAATTAAACATTTGTTCAAGAGCCATAAACAAAAAAATCCGTTTAAATCAAATTAATGCAAAATATTCAAATAAGAGTTATACTGTAACGGCATAACGTTGCATAGTATTTTTTGTTGGTATTTTCCTTTAAGCTCCACAAAAACGCTATAGTGCTTTTTTTGATTACTGCTGACACGGTTTTTGTTAGTCACTTTTCAATCAATAATAACACCCGGTTTTTCTGGATAATTTTCCAAATTATTTTCTCCATTCCGTGGTAACATTTCCCAAGAAACGCAAAATGTCGCTAATAATTGAATCGGGCAAATCGGATTTCATCAAAGCAAATGTGTCCAATTCGCACAATGATGCAGTCGCCTTCGAGGTGAAGTTCGCCAAGGATCTAACAGTTGCTCAGCTGAAGGTATGTTCCTGAAAGGATCGATAGGGAATACACATATACTAATATCCAGGTTTCCCCCTAGAGCAAGCTGGAGATCTTGACAGGCGGATGTGCGGGCACGATGAAGGTACAGGTCTTCAAGGGGGACACCTGCGTATCCACGATGGACAACAATGACGCCCAATTGGGTTACTATGCCAACTGTGATGGCCTCCGACTGCACGTCATCGACAGCTTCGCTACGTTTTCCTTTGACAGTGCTCCCGTTGAGAAATTCGAATTGTCCAAGGATCAGTACGAGCAGAGAACTGATTCCGTGCGGAACTACCTCAAGCAGAATCGCCTAGGCAAGTACAACGAGGAGGAGTTGAAGCAGGCAGAGGAAAAGAAGCGTCTCCAGGCGGAGGAGATTCAGAAGCGGGCGGAGCTGTGCGTCCTGGGTGGGCGATGCGAGGTGAAGCAGATTTCAACTGAACGGCTTGGTAACAATGTACTCAAAAGCTGGTTTTATTTTAGGTCACGGTGCCAGGTAATCCAACTCGGCGCGGAACAATCAGATATAATGGTCAGCTAGAAGGAAAAAGCGGTCATTTCATTGGCATTGAATATGATGAGCCGCTGGGCAAAAACAATGGAAGGTAAATTCTTGAGTAGTAATAGGAAACTGAAGTAATAAACAAATCAACTTTTTTACAGTATCGCTGGAAAAGCATACTTCAGTTGTGCCCCGAATTACGGCGGCTTCGTATCACCATTATCCGTTACGGTTGGTGACTTTCCGCCTGAAGACTTCAACATGGATGACGAACTCTGAAAGTATTCGGCACTCCCACAGGTCACAACATCTCGCATCGCACATGCCACTTTAACCAAAAGACTTACAAGGCACTTAGATTACTTGAACGCAGGAAATCACAACACTATATATAGTTATGCCATTTTTATTAATTAAAACATCTATGTATGTATGTATATCAGATATTCTTACAACATGATTATTCGTAAATTCTATAATCGGCATTATCATAATTCTGATTTAATGGTGTTCTCAATAATTTCGCTTTGTTTTACATTAACTCAACCGTTTTTGGACCGAAATAAATACCAGAAATAAGTATACATCTAGCGTATTGTGCAAAGTGGATCTGGTCGTGCCAATTTATTTTACTGACCGCAGATTGCTGACAACAAAGAACATAAAAGAGGTGAAGTTTTAGCAATGCTTACACAGATATATATGTCTCTTTTTCGGAAAGGGAATCCGGCAATCTACTTGAGGATATCTCTCGGCGTATATGTAATAAGCTGCTTGCTTTATATATTTATGCATGTATTATATACTTATGTGTGTTTATGCGCGTTCTTGCCTAGTCCTAGTAATTATTAATAAGTTCCAATTAGCTGTCATTTAACAACAAATATATAAAACGATGCATGCTTCTCTCAAAAGTTAAGAATTACAGAAATGCGTCACAATCATGATGAAGACAACTTGATGTGCAACTATGTATATGTTTTGGTATATATAGACTGTTTTTGAGCCTCCACAACTTAGATAAATGGTCGTCTTTTTTCTACATCTCACTTGAGATCGCTCCTCCCTTAAAACCCATTTACTTTCTTTTTCGTAACACATTAAAGTCTGCTTCAGCAACATTCAACAATTGCATGTAGAATGGCCCTTTACAGCCACTGGCTCGTCTTTTCCTTGGGGTAAGTGAACTTAGTGGAAACTAGGTAACAATTGGCCACAATTGCATCTGAGTGTTACATGATTCGGAGTGGTGTTGTTAGTAAACTTGTAGCCTTAACAGTAATATACATACATTTGCTGTCTGTGTGTTCTATGAACTGTTTAAATTGAAGGAAATTAACAAAAGTATAAGGTATAAGTACCAACTACGTATTCGAGCACAGGTCTAATAATTACAATAGATGGTGTTTAGATTGGAGTTGGGCACATTTCAATATAGTAGAAGAAGAACTTTGGCTAACCGATTTGCGATACGGCCCTTGATATATTATGTATTATTTACACATATACGACATTCTTGAAAATAAAGTTCAAAAAAAGAAACAACCCGAATCGGTTATCTTTAAATTTGGGTTCCTTGATCGTTTGTTCGCCAAGCAAAATTGATTACTGGATATCGACACATAAATGCAGTTTATAGAGCGTTGATTGGTTTCTTGTTAATATTTATTGTTACGGTTTTATTGAGTGGTGTTTCTGTTTTCCCTATATGTACTTTTAATTCATCTTGCCTCCAGCTCAATGACCAATATTGCTGGCCCATTCACTAGGTTCCTATTAATTAACGTATGTAAATATGTGCGTATCTATGCGGGTGCTAATGCATGTCAGTGTGGATAGATAGAGGAGTTTGTCTGCTTGATTGTAATGTGTAGTTATATATTCAATACGTTCGATCTACGGAGAGATGCTAACACTAATTTTTTCTTGAGATTCCAGCAGGGATCCGCCGCAGTGCCTTCAAATTACTCATTCAATAGATACAAACTGCCCCACAACTAAACGTATTGCCCATGCTACGGCCATGTTCCATTGCATTAGAGGGTTGTGGTGCGTAGCATGGGGACCTTGCCCTCCGGCTTGCTGCTTGGATTCTCCTTATCCGTAGCCGCCACTTCCTGCTGCTCCTTATCCTTTTTCCCAGTCGCACCCTTTTTGTCCGCATCACTGTGCCTGCCGGCAGTTAATTTGCGAACAATTAGGCTCCCGGTGTGCTTGATGTTTCGCTTTAATCGATTGCCCCCACCACCACCGCCGCTGCCGCCGCCGCCGTCGCCTTTGGTCTTTTGTCCACTGCCAGAGCTTTTGGCTTCACTGGTTTTACCCTCAACGCCCTCAGCATCCTCTTCCATAATTGGATTGATTGGGCTGAAGTCAGCATAGGGAGGCACATCAACAGAGTGTCCTGGCTGCGTGTCAATCACCTGCAGATCTTCCACCTCCTCACTGGACTGTAAATTCTCCTTGGAACTGAAGGGAGAGTACATTTGAAATGCCGACAGCAACGAGTTGGATTTCTTCTGATCCTCACTGCCACCCGTGGACAGTCGGCTCTTCTTGCGTCGCTGGGAGCCCTGCTGGCTGGTTAATGAGCGACACAGAAGCGAGAGCTCCGACAGCCGGGATGTGCTATCGTTGCTGGCCCTCCGACAGTTGGCGCTGGATAAGGTGTCGGATGGATCAGTAGGCCGCGAGGCGGCGGCGGCGGCGGCCGCATTCCCCTCGTTGTTCGTTTGGTTAAGTCACAGCCGGAGGTCAAAAGCAATGCGAGACGCAATGTTCTTGAAGCCAATGCTGGTGCCTGCCGAGCAATAAAAATACCGTTTAATAAAGCTCTTCTCAAAAACTTATCAATAAACCTACCAGAGATTCGCTTAAAGCGCACTCCATTTAATGAGAGACGTGGCAGCTTGCACACCTCAATTTCCCATTGTACCAGGGAATCCGTATTTGGATCTCCGTGCACGCACCAAAGGACAAATCTAATGATGATCACAGAAATATAGTTATAAATAACTATTGATATACTTTTATTTTTACTCACCGCTCGCGCTGCTCGTAGTCGCAGTTGTTCTGGTCAAGTACTTCACGAATCTTTTGCATTATCTGTTCGGGCATCAGGGGCGAAGTGGTTTTCATAGACCATGTGAATCGTAGAACCCGTGGTTTCGCTGCCTCGTCTGTAGTTGTTTGACTGAAAATATATAACCAATTTATAATATCGAAAGTCTTGCGGTCCACAGACTTTAAAGTCACAATTGTACGTCAATCACGTATGCCCTTGAAATTGCAGAGTTTTTTTCTAATCTTTCGTGTTATGTATGCCCATAAGCTTTACATTATTAAATCAAGCTGATCGATCAATGCTTTATTTTACTTTTCTCATTTTGTTTACTAATATTTAAGATGCAAGCATAGGTCAATCATAAGTTTGTCGGTAAGTCTGTTTGATGTAAATTGTTTTCCCAAATTTAATTGTTTATAAGCCAACTGAAATTCCCAGTAAATTTAACCGCACCTATTGTTTCGTGGGCAGCAAATGCAAATTGTTAATGAATAATGAAATAAAATTAAAATGCGTGTAGGGATATTCTTTTGCTCACAAATGTTTCACATCATTTATTATGGATTTATTAAATTATCAATTGTTTTAATTATGCGTTATTTCTTTGAAACTTAATATGTATAGATAACTACTGATCGAGCCACTGAAGGCGCCCGATGATAACACGATCTATAGATAATCAGCTGTACAAATAAAATGGTCACATGCACTAATGGTAATACATTGTTATTCCTTGAATTTAAGTTTAATTAGTTTTTATGTATCGCTTTGTATTGTTTTTAGTGACTACGTGGTATGCTTAAATACTAGATACGCTGCACATCTGGCTTTCTGCGCTTAGAGTTCAGCTTCTGCGCAACAGTGGGTGATTATGAATTGCAAGATCGTTAGTTGGCTGGCTGGCTGCTTGGTTGGTTGGTTGGTTGATATCTGATTGTATGATCCACGGATACAATTTAATTCAAGCTCATATCGAAATACAAAAACAGATCCATACATACATACACATACATATAAATACAAAGATCGCTAAATAAAAATTCAAGATCATCGTTACAAAATTAGCAACTTCTTTTGGTGTTTTATTGTGGTTACTATAAGATAATGATGTAGGCGAAAACACCACGCACTCTAGTTCAGTTTAGATCGGTTTAGTTGAGTTAGACTTAAGTTTATTTACTTTTTGCAGTTTTATCTCACGTTCACTTCCTCAGTGATATTATTTATTTTATTAACTATAATTGCGATACGCATTTAACATAAATATATATGTAGTTAGGTAGTACTCGTAGGTGTAATATTTAGTAGTTAATATAATCCATAATCGTGACAGTGACAGCAATAGTAGTCAGGATTCTCTCTGATTATTGCATTAATTAGATCTTGCATATCATATTTGATTTTTGTTTGTTTCGGTTTCGTTTCGTTTATTATATATTTATTTTGTATTGCCTTTTTTCTGGTCGCTCCTCGCATCGTTTTACAAACAATGAAAACAAAGGGTTTCGTAATTTCTGTTTGTGGTTGCTTTACTTTTAAATATATGTATATGTATCTTTAATTTATATAAATTTATATGTATAATTAGTTAATAATTGTAATAAAACATAGGCGTATTTGTGAAATTTCAATTAACGCAACGGAACTCAACGTTGTCGGTGTTCATTTGAAGGGGTTCGAATCGAAACCGGAATCGGAATTGAATCGAAAGCGATATCGGATCGACAACGGAAACGGGAACAGTATTGTATCCCGATCCGATCCGAGCGACCCGATTAGATTCGACCATATCTGTGTCTGTCTGTTCATATCTGAACCTCTCCGTCACGCGCGTTTACTCTAGGGGAATCGTTTGTTTCAGTTTCAGTTTTAGAACTATTAACAAGAAGTAGTTAATGCTTGTTTTGTTAATTACTGGTTTGGCCTAAAATTAAAGAAAAAATTTTAAACAAATTATTCACGGCTGGAAAAAATATTAATAATGGGTAAAACAAATACCAGAAATGAAACCAAAGAAGACAGATAAGAATAAAACGGAATAATGGTAAGTTTCATTTTTCATGTTTCTTCATAGAAAAAGAAAAGTAAACGCAATTGTTCTTCAACTGATAAGTACAGTGTACAAGGTACACTTCACATGTCTTTTTTTTTTGTCAAAGAGCATTATTGTAATTAATTGAATCATGTATTTAATAAATGAAAGAAAGAGACAAGAACAAAAGAGCCTTCCTAGCGTGAGGTGATATAATGGAAGTACATACATAGTTGTACAAAGCAAACGTGGATATACAGGATAAAAAACTACGTAATATTTATATATGCATTTTTAAGAAATCAATCGAGAATAAAACAAACTAAAGGTGTGACGGAGATTTTGAGAGCGTAGAGAGGAAGCGACAGACGTTGGCCGTTGTTTGCCGGCCAATTAGATTATGGATTCAGTTCCGTATAACACGTTTTTTGCACGTTGTCACATATGCTTGTATGTATAGTTTTGTATTTGTTTTGCACCTGAATCAGAGGCGGATTTTGAATTCGAATATTGCAATCGATGTGGTGGTTAGAGTTCCGTATTATTTCGTTTATAGTAATTGAGCAATTGATAGTCAGGCATGATAACTCGGGGCTTTGATGACACTGACACTTTAATATAGTATATCGTATATCCCGACCGAATAGCCAGTCATTCACTGTTTCTAAGGCTGAGCCACATTCAGAATATATTACACAATGTACATTTGTAAGTAGTATGGTGGTACGTATGTATGCTAACTAAATATGGGTAGGAATACAAATGTTTTAGCAATGCATTGCGAGCGTCTAAGCTATCGACCGATCCGGCATATGCACCCCACTGCCTCCCATCCTCACCGATCCAACGAACCCAACGGAACCACCACAACTTAGGGGGATTGTGAGTGCAACGGACCGATGTGGTGCATATGCTAGTTCGGGTCGTTCATAAACAAAAGTCCTGGGTGTACGTTTCATGTGTGTTAGGTGTTCGTTGTATATACATAGGGAGTACATACATTCCTTCTGAAAGTCTTTCAGTTCAACAAATGGATAAAGAAACAAAAACAGAAAAACAGAAAAGAAATTCCATATACAAAAAATGTGCAGATCATTAGTGGAAGATAAGTAACAATTTTATAATTATTAACTAGCTTTTTCGCAATAAACGAATGGGGAAACAAAATCAAAAAAATGCCCATAACACTTTTAATCACCATGCAATCGAATGCATGGTTTGAATTGGGTGGGTTATTAGTAACATTATCCTTAGAGGTCGAAAAACTTGCGCATTTGCTTAGCAGTTATGTCGGTTAATGGGAGAGCTGTCTATATTTATCTTGGAAATTAAATCTTTTCCTTTCTCTCTGTCTCTCGCTTAAGCTATCAATTTTTAAAGGAGTGCAGTTTAAGTATTTAAACAAATGTGATACTGGTGTGGGGGTGATGGGTCAAAGAAACGTTTTTGCGTAAATATCAACAGATTAGCAGTTTTAAACAACACAGAATCGCACAAAAAATGTTGTGCATATATGTTAATCTCGTTATATAGAGCCAACTGCAGTGCGAGTTAATTCTTCTAGTGCATTGCTTGTAATTTTTCAATTACGGAATTTGTCTGTCTTTAGTAATGCCCAATCTACCGGATGAAATAAATATTTTTCCGATTTTTTATACATCATCCAATAAAATATTTTCTTGGATTTGCTACTATTCTTCTATTTTGGTGTCTGTAATATCATTAACACCGAATCCTGTTTGCCTGTCCTTCCTCAGAACTAAACTCAAAAAATTATTGTCTGATATCTATTTGAAGATTTGTTGTTTAAAACGAGATTTATTAGTTATGTGCATTGATGGGCATGTCATTGCAATGCGTTTTGTAGCGATAACTTTGGGCTGGTTTCAGTGACTTTTTACGGACACTCGCCAGACAACTGTTTGCAGAATGAACTTGGTACAAAACAAAAAACATGAGCATACATACATGGTTGTATGTGCAGCAGATATGCAATAAAATGAAACAAAGAAAATATGAAACAAAATGATAAACGAGAAAAATCAAACAAACGAGATATAAATAAAAAGAAAATAATTAACACAAAATGATGAAAGAAAGAATAACAAACGAAAAATGAAAGTATCGAATTGCAGTTTGCATTTGCTTTTCTTGTAATATTCCATTAACTGAAGAAATGAATTTGGCACATTGTGATATTGAAAAGGCACTTACCGTTTGCTAAAACGTGAGGAGAGTTTGGAGAAAAAGCTCATGCGACCCGGATGGGAGGAGTCGCCGGAGGCACCGCTGGTGCCCGAGTATTCCAGCGCTGTGTTGTTTCGTGCTCTGGTTTGACCTAGGGATCGCAATGATGTTAAGGTTAGAATCAAATCGAAAATAAGCACTCGATAGTGTGTACACAAACACATACTAGAAACTAACTGATTCCTTTTTTATTATTTTTTTTTGTTTAACTAAGGTTGATACATACTAAAATACTTCAGAGTACGTACATACGGCTCCATTGTTAGGCTCAAAGTGCAACGTGATAATTTATATGATCGATATTTTGAAAAATTAAACATTTGACAACCACTTGTCCCATTGCGAAAATTTTTACAGAAAATAAACAAAATTAAGATGTCAAAAATCAATAGTTATTACGGCTAAAAGTTTATTTATGTTAGGAAGAGGTTAAACATATAATGTACATATTATTTCTATATATAAATATCGACTCAACATTTTTAGACTCCAACAAAAATATGTTTTAACTATCTAGAGATTTCTATGAAATTGCATAAAATTTGCAAACAAGTAAATAGAAAAACGACTTCTATTGTTATTTTACAATCTACTAACAATCACATTGCACTTTGTCTGGTTAACGGTTTTTTTTTAGTAGAATCGCGATAGCTGAATATAGACAGACAAATGTCAGTTTTCAATCGTTCAGTAATTTTGATCGCTATGAATAGTTTTTCATCCGTATTTCCAAACACACAAAGATATTTACAGGAGGAGCGGTGGGAGGGTTGGGTGGCCGGGCAATCGGGATCGATTCGATGTATCATGGGCAAACGTACTAATATTACGAGTCCACTTAGACAAACGTGCAGAGGGGTGCAGAATTTGATCGCGAAAATCATAAGCGATGCGATGTACAAAAACATAAAGTAACATTCAGCTAAATGGATCGATCGAGTTGATTATATAGTAACTAATCGCTTGACAACTTAAAATAAAACAAGAGGCGCGATTGGTATGCAATATGTATGGAAAATAGGTGCAGTGCGGGATACAATTGGGTTGTTTTATCGGATGCAGCATGAAAACAGTTTCAGTTTCAAAAGTAATATAAATAAAATACATTCGTTGCTCGTTAACATCAATGAATGAATTTAGCCTAGATCGGGCTTTTTTTTTGGATTTTGGGTTTTTAGTAGAAGTAGGGTGTGGATAAAATTAAATTATTATTATTAAAACTAATAAAAATAAGTGAACAGAAAACTCACCAGAGTGAAAGGTTGAACGTGATGGAACATTCCTTGGAAAGTGTCTGCTTGATTTAACAGCCGATGCCATTCTAAGTCGATCGAACAGACTATATATGTACAAGTACGATACATATACACACATAGGTATGAATGGAAATCAAATCAGTATCGAATCAGTTCGTCGGAGAGTACATTCAAATCCAATGAATCGCATTTCGGGAAACGAATATGATTTTATCAGTTTAAGATTGTTGGTTTTTTGTTTGTTTTTCCATTAAATATTTGTTGATTGTTTTTGTTTGGCAATGTGTAATCGTTTGTACAGAACCGTTCGAGCGTTCGTCACATGTTGTGTGTGAGATAATGTTTCGGTGAATGGAATGAGTAATGGGCGTTAGGAGTTGGTCATCATCATCGAATCAAATTTGGAGGTCCAAAGCGTCATTGGTAAATTGGAGGTTTTTTTTAATTTTGTGTTCGTATTTCGTAATTGAATGCGAGATCGGTTAGGGTTGGTTTTTGGGTTTTATGTAGGATGGCGGCAGGCGGGTGTAGATGGTCAGAGCAGCGCGAATCAAGCAGTTCGTTTGATTGATGTGACAAATTGATGACGTTAACCAAGGGTTTATGGTTTTGTATATTGTTTTATCGATCACGTCGCAGACATAAACAAAATGAAAAGAAAAAATAAAAATAGATCATGTAAATTTTCTTAAAAAGACAGGCACTTAAAATACGTTTCTTATAAATAAAATCAGATACGACAAACGTCAACTGTTTCGTTGGTTCTATGGACATGGACATATGCAAGAATGTAGAGTATATTGGAAAGCTTGGCAAACAAGAAGATTGGTTCCTCCAAACTACATGAAAGCGTTATATGAGACATGCGTTCGACTGGCCATCGAAATTCATGTTTTACAAGGTAATGTTCTTCAGATGGAGCGAAACTCTTGTTATTATTAGTACAAACTAATAAGCTCGTCTAAGTAAATATGTCCTAATACGGTACGCCGTTAATCGTAGAAAGTAATAGGAATTATAGTTGGAAGAAATACGCATGTAGTAGTTAAACGGTTAGATACATGGAAGTCGTACATTGGAGAGCACATAGTAATTATGTTCAGGTACAAAAGTTACAACAGCAGCACAATAACAAACTATATCAAAATGAGTTTCAAAATTTTGGTAGGTAGTAACATTAACAGTAAACGAACACACAATAATGGAAAAAATTCAATTATACTGGCGATGGTAGTAGAGTCAATAGAGTTTTACTGACAGAGACGACATGCATGAGGAAACAAACATTATAATGAGTTCTTATTTTTTAAAACTTGCTCGCAACTGTTTGGACTTTCCCAATGCGAATACGAAATAAAAAACTATTCACTTGTTTAGGGTGCAACTCCGGAACTCGACATCAGTTTACTTGGAAACCAAGAGAGCATGACTCGAGCAATAATATGTCTTGGCATCGCCGCCAATTGAATTTAAATGAATTACAAAATATGCGAAAATAGACCAACAAAATAAGAAAAATAAAACCAAACCGTACGCTAGTTGTAGATACTTAAGCAATATATCTGTTTATGGAAAGGGTCGTGTTCGCTTACTTTACTTTTAACCCAAAAATTATGTGAAAAATACGAATTAGCAATACACATCAAGTTGATTAAAAAATATTACGCTAACAATGATTGCAAGGAAATTTAAATCATTGTTTATTGGACACGCTCACGACCCTTGATTAAATGAGGCACAATAGATATCTCTTATTGTAAGATTGCATTTTTCACTCACCAAATTTGTTCGATTGGTTCGGTACGAATCCAAATTGAATTCATTTCAAACCACATTCATTTCATTATTTGCATATTCATTTTCAAATCAAATTTGTTTGATTGTCGATTCGGTTAGCAATAATTGTTGAATTGTTGGATTATTGTTGGTTTTGTTCAGGTTTTCAATTTGCATTACGAGTACGATCGAAAAGGTAGTAATAGTAGAGTAGTACAATAATTGAGCGAGCGCCGATAGGAGGACGAAGGAGATTGTTGCAGATTCAGATTCGTAGGTTGTGGTGGTGTTATTTGTAGTTGCGGATATAGAACGCCACAAAGAATGGATGTACATATGTGGTAGTGTAGTAGTTATCAAAATTAGACATTTGGTTTGTAAACAGACAATGTTCAAAATTGTAAAAAACATGAAAAGATAAGAAATTTACATTATTCAATTGATCAAATTGTTAGGTCGTTAATATTACATTGGATAATTAGATAAATACAAAACAAGGAGAACGAAACTAGGAAAGGCCAACACTATAAACTAATAGAAGAGTAAACAGTGAACAAATCAAACAAAATACCTAATAAATACTTAAAAATACAAGTATATATATAGATGTCAACTATATAGCAAAACGACCAACGATGGGCTCAATCCGAGGTCAAACTTATAAATAATTTGCCCTAACCTTCTCAGGAATATCTCAAGCTGCGAAACAAACATTAAAACATATCGATTTATCATAGCCAAGATGTTACTTATCACGCACAGTACAAATACATCTAGGGAGCTAAAAACGTTTAGATCCTTTAAATTTTTTAATATTTTATATAAAGGGGCTAAAACACTGAACATTTATTATTTACTTTGGAATACAATTTTAATTCAGGGATAAATATTCTATAAATATTCTTCTAGTAAATTTAAAAAAATGCCAACTCAGTGCACTTTTATTTTAGTTTCGAAATATCCGAAAATGATTTTTAAGAAGATATATGTGTATGAAAGTGCTTGTTTGGTTGTTTTTTGTTTCAAGATGGCGGGTCTAAACAGGTCATTGTGACTGATACTGAGGCGAGGATGATTCATGGAGATGATTCGGTGAAATGATTTTTGAGAAATGCACATTAATTCTCCCAAACAAATAAAATGCCAGCCAATATTTAAAATTATAAGGAAGAAACCGAAAGCAGTTGAATTTCAAATAATCCGGTAATCAAACTAACAGAATTTGGTTTGTTTGGTTGTTGCGTTTTTTTGTTAATTACTCAAGTGTATACCTCGTTCCGAGCGGGTCATTCGAGACCGAGACGCATCCGTCTGCAGAGGGGCGAGGGCTCGAGACAGACGCGCTTTTGGTATGACCTTTCCCAGCGGGAGCTGCCGATCCACTGCTGGTAATGTGCATGTTTGAGGTTTAGGCCGAAAAGTGGTAGAATCGTAATCGTAATTATGACTTGGTTTTGAAATTGTTTGGTAAGAGTTTCGGTTTTTAATAGAACCAAATGAAATGAATGTGAAAATAAAAAAAAGGAATTTTTGAATGTGCCAACGGCACGGCAACTAAATATAACTCAACTGTGCGTGACTATATACAATAAAATGCCGTTCGTATTCACGTGGAATATTTGAACGATCTCCTCTACATCTCTGTATTGATGGGAGTGTAAGCTGTTGCGATAACTAGATGCTCTCTAACCTCCGGATACGATCAAATTTGACAGATCGTTTTGCGTGCGAACCAAAGGCAAATAATATAAATTTGTGGCAGGCTCCACAGCTACCGACTGACCGAACAACTAAATAAGCCTGCCAAACGGGGAATGTGATGCAAAAAATAACCGGGTATTTCGTACAGCAGTTTAAGTTTCAAGCTAGCACTTATATCGTCAGTAGACGATACGCTAACAGAACTAGCACAACTTTCACGTACTTTGTCTCTGCAGGAATAACATTGGTTTTCTCCGTCGACGAAGTCTTTTCATACAGCGTGGTGGAGCGGCGTGGAATGATGCCACTTGTGCCGCTGACCGTGCGATTGCCGTTCGTCGGGTCGTACTTCGTTGCCGTTCGCGGCTTGGCGGGACTGTTCAGTGCTGTAAATGAAGTGCTCAAATGAAGTAATGTTCTCAATATAATCATCGGGTTATCACTTACTGGTGTCTGCCGTGGTGAGCATCTTTTGGGTGGCCGAAGCGGGCCTCTGATTTTGAGCGGCCAGTCGCGCTGTATTCTCCTTAATTGTAGCCGAGTCAATGGTGTTCTGACGCTTGAAGTTGCTGCCACTGCCGAGTAATTAGAAGCTTTATTATAATATAACATATTCTTATACGCTACTTACACTGATGCTCGATCCGCCGCTGACCCTGCAGCATTGTAATTATTGCTTGGATTTACCGCACCCACAGCTCCCGTGGCAGCCGCCACTGTTGCTGCCGCATTTGTCGGTCCAACACCTGTAATTAAATGTAAACCAATTAAATAAATTAGGTACTCTTTGGTATTGACACAAAATTTGGGACGAGTAACAAATATCTTAGGCGGAATCCATATTTAGATTTCCATGATGACTTAACAAACATAATTTTATAGCAAGACTACTGTTTTTTTTAATCTGGATTTCTTTGCTTTCACTTGCGTTTCAAATCTGCTTTAATAAGTCACACGAGGAATATAATTTACTTCAATTTAAATATTTGTTTATATCTTACAATATTTTATAAAATCTAATTTTATCTATTCGCTCATTTAAACACAACATCTTGTTTCAAATTCCGTCAATCAAAAATAATAAATAGAATACATCACAACATTAATGTTCAGTGTTGATTATCTTGCAATCGATTAGTAGTTTTTTTGAAAAAGGTTAGACTAATACTATTAATTTCATTGGCTTTCTAAAATAGTTTGAATATGGCCAGTTAATGTTTCTAAATTCTGGATGTCCGACCAAAAGATTTGTTACTGTTAATAAATTATAGGAAAACCGTTAGCCCCAAAGCGGGACTTACGCAATGTTTCCGCACCGGACGAGGCTCTGCGACTTGGTTTCGTGCTGGACGCCGATATGCTCCTGTGGACGCCTCTGTGAGTGGGACTCTGCACACTCGCACTGCCAGCATTGGCATCGTTGCCCGAAATGTTGCGCAGCGAGAGCGATGAACCGGATCGCGATCCGTCACTTTCCGGCTGCGTGGGATAAAGACTCTTTTTAGTACTTGTTCCGGTCCGAATGTAAGGGCATTCCGATAAACAAACTTACGTCTGTGCTCTTGCGTCCCAGCAGTAAATACGTGGCAAAAACATCGTCGTAGCGCACCTGGGAGAGCGAAGCCTCGATCTCTGACCGATTGTAGCCCATCGCGACTAGAGCTTCTAAGCATCGCGATGCGGAAATGACAAACAGTTTGGTTGTAAGTGGGTGATGTTTATGGACATTCAATCGACATTTTAATACGATTAGATAACGCATGCAAATTCATTACAGTTACATTATATATTCGGCTATGGGGTCGCCGATACTCGAACCGATATGGTACAATTTGGAGTAGCCGGAATTGTGTGTTCTCTTGCCGTCAATTGAACAATTGGCCGTAAGAACTAGGTAATTATGTATTTAAATCATGCAACTAGCGAAATTAAATTATACAATTATCATCGCCGTGACAGGACCCAAACCGGATGCAATTTTAGCTTTATATTTAAATTGGAACGCGACGACTTGAATTAAAAGAAGTAAACTTCTCAGAGAACCCAATTTATTTCTCTTATTTATGTGCACATACCGAAAGTTATTTACACAGGCAACATAGAAATAGGAAAACCAAGAAAAAAAACACAAGAAAATAAAATCAAAATTTGATTTCCCTTGGCTGGCTGTTCAAGATTTTTAAATATTTGAGATTATCCGTTCTCTTGAGCCGGTTTGATATCTGAAGTATTTTCCTGGACGGCCTGTTTGTTCGATTTGCGGACAGAAAGTGAGAAAGAGAATAAAGAGTTGGGGGTTAATGCGGAACTTTGGGCGACGACCGTTAACGTGTCCACTACACGGATTGCATACATTTTTGGGTGGAACCTTCCGCTCGTCGATCAGAAAGTTCACCATCAACATCAAGTTGTACGCACTACGCCGAATCGAGAGCGAATTCTTGACACCGGTTTGTGACCCCGCAGCTATGTGAGAATTTACAAACGAAATACCATAAAGGCATGTATATTTAAATTACAAACAAAAGGATAACACAACACTAGGAAATCCCAATAAAAGGAAGTCCGTGAGCAACATTGAACTACAAAATCAAAGCAACATGTTGATAAAGAAAGAGTTAAAAAAAAATATATTAATAGTATTACATATAAAATGCAAAGATAGAGAACAATATAACGAAACAAGCAATTGGCAGGCAAAACTCCAGTCCACACACAATTCGTTAATAATATTAGTAATGAATTTTGTATACAGTACCCGTCTTACCTATCCGCTTGGGATCGGCTAAATCGGCTTTGGGCTCAATGTAGGGCTTGAGTTCGTCCTCCTCAAACCCCATGTTCATCCACTTGTCGCCCATGATTGTTTCAAGACTAGCACGCTTTGCGGGATTCAGTACTAAGAATTTGCGGAGCAAGTTTTCGCAGTCAGTCGACATATAGAAGGGAATTCTGACGGGATAATAAGGGTCGTTTATTTCCTTTCATCACAAATTTATCTTGCAACGTATACCTATATTTGCCTCTGAGCACGCGTTCGCGCAGCTCCCTTAAGGTGGAGCCATCGAAGGGCAGGGAACCGCTCACTAACGTATACAGGATGACGCCCAGCGACCATACATCGACCTCCGGCCCGTCGTACTTTTTGCCCTGAAACAGTTCCGGAGCTGCGTACGGCGGACTACCGCAGAACGTGTCCAGCTTTGAGCCGGGCGTGAACTCGTTCGAAAAGCCAAAATCAGCGATTTTGATGTTCAGTTCGCTGTCCAGCAAAAGGTTTTCAGCTTTTAAGTCCCTGTTTAAAAATATTATATTAGTTTTAGCTTACATATTAAATCAATAGAAAATAAATTGTTATTAAATGTTATGAATATAGTTTTCTCAAATAATCATCTTAATTTAATTGATATGTCTTTTTTTAATTATTTAATGTATTACTATCACCTGTGTATTATTCTTTTCTGATGACAGTATTGCACGGCTGAGACGATTTGTCGAAACTTGACACGCGCCTCCTTCTCCTTCATACGTCCGTGTAGAACCAGATAGTCGAAGACCTCACCACCTGACGCGTACTCCATGATTAAATATAGCGTTTTCTCAGTTTCGATTACTTGAAACAATTTAACTATGTTGGGGTGATCCAGCATCTTCATTATTCTAACCTGTGGGCAGAGGGGTATTAGTCCCTGGGTCAATGTTTTATTAAAAGCTAAACAAACCTCTCTGAAGAGTTTCTGTAGTGACCCAGGATTGAGTTGGGTCTTGTCAATTATCTTGATGGCCACCTCCTTGCCAGTGGGCAGGTGTTTCGCTAGTTTCACCTTAGCGAAATTTCCCTTTCCGATCGTCTTTATGAGTTTATATTTGCCAATGTGCTCCTCCGTAGCGCGCCATCGCATGGGAGCACTACTCCGCATCTGCATGTTAGGCGAACCCTGCAAAAGGCGTAAGGATAAGTAAAAATAGCTTTTAATAGTGGTTGTCAGGGAATGGTGTACGTGGTCAAAGTTCTAAAGTTCCCCAAATGTTACCCTAATCAAAAAACTTGTAAATGTTGAATGGAGATTTGGGTGGCTGACACTTAGCATTTGTATTGAGATGAAATACTGTGACTTTGAACCTGTAATTGATGTCACTTTTAACTACATTTATAGAAATGTTTCCCTTGAGAATGGTCAAAGGCATAATTAATTGATACTAATCTGAGTCCGATTAAAGTTATATTAAAAATTGAGAAGAATGGAACTCCTGCAAATTAAAGGTTTACCTGTGCAGCATTGTTGCTGTAAACATTGCTGCGGTTCGTCACCGCGCTGGGAACGTGGCCAGTGCGGTGATGTCCCACAGGCGGGACAGCTGACACTGAGCCGGATTCGGATCCATGTCCCGAAGTGGACCTTGGAACCACGCTGGCTCGTGTGGAGCTGGTCACCGGTTCTGCTCGGCTGGAGTTGTACGGCGGAATGGGCGCCACAATCGGCCGCTCTGAGCGCCTCTTCGCGCTGGCAGAACTGTGTCCGGCTGCCGAAGCGCCAGATGCTCCTGATGAGGCGGCGTGACGGTGTGAGGACTTCTGAGCCAGCAGAGCTTCAAATTGTCTCAAATTCTCCTCACGTCTCTTGGACGCCGATATGGTGGTGGCCGTTAGTTTGGACGGAGCCACTCCATCGACCACGCTGCTGCTGCTTCCGCCACGACTGGTCGAGGCGGAGTTTGACGAAGTGGAGGAGGAGCTTCTGGCCGCCGGAGTGGGTGCGGTACCGGCTGGACGCCAAACCGCCGGCTGCTTTTCGTCCTGCAAGTTCTGCTTTTGCTTCAGAGTGGCCCGCATGGCCAGCACCGTATCGTTATTCTTTGTATCCGAGGCAGTACGTGCCAGTTTGGCTTTCACAGCGTTTGCTCCGTTTGAGGCTGCAGTTGAATTCTTGGAATAAGCGCCGATCGAGTTACGTCCATCGCTCCCACGCTGAAATTCCGATAGCATCAGCTCGTTGCTCTCGTCCAGTTCGCCTGCCCGCCTGCCGCCTAAGTACTGGAAATCATTTTCCGAGGACATGTCGCTAATACCCGGTCGAAGCAGATTTTCTGTTTCGCCATATCGTTTGCTCTGCTTCCGCTTAATCTCCAGCTTCATTACGTCCATCGAAGATTGGGATTGCTGTTGGTTTTGCTGCTGTTGCTTGAAGCTCTCCTCCACGTTGTGGATGTGCTTCTCGATGGAGCCGAGGGCAAAGGACACCCCGGCATCGTCCTCGGTGGACAGGAGGCTGCGAGGCACTGTCTTCTGGCGCTCCGTGGGCTTGGGATGTGGCTGCAGAGTGGGCAGGGCCGATACGGCAATCCTGGGCAGAGGAGTCGCCTGCACATTGCGTCGCCTCAGCTCCACAATGCTATCATCGTCGATGGCTCCTTCGAGATCCTTGCTGGCAAGATTTGTTTGGTGCAGATCTATTTCCGTTTCCGGCAATTTTTCACAGCTATTGTTGTTGTTATTATTTTGGTTGCTAGAGGGCGCCACACTAAGCTTGGGCGGTGCAGGTGCCGCCCCCTTGCGGGCGGCATACAAACGCACACTCTTCCTGGTGGCATCGCCGCGGTTCAAGTCAGGTGTTGTGGTAGTGGTGGCCTCCATTGCTCCTCCGTTTTGCTTTTGGTTTCGGTTTCTCTGTGTTTTTTTCTCTTTTTTGTCGTGGCACTACCTTTGCTTGTGTGTGTGTATTGGTGCACAAGTACTTGTTGCTCGGAGAGATCGCAACTTTTTCTTTTTATATATTTTTTAACTGGCACTTGGCATAAATTTATTGTTCTTACACTGTGAGTTTTGAAAAATTATTAAACTTGTGATTTTGCTTTGCCACCGAAAATCGGAAGTACAATGCAGCTCAGCCCGAAAGGGAACTGCATGAGTGTGCTTACATTGGGCTTTCTAAATTCTCAACGCAGCTCTTGTTTGTTTTTTTTTTGTCGCCTAACCAACACACAAGTCGCAGTTGTTGCGCATTAAAACCTCGAAAATGAATTAAACACACAGCCAGCTAAAGGCAGCAACTTCCATTTATATATGTAAGTATATGGGCGGAGGGGGAGAGTGTGTGTGTGATATTTACGACAACAGGCGGACAAGAGCTAATCTGTCTCCCCGGTGACACTGAAATAAACACACGGGAAAGCGGGGGAGCGAGCGGGAGGCCAATATACCTACACACCTCTATCCAACGAAAGAGAGTGCGCGAGAGAGCACTCACCTACGCTCCCGCACACACACACCTGTGGTGGAGGTGAGCTCTTGTGCTCTGTGCGTGTGTTTGTTTTCCATCGCTCTTTTCTACTTCTACTGCTGTTGCACAAGGCTCAGCTGAGATGCTCTCTCCCTCTCTCTCGCCCTCTCACTCACCCGTGTGTGTGTCACGCTTTTCCTGCCCTCTGCCCCACCCCCTCCCACACTCTCTTTTCTGTTTTATGATTCATTTGCCTTTTCGCTATTTTCCTTTGTTGCTTTAATTACTGTCTAAATAGTTACGATGTGGAGATCTACAAGTATCTGAACAATTCGTTCGTACGCTCGTTAGTTGGCTGGTTTTATTTCATTTTTTGTAGCTGCTTCAGTGAGCAAAGCGAAAAGCTCCAATGCACACACACACACAAACGCGCGCACACACACTAAGGCAAATGAACTACTTTTAGACAATTGAGCCGACTTTTTCACTGCTGAAAAAACACAGTTAGCTTATATACACTGGGTGTTTGAGAGTGTGTGGGTATTTTTCTTATTTATCACTTAAGCTATAAAAAAAAATCACATTTCGCGCGAATCCCGATTATTAAAGGTTCGTTTTCGTTGGCCGGAGGAGTTCTTTAGCCGCGCGCTTATCTTATCGGTGAGGCACGCGGCTTTCGCAATTTTTCGCACTCGCTTTACGTGGGGGTATTAGATTATAGCTTTTGTTGGCTCCTCTGTAACTCTGACGTAAACGCCGCCGACGACTACATTTACAAAACGCAGAAGACACCGAAAAAACACCAAAAACACAGCTAAAGCAATAGCAACAGAAACAGAAACAGCTCAGCAGCCAAAGAGCCACTTGGCCACTCAGCAACTGGAACTGGAGTGCCGGAGAGCGAGAGCGCGGAGTATTCCAAAGCACGGAATCGGACTGAGCAGCGACGTCAACTGCGGCAGAGCCGTCGGCCTTAATACACCAACACAGCACACACACTGACACATGGGCGATCAGTGGGCAGCTCTCTCCACTGCACTATGGGGAATTTGCCCGATTTTTTGGAATAAATGTATTTTTTAAAAGTGTGCCGATTTCCTTTTTTTTTTTTGTAATGTATTAAGAAAACATCAAGCTGTTTGGTAACATACCGCAAATGTTAACTTAAAAGTCTAGTATTTAAATACCAACTGTTAGAGTCAGCTGTTGCAAGCGCACATGGTTTGTTTACATTTTGCTTAACTTTGAAGCTCACTTTCAAATCATTATCTCTGCAACAAAATGACGTAAGACAGTCAAATTTGAAATTATTACCAATTCTCAATGTATGTTCTGTGTAAAAATACTTATACATTGCTTAATATGTGCGTCCAATTTTAACAATTTGTAAATGTAGCAGGTGATGTTTTCGTTTGGGTTTTGGAAAGAAAGTTAAACTTTCAATAGAGTTTTACAAAAATGTTTAACTTTGTTCAGTAAGTGTCTTTATCCATGTTGTAGAGTGATTAATTGCGAATTCAGAACATATTGTCTCATCGTGCGCTTCGTGCGACTTTTCGCGTAATTTCATTTTTAAGAAACCAATTTCTTGATCAAAAACGCAGCCCTGCTGGAAGTTTTGCATAAGCAAAAGGGTCTTCGAGAAAAAAAAATGGCGAATTCACTTTTGTTAGCAAGCAAGTTGATCCCACAGTGGAATCTCCAACTTTACAGATGTTTTTCAGAGAGCCGTGGTTACTTCAGACCCCATCATTTCATCAATGAATTTGAAGAAGCGCGTCCGAAAACATGAGCTGCTTGCTCTTTCACCAAAAGTCATTTAATTGTAATTATGCGAATATGAACCTGGAGACGAGTCTCTAGATGTTGATAATTATGAAAATGAAAACGACTATGATTTTTTTAAATTAAAAATTAAGAGCATATAGAGCTAAATTTGTTATAAAAAATATAAAAAATTGGGTTTGGGGGGGGTATACTTTCACTTTTCCAACAGGTGTGTATAGGTATGTAGAACACTATAAAAAAACCTCACTGAAATATGTTACATAGTTCGCGAGTTATTAATTTATTCCAAAAAATCGGGCAAATTCCCCATAGTGCACTGGTGGAGCACCACCACCACTATCACAGAGTGTATCTGTGTTGCTAGTTCTCCCACAAAGAGAAGCCCCGTTTGGAGCCCAAAGGTTTGTAAGAGTGTGCGTGCAAGTTCCACTGATATCACCTGAGCGTAACGCTGGGAAAGAAAATGTTAACTGTGTTTGCTGACAGAGATTAGCGTTCTGCGCATGTGCGCAATATACAAGTTCCCCAAGTTACGCAAAGCGCTTCTTCCCTGTTTCACACATATATAGTATATCAATACGACACCTTCTCTTGTCTATCAAAGTCAAGTTTCCGGTTTTAAATAACCCTAATAGAGTTCCCAAAGTAAACCGCTTGTTTCCTTCTTTATTATAAAATTATCAGCTTGGTATCAAAACTAAAAGAGACCTTTATGTAAGTGCTAAGGTAACGTTACCACATGAAGACCATAAAGTTACAAATCATGCCCCAAGTTAAGCTAAGAGTTTCTTTACTGTTTCATACACATAAAAAATCGATCAGTGACCTTCAATTTCCACTGTTAACTTCGTAACGAGTTGGGGGATCTTCTTTCCTATTTAATAGTATTACTTTCAGTATGGTTTCAAAATCAAGGACGGGCTTTGTGTAAGAACTGAAAAAGTATAAGCTTAAAATCAAACAATAATTTAGTAGTTCACTAACTAAGCGCTGCTAAACTCTAAAAAATCTAGGGTTATATTGTTAAACAAATATGGATTAAATAAAACTATTTTTTATTAGTTGTAATACGGAATACTAACGAACTCATATACTAAATTCTTCTCAACTTGCATCACAAATTTTATAAATACAACATTTCTAAGATAAAGTTTCTTTTATTCAACTTAAATCCAATCTAAGCACGAAAAATCTATAAAAGATCGGTTTCCTCTTTCTAGAATAACAACAAAAATAAAAAAATTGGTTTGGCAATTACTACAAGAGATTGAATTGATTGCTAAAGCAAATGTCTTTTAACAAACAATAATTCCCTCAAAGGTTACTAATACTCTTACAAACTAATTAAAAATTTTAATATTCTGAAAATTTAACTTTTAGATAATTTAAGATACGTTTGTAAGACCTTGCAATTTGTTCTGAAAACATGAGTCATCAGATGCAGATCTAGCTATCTATGTAACGCAGAATTTACAAGGGATAAGGGAACTGATTGTGAACTATTTTCGACCGAATTCAGTGGAATTTGTAAATAAACAGAATGAAATACAAAATGCAACTGATGCAACAGGACCCAACCACAAAAGGTAATATTATATATGCAAATAAACAAGTCAGCAAACAGATAAATTATTCCGACGCTGTTAGATAACAGAAACTGTCTCCTATATATTTGATATATTGGATCATTCTGTTAATTTTCAGTATGCCAAGTCAAGTTGGGTTTAATTAACTACTACGAGGTATCTGGAAGCCGAGCCGGTGAAACATGTCCGTATTAATTAAGCTAATTGAATAACTTGCAGCTTAATCTACATTAAAACAAGACAACGAGATTTCAGTCAAGCCTTTCAAATCCAAACAAAAACATTAGAGATAGAATTCCAAGTTTCGCATGCTTGCTGACAGCAGGGAAGTGTAATGAGGTCAACTATTATGAACTTGTCCCCTACAATGCTTTGAAACCTCGAATCAGAAAAATTGAACCCACTCCCTTAATCTATTAACGTTAAGCATTATGTCTCTATATCAGGTGTGCAATCAGACTGAAAATATTTTAGATTCCATGTGGATTATGAGGAATCAATTTGTGGGGTAACAAAAATCTGAAATAAAACAAAATCCGTAATCAAAATAATATAAATCGTAAATCATTCGATTGTGGAAAACAAAACCAAAACCGTAACAGATACAGACAACAACGAAACAGCGATTACGATTAGGTTGAATGGAAAAGTGGTAGGGACGAAAACAGGCAACACGACAACATCAAAAAATTCGCAATGTTTATAGATGAGTTGGTGAGTGTGACTGACGACAAGCTTTATGGCTCTGAAGAGGGAATAAATCACAACAAATATAGCCCTAGAGCTCTGGCCAAACAACAGCCAGCAAGGTGTTTATTTTATTTCTGGTAAACTCTCTAGAAAACCCTAAAACCCTGCCTGCGCCCAAAGATAATGATCCTTTCGATCCAAAACATGGATTTAATCAAACCACATATTTGTATAATTACTATACTCCATTATCTGTTTATCGTGCATAATAACCATTAATACATACCCTCGAGGTGCGTGCCTTTTCACTGGATGATTCCTTGGCCTTGGGCCTTTCCGCTTTGCTGGTGGCCACAATGGGCAACCCTCCGTTCTCGATCATCGTCACCACGATCTTGTTGTTTCGACTGCTTACGGTGCCACCACCTGTTGCATAGGATGAGTTCCCCGCCGCTGAAGCTGCGTTGGTGGCCGCTAGATTTTTCTGCCGCATGGCATTCGAAAGCCGCTGTTTCCGCTCCGCCCGAGCCTCCTCCTTTTCCCGCTGCAACTTGGCAATTGTGGCGGGTGTGTGGCTCTTGGAGCGCTTGAGAAACCTCATCAGCTGACTCTTTACATTTGTGGCGGTGCTGCCATTTCTCTCGCTAGTGGCATCACCAATTTCTTCGGCCCTACTGGATCTTCGGGATATTTGGGCCTTGGTGGGCACCTCCAGCCGACGGAAGACACCATCGGCCATCCGCACAAAACAGCCCTCGGACATCTTGTGAAAGGAATCCGATGGCAGCTTATGGAAATCACCATTTGGACTGCGATAGTAGCAGTGATCTGTGCGATGATACCCATCGCCCAAAATATTAAACTCATTGCGTCCCTCCTTGGGCGCCACTATCGCAGTGGAAGCAGAAGATTCGGCAGCCAGGTCGTCAGTCTTGGCACTGCGATCCACTGGGAGTTGAAAGGCCATTAGCTGGGTGGTGCTACTACTGCTGCCGCCCGCTGCATCCTCTAATGTAATGGGCAGGGCACTGCCGGAGGTTCCCTGGCCAGTATTAATAGGTTTTAGCTCACTAATCGTCACTGGACGACGTTCCGGATTCTTGCGCATTATACTGCCATTGCGCAAAAGTGAGTCTCGCAACAGGGAGAGCTCATCCTTGCGCAATGGCTGCACTAATGTGGTGTAATGCTTCGAAGACGTCGATTTGCGAGTGGAGGTTCGCCGATTTCCAAATTGTGGGGCCAGTTGTTGTTCCTCCTTGTTGTTGTTATTGTGGTGCGTCTGCCGGTGACTTGAAGTCTGGCCCATGGTGTGTACTTTGGCGGTTTTGGTGGGTGGTGCGGTCGGTTTGGTTGGAGTACCTGCGTTCTCGTCGTGGCTCGTTGTTCACGGTATACGGATTATTGGCCCAGTTGCAACGAAACTGTGACACATGTTCCCTCGTTCTTCACGTTGGCAATTATCACAGCGATGTTCATGTATAAACATTGGGAGCCCTGAGTGCGCGGGTGTTTGTATACATATAAAATTATGAATAAATTTTGTTCGTTTTGTGTGGCACAATCACAATTCAGGCGCAGCTTGGTCGGCGCTTTTATTTCCAGAAGTCCATCGTTTTTAATTCTATTAGAGCACAATGAGTGAGCTTTGAAGACGCAGTAAAAGTCACAGACTCAGTCACTAAATTTCAATCGCAGTCACAGCGCAGCTATTATAGAGCACTTTTATTTTTTGTTTTGATGCACAGAGCTCATCCATATTATCAAAATGGATTATCATATTTGTTGAACGCAAAACAAACATTATATTTTTTTAAAAATCGTTGAATTATATAATTTGTTTTACATTTTATCGACTTTATGTGGCCAATAAAAGAAAGTCTTTTAAATAAAAGGCACACAAAACTGAATTTGATAACTTTCTTTTTCAGTTATCAGATACAGGGCAATCTTAGAACACAATTAAAGTTGTTCTTTTATTTTTCGTTATCTAATGTTAAAAAAAAGTTTGTCTTGATAGCTAGTTTTGGATTTTAACGAATAGTCCAAAAGTAGGATAACAACTTTGATAAATTTAACTCTGTGCACAAGTAATGGGTTATCTTTCTGTTTGTAGATCTGGTATATTTGTAAATTTGTTGCTTACTTGAAACTAGGTGGGGAGGTAAAAAGAAAGGTGGGTGGTAGTTTTGGATAGAAACAATCGCTCTTATCAGTTATCGCACTTTACACATCTCACTGTGTGTGTGTTTGTGTCTGCTTTTGTGGACATAAGACACTTGCGATAAGCTCCACACTCGTTCCAACTGGGCTTGCGAGTGTGTATGACTATGGATTGTGGATCGTAAGCCTTGGCACGCCCGATACAGATACGCAGATACACAGATAGTAGATGACCAGCAACAACAATCATAAACGTTAAAGAGACAACGATGAAGCCCCATACATTGCTATTGCTATTTCTGTGATTCCCTCTCGCTCTCTCTTTTGTTGTTGCTGTTCTTCTGCTAGTTACCTCGTTTAAGCGTTACTTACACACACACTAGCAAATACTTAGACTGTTGCTTTTGCGCGTGTGTGTTTGGGTAGGAATTTGTTCATTTTTCCTTTTCATTCCGCTTTCGTTCTTTTCGCTTGCACTACTACTGTTTTCCTTTTTTTCATTTCTTGTTATACTTGTACTTTATAATTAAATTAACTTATCACCCGCAATTGGCTCATTTCTCAATGTATCTGCGAGATGAATTGGTTGTGGCTCAAAAAAAGCTGGATATATTTCACTGGAACTGCAACACACACATATACACAGCCAAACCAGGCTGGAAATTTTTAAATTAAACAATATTTAACCGAATTTATTTATAAACACACGTGCGTGTGTACTAAGTATTTAGAGAGTGCGACTGTGATTGTGACTGTGACTTTTTCTACGTCAATTTGGTTTATTTTAAGCTGCGTACTCATGCCCTTGATTTCATTCTAAGCTCTCGTTGATCAGATTAGCTAGTGACGTTTATTATCGCGGATGTTGTAACGCCTGGGATTAGGATTACAATCAAATACTGCGCTCTAGTTTTTTGCAATCTCTTCGCTTTTCTTCGCTGTTTTTCTTTGCTTTTTTTTTGTATTGTTTTGACGTAACGCCCTTGTGCTTGTGCGATAATAACTGGTCACAATGGCGAATTAAAAATTGAAAGAAAAAAAAAACAATACCCGGAGTCAACTCATCGCGGGGCGATAACGATACAGCTATAGCTACTACGGCAAAACGATATCGGCGGAGAGCGACGGATAATGACAACAGAAACAGCGCGACGGTGACCACACGAATGAAGTGGAACTTAATACTAAAACAAGCTTTCGACCATCGCTATATGCTGGCTGCCATTGTGGCTGTGGAATGTAATTGTGGATGTGGCGAGCGCGAGCTTGGCATTTTCGCCAAAGTTCTGCGTCTGGGAAGGTCGTTGTTGTTGCTGTTATTATTTTGTTGTTGTTGTATCTACTCCAAGACAACGACGACACACCCTATAAATCGTATGCAATCTGCAGGTAAATGCAGGTGATTCATAACCACACAAACGCGTAGGCACACACACATGCCCACCGAAAAACTGGTAGGAACAACAACACTCATTGCTCACCAAACATTGAGAAACTTTAAAGCGACGAAGAGAGAACTCGGAAGAGCTTTGGCAAAGGGATCTCCATATAAGTTTTGGAACTCGACCGCAAGCCGAGCTTGGATTCTACAAAATTACCATGTGGAAACAAAAACAATAATAACCAACTCAGCATAAATTGAGAAACCCACAATGAAGAATTTGAGATTTATCCACAATAAATAATGGAAAGATTTTATAATTCCTCTGCGAGAAATCTTTAAAAAGATCTACATTTAGAAATTCAGATATAAACAATATATGGTTTCTTATTAAAAGAAAGTAACAGAAAAAGTTCAATATTGGTTTCCAAAATTAAAAGCTTTTTGTAGTTACTTTATACATTTACTCCAAAATCTAAATCGAATCTTGAAGAGATACTTAAAAAGCAACTAGAAACCTCAAAATCTCTATACAATTCAGAGAATCCAGAAAATTTGTATCAATGAAAAATGAAGACCTAGCCTTATATTCAAAATATAAAAGAAAAAGAATATCCCATCAAGCTGTTTGTCTAGTCCCAGAACGTAAAGTGCTAACGATAATATACAAGTGCTGTTGGTTGAGATTTTTATAAGTCACTCACGATTCCACACCTAACATCCACAACGGCAACTAGTTAAGCTTATTTACCTACACCACGTTAACTATTCAAGTGTACGTCGGATAAAGGCATACACACGCTCTCAGAAAAATATTTCAAATCAAAACAGTTATATGTTTGTGCGAAGAGAAGTGGGGATCCCATGGATTTGGCTTAGACAACAAAGGGAAAGACTGAGAGAAAAAAAAAGAGAGCCAGAATAATGAGTTGTGATTATCGAGAATGGTTTAAAATACTATAATTGCATTTCTGAATGGAAGTAGTCAGCTGTATTGACTCAGCCTTTTCGTCTTTCGAATGAAGCAAAGTCCACATCATTTTAAGATACTTTGAAACATGTTGTGGTTACCAATTAGCAAGCACCCAAGACTTTTGTTGCTTTCCATTAGCAAGCGAGAATTTATCTTAAATTAGAGCTTTACCACCCACACTAACTGAAGTATTATAAAATCATTCTGAAAGTATCCTAAATTTACCTCGTTCTATTTGAGTAATTCTTTACGATTTGGGACCCAAATAAAGTACATTAATTAAAACTGAGATTATATAACCTTGAATAATTTGCACAGATCATAATTATAAAATATTGGTGTAAATGCAATCTGAACGCAGTTTACGATTACTCTTAGTGAAAGGCACATGTACAGAATATGTAAATAAAAAATTATAAAACATTGAATATAGGTATAAACAAGCAAATGTATTTAAATACCCTCTTCCCACCTGACAATATTCTTGGACACTTTTGATACGGTTCAGTGGACACAAAGGGTGGACTCCTAATAGGATCAGCCTGTAAGCGGTCCTTTGACTTAACCTTAAAAAGGAGTTTACCCTTTGGAGACTAATCAATGGACAATACGGAAAATGATGACCCAAGCCACATAACGCATGGTAGTAGTAACTATAAGATGGCTGGTGAACAAGACTCCCAAAAGAGACCGACTTAAAGACGTGGGGACGGGTGACAAATACAGAGATTGACGACGATAAGGGAAGGACTCACCTTGGCGGACGAGGTTCGTTGCTTGATCGCGGAGGGATGAGCCGAGTGTGTGCTTAGCACATTCTTGTTGACGGCGGGCGCCACACCGCTGCCAGGGGCGTGGTGGTGGTGGTGGTTAATCGCTGACCCTGCCACCGCCGCCGAGTTATTGCTGGACAAGCGGGCACCGTCCGTGGTCATGTTATTGGCCACATGATGGTGGTGCTGGTGGCTGTGCTGGTGCGAGTGATTGGTGTTGGCCGATGTTGCCGAAACGGGCGCTGGGGTCACAGAGCCCACTCCACCTGTCGCTGCCGCCCCCGATGTTGTCGTGGGCGTGGCCGTGGTACTATTGCTGCTGGCCGAATTCGAGGACGTTACAATGGGCATCATTGTTGTGTTGGCGACTGGCGTTGTCGTTGGTGGCAGTGACACAATGTTGGCATTGGCTGAATCGTGCTGCTGCTGTTGCTGTTGCTGCTGCTGCTGATCCTTGACCGAATGCGAGGATGTGCTGATCGAGTTGGTGGCGTAGGTGGCGGTTGTGCTGGAGACGGCGGCCAGCGGTGGCGCCGCATTTGTGGCGCTTGACGCTGGCGCCGCCGGCGCTGCAACATTGGATGAGGTGCCATTGGACACGCTCTCCGCTGGCAGGGCTTCAGGAACTGGCTGCAGTGTGGTTCGCATTGCTGTCGACATATTTCGATAATCCAAATGGGTTATTAGAGATTCTGCACGTGAGATTCGAGTATTTTCCGGTGAGTCTTTCAAGTTTCGGTGCTTAAAATTAGTCAAATGCCCAGTGGGTTTCTACCATCCGTTGAACTCCTTCACATCTGCAAATAAATATAGGTGCAATTAGTAAAGAGCTAAATAAAGCTAAACTCTTTCGCTACTCATTAAATGGCTGGTCATTCCCTTGGCATTATCAAAAACGTAGTCAATTACCGACTCAGATAAAGAGCACAATAAATAATCTCCTTTGTCTGCTTGGTTCTTCTAGCTTTGTCCGCACAAAGTAATACAAAGTCAAGTTGTCCACTCAAAACCAATAAACTGAAAACTCAGATATCCCCAGAGTGACAATTACTATTATCCGCCAATTATCCAGATGTTTTCTTGATCCATTTAACTTAATTTTTAAAGTATCATATGAGTAAGTTTCAAATAAATGTATAATGATTTAGCGAATATAAACAGGCTGAACATAGCCAACGGGAAAATAAATTATCTTTGACGAAATGCTTCATTATTTTGAGTAATCAGCGGAATATTTTAAACAACTCAATAATTAATGGAAATCCCTTTACGTGAACTGCGGTCATTATCATATTCATGAATCTTATTATATTTTAATACACATAGTTTTTTTTTAAAATCAATAGTGATATTTCAAATGTACGAAAAGTATTAATTAATTCCTTGGCCGATTGGTTATACCGCCGAGCACTACAAAAACAAATTCCGATTGATTTTGTTCGGTATATAGTCGTCGGTCAGGAAGTCGATGACACTCTCGATTTCGGCCTTTAGCTGAACGTCCTGCAGCATGCGCAGTTCCTGGCGCACTCCCGGCTCCAAGTCGTTGCGGGCGAGGAGGTCATTGATTTTCTTGTTGTCGCCGGTGCCCAGGGCAACCGCTCCAGTGCCGAGGGCGGGAATCTCCGAGGGGTGTAGTCCAATCCAACGCAGCGAAGGTGTGGTAAGTCCTTGGCTGGAAAAACTCATTGCCTGCGAGCCATGGCGATAGACCAGCATAATATCGATGCCAAAGGGATCGGCATCCACGAGAATGTAAGCTGGTAGATGGTTCTCTTCAGTGAGTCGATGGACAATCCTCCGGGTGCAGCAATCGGGATACCCCTTGCCAGTTATTAAGATGAAACGTCGTTCAATAGTGCAAAAAACATTCCTCGACAGCAGGCTCTCAAACACCGACTCCTTTTCAACAATCAATACAAAGTCCGCCTGTGTTTCGATGCGATCAACCTTCTCGGGATCTGTGGGCAGCGTCATTGGTCCACAAAACAAGCTGCTGTCCAAAACATCTCCATTTGTCATTAGCAGCCGTACATCGCCTGCAAGAGGAACCGATCAGCAGGACTACCTTTGGTCAGGGGCTCCAGGGTAACTCACCTGCCATGAGGCCCTTGGAGGCGGCCAGGACGCCCAAAGTCAAAGGGGATGTATTCAGCATACGACAGACATCGAGCCTGGCCTCGGCAATCCTGGACTGCGACCTTATCAGCAGTGGATCACCGTAGTAAAGTCCTCGGACGGTGAAGCTGCCTCCAAGAACTTGCAATCGGTGGACCCGGGACAGCATGTAAACCAGCAGGCAGAAACTGTGACGGCTTCCGCGGTTATTATACGTGACTCGTCGACATCCAGTGTTTGAATTCCGGGGAACCCTTAAGGTGGCGTGGCCGTGGGCCAAGTTTGCCACCAGTTCAAGGGCAATCCGTTCTAAATTCTCCACAAATTCACCCATTATTTAATTATTTAATCACTATTTAATTCGACAGTTCGTTCTGCTACAATCTAAAGGCCGAGCTTAATAGGTGATAATTTGAAAAATATTAATGAATTGTAATAAAATAATTCTGTTGTTTTTGTTAGTGTGAACTTATATGTAAATATTTAAGAAGTTGTATGGCTTACATACATATTACAAGACTATATTTTAATCTTTTATTTTTGTACTTATAAAAACATTCATTGTTTTAGGACATTTAATATTAAATATAGATATTTATTAATAAAATTTGATCCTTTTTTTAAGAGTATTTCTACAACTCGTGGTCAATTTAAAATTAGTTTTTAACATCATGATTAATAAAAAAGTAAGTTTTAAACTTACTTTCCTTAAGTATGCGAAATACTTGAAAACAATACTAAAACTGAGTGTAAATTATTAACATTTTTAGGCCAGTAGTTACATTTTAGTAATATCTACATACATATATTTGATTGTATTGGCGGTCGAGCATATCGTTCTAATACTATATTATTTAGTTCAAATGTTTTTATCTATATTATTTATTTTCATTCTCACTGTTTAACTGAGTACATTTTATCGTGGCAATGACAATTTATGATTCATGGTTTTAGCCGCTATTAAGCAGAATTTTTTGCCTTGGTTGTTAAAGCCTAAAATTTAAACAATTACAATAAAGCTTTGCACCTTTGGGTTTTCCCCAATTTAATGTATCCCTGTGCTCCCAATTTTATTTGGCACAGAACATTTTCCCAGACTTCTGGGAAATACAAATTTTGTCTGAATTATAATGTTGATTCTAATAGTAAAACTGATTTTAAATATTTTAAAAGTCCTCTGAGTATAAGCGCTTTATTGATCTAAACTAATTACAGAGAGAGCCACGCCCCCTGTTTTTTTTTTTAAATGCCTTTGTCACAAGCGGAAATCCCTAGGAAAATAAATGGAAACTGAAGGCGGCACACTCACACGCCCACCGACCTACGCACAGTAATATTTCATAAATACGTAAGCAATTCGTAGACTTACATACCGAAATCAAGTGGGCTTGCACATACTTATTCTTTGTAAAAGTTTATCGCGTAAATCGTTGCGTGGAAACATTTCGAGGGGGGTTATAAATAATTTTCGAAAGGAGCTTGCTGGCTAAAAATATCACCAAAAGAAAAATTCCCTTTCCGTGAAAACAACTGTTTTTAAAAAATTAAAACACACACACTAGTGGATAATGAGAGCGCGTAGAAGACGAAGAGTGCCATAAATTTATGTGAATTTCTTTATTCGGTCTTTCTTTTTTCTGTTTTTTTTGTATGTGCAGAAAAGTGTACTCGTTATTACAAAGCACGCACACACAGGCGGTTTAGGTGGTGTTTGGGGGCGGGCGGGGGTCCGTTTTCTCATAAGAGAGAGAGCGCCAACGAATGGGCTAGGAAAACTAACGAACGGAACGAAACGGAATGGCAGCCCCTTAAAGTATTGATTTGCTGGCCATCCACGGCGCTGCCACTTCTTGTACTTACCAATCAAATACAATTTCCGATCGGCCCAAAGAGGCGTGAAAAGCTTTAGCTGTTGCTGTTGCTGTTCTCCCTTCGCTCTCCGCTTAGAGAGGACTCGCTAGCTGGGAACCGCTGTTGCCATCGATGTAACGCATTATTATTATTTAATTTTTAATTTTCCTTCTTCCGATTCCAATTCCCCGAAAGTGGTTTAGTTGGAAAGGCTTTTTACCGACATTTACCGAAGCAGAGGCGAAAACGAATACGAAAACGACGACACACACAACGAAATGCAAATGCAATACATAGCTTTCTCACTTGCTCACTCGCTAGCTCGCCCGCTCTCCCTCGCTCTTGCACAGCAGCTCTTTGGTTTTCAATCAGATTTTTCTTTCTTATATTCTTATCGCGATGTTTTTGGAAAAGAACGGTCACCGATTTTTCACCGAGATTACGAACTCAATTGTTAGCACCTTTTTCCCCCTCACTGAATACCAACAACAACAACCACAGTCTTGTTGGCAACAAATGGAAATTCGCTTATGCTCTGCGCTGCTCTGCCCCTCGCAAAACTAATGTGTATCCGCGATGGGGTAACTTGATATTGAGTCGATTATTATTAGCCGATTAAGCCGTTGTCGGTGGTCGTAATTCGGCTACGACGATCGTCCCGTTCACGCAACGTAGTTAAATATTACTATTTTCCTCTGTCCACATCCACTTTGGCAGCAACAAAAGTATGTACGTCTCGGTCTCCCAAAAAAATTCACATTACGATACGGCAGCCATATTGTAGCAGTGTTGCCATCTTGCTGGCGATAAAACGTACTAAAAATGTTCACGATGTCGCAAGAAACCTCCTAAGATACTGTTTTCTAGTACTTTCAACTGGTTTGAGCGCTATACAAAAAAAAATATGTAAAATAGAAATGTTTACCTTTTTTTACTTTAAATAATTTAAAATAATGGCGGCCATATTAAGGAAACAGTCATTTAGATCTTATAGCATAACCGTCTACCTACCATTCCATTTGTAAGCAGAATTTTGTATGATAATGAGTTATGGAGAGTTAAACATATATTTATTTGTAAAACGCAGATTTTAAAATAATTATTATTTCAGAAATGGAGGAATATTTAATAATATTCTACAGGACAAAAACCTTCCCTGTCTTAATTACATTGTACATTTGCACAAATTTTACACTAGTTCCATACGAGATCATAAAATACTTAAAAATACTTTTGTACAATAGTCTGGCAACAACGTTAGAGAGAAATTGTGCCAAAGAGAGGAAAGAGAATCCAATAGCGGTTCAAAGAGAAAGCAAGTGTTTTCAACTCGTCACTGTAAAAACGTTATTGTTTAAAAACTAGTTTATGAATTTTAATTTGGATAGGAAAAACGTGTGACCTATTACAATATTTTAAATAAAGGCTAAATAACATACGACTTTTTAGTTTTATTCCACCTTTATTTCAAAAAACTTCCATTTGTATGTATAATAAAAAATTGATCTAAATTAAATAAATTGTCATAAAGTTTTAGGAGAAGCTCCGTAACTATAAAAACAGACGCCTTAAGATTATTCTTACTTAAATACATAACTAAGTGTCCTTTACTGAATTCTTTCTTCTATATAGTTTTCGATGTTAGTAATAAAATTTAAAGGAAATAGTGTTAAGTTGAGCCTTAAGCCATATAGACGAGTTTCGAGTTCAAAATCAACCAACTAAAGTGAACTTGCTTTTCTATTGTTATGCTGATATAAAGTTGATCTCGATTTTGTGCACGAAACTCATAGGCAACTTGGGGTAGATGTACACCCCAACAAAAAACTAGGAATTCGCAATCTAATGGATAGGCAAAACTACTGATAGAAAAAACATATGTTAGTCATTATTAGTGAAAAAAGGAAAACAAATGAATATTGATAGTCATAAGCAATATGAAAAAATAATAAATATGTCTCTAATAAGTTATTTGATAATTAAAATAAGTCAAAATGTTTAATAGTTCTGACTGGCAGTATTTTTTTCTGCAACCCTAAGCTCCTTGTGATCTTTTTGAATCTTATGATTCTCTCTGATTTTTCTAAAATATCTATTATCACAATTCAGTGGATGGGTTGTGAGGTCTTCGAACTGCTTTCGATCCACCTTCTAAGTAAATCTCCAGGTTGAATTGTTGGCTGTTGCTGCGGTAGCGTTGTCCTCGAGTATTGACAATCACTGGCCACCAATGTGGGCGTGGGAGATGCTAGGGGCGGAACAACCGTAAGGTTGCGTTGACTTCCCCGGGACTCGGACCAGCCGCAATCCCTCCACGCTGAAGCAATTGTGCCACATTCTGGCCGGGTCTGAGACTCGAATCCGGAAGATTGCGACGAGGTGCGGGAGAGTTGCTGCTGCTGCTTCTCCTCGTAGTGTCTCATCAGACTGGCGGTGCTTAGGTCCTGGTTGATGCTTTGATTGGACGCCACCCAAGCACCTACATCGGCGCCACCAACATTCCTGCTCATTGGTGGCAAACGTGATGGCATCAACAGATTGTGTGTGGACCGGGTAAAAGCGTGGTTTTGGGCCAGGTTGTTGGATCCAGGATGATACCATTGAGACTCCAACGGCCTCATCGGTTTCTGCTGGAACATCATCGATGGTTGGGCGGGCGGGGCGTACTGCACTGTAGAAGCTCCTCCATAGTTCGAAGACCACGCCTGCTGTCCCAGTCGCTGCTTCGACAGATTCAAAGAATCCAGGGACAGCATAGAACCCGGCCCTTGAATTGTTCTCTGTGAGATCGTGGGGACGGGCGAGTGGCAAACTGAGGCGGAGGGCACGGAAAGATTGCCATTGCTGTTATTGCTGCATCCACTCAACTGCTGGCTTAGCATGCTGAGCGTTTCCTCATCGCATTCGTCCGCACAGAGACGATGGAAACTCTCGCAAGAGGACTCGTCCGGGCACGCTTGTCTGAGGAGATTGGATCGGTTGGTGGCCAACAAACCTAAGGTGAAGATACTGCCCAGCAGCTGTAAACGTTTTAAAGAATATGTTTGAGTATGCTACAAACATAATTGTAATTAACTTACCATAAAAGAGATTCCATTGATATTGGAAGCCAAGAGTTCAATTCCCGTTGCATACGCACTCCATAACAGCAGGACAATGGTGAACCTTGTGAACTTGAGCCCGTCGTTAATCTTGTGCAGGAAACTCAGGCCCAACATGACATAAGGATAGACCCCAACGAAACATGATGCGAAGGTTGCCTGCTGCACTTGCTGTTGACTCAAACCCACTGAGTAGAGCAACAGTTTGCCTAAGGTACGGCCATATAATAATATTTTGGCTGACGTTTCCCCCTGTTCCAGGAAAGTGCCCACGCCAACAGTCACCACTCGGATCAAGGCCAGCACATGAGAGTAGACATAAAACAAGGTTCCTCCCAGGAATTTGCCTAGGATCGACCTAAACTGATCGACTGTTCCATGTGGCATGCGGCAAAGGAGGCTCAGAATGTTGACCACGGTTAGGATGGTCATCAGCACGCGGTATCGATGAAGTTTTTGCTGCTTTTGGGCACTGGCCAAGCGGTTAAAGTGCGGCTGCTTTAGAAGTGATGCTCCCTTGATGATATAGTTTAGGAACTTGGAACTTAAAACCATCTTCTTTTTCTCGTGCAGGACCTTATTTACATGCCGTTCACAGCTGCTGCACAGACGAAACTGCTTCTCCAGTCGTTCTCTACGGGAAAAATGTCAAAAATCAATTACAATTTTTGGGGTTTATACTTGGTAAATATTTATGTTTATCTTGCTGCAACCCAACTCCCGGCAGTTTTATTTACTCACCGGTACACCTTCAGTTCCTGATCGAATCGCGACTCGTTTTTGGGCTCGAATTGCGAAAGCTTTTCGACCTTCAGGCGCTGCGCCTCGTTACACTGGTCGCACAGGCCATTTTTGGGGACTGGAGGATTCGAAGCCAGGACGTCCGCATAGTACGAGTTCGCGCAGATGCTGGAGCTGCCCTGGGAGCTGTTCTTCTGGGATCCGAGGCTGCAGTCCCGCTGCGCCGTCATGTCCCGGTTGTAGTCCCCATCCTTGGTGAATCCATTGTACTGCTCGCATTTTGGACAGGTCCAACTGTTTCGACTTCCATAGGAAACTCGTGTGTTTTCATTGCAAAACCAGCAGTTGACCCGGGCGTTGTAGCGAGAACTGTAATACCCCGCAACTTAAATGGGATTCCTAGTTAGTGCGATTAACACTCACCGAATATTAATGTATAACTTGTAAAGAAACGTGCCAGTCACAAAAAGAATAGCCAAAATCGGCAGCACCGTGGCCGCCAGCGGTATTAGTAGGGTTATCATTTTGGTCCGAGGATTTGGTGTTCTTGTCTGTACAAACTCTCAGGTTCGTCAGCCGCTCATCGGTGGTTAAGTCACTTTACTAAACAGGTATACGCTATATTTTAACTTTTTTCAAGAAACGCCGGCTGTGCTATTCGCTATTAGCGCGCGCAAAATATAACCCTAAAAATATATCGCAAGAGACTAGGGATGACAGTAGGGATGCGCTACTATTTAAATTCGGCTTCCTACGTCATTTCGCTTTCATAATAGAACAGTGCGAAAAAGTAAAGGTGGGAAAGCGGATTTTAGTCAAAATTAGCTTAGAAACCTAATTTTTTGATAGTGTAAATTAAATTATGTGACTCCTTATTAAATAAAGAACTAATTTAAAATGCCAATCGTGCCCATCAAGGAATTTTACTTAAAATGGATACTGAAATGTGTTATCTCTGCGAATATATTTATTAATCTGGTGTCTAATTACGTAGCTACAAATATTTATAATAAATCGAATTCCTGCTACCAAGAAGTAAATTGGCAACTCTGGCGAATATTTGTATGTCCCTAGCAAATTACTTTACCCGGATTAATCGATGTCTGCTAAATATCGATAGCGTTTATGTCTTGACTAATGATGCAAACATCGATTATTCTCAATTTTTAACGAGTCACACCAAAAAAAATATCGTTGCAGCTCTTAAGCACATGGAATGTTCTTTAATCACTGTACGAAATATTTTCTACATAAACATTTATATATAAAGATAAAATTAAAGAAATAATCAAATGCTTGCAGTGAATCAAAAAGCCTATCAAATTTTTTTGCATATTCACCTCGATTCAGTCAGGTGTTGCCAGTACATAAACTCCACCAGACCTGGATAAACTTCAAAGCTAATCTTCTGCTACAATTTTTTTTATTTAAAACATTAATGTTTTCGATCGTCTTAGGAAAAACATCGATGTCGCCAAATTTCTTTAATCATCGTTAGAATTGCATTGTTATCGATTTTGTTCCAGCTCTAGCGCACTCCGGCCCTATATAAGCCCGAACGCCCGACGGCGACTGCACTAATTTTTCCAAGTGTGTGAAGCGGACAGTTTGTGTTGTGTTCGACTGCTATAAGCGAAAGATAATTTTAAGTAAAAAGTTCAAAAATCTAAAACAAAAACAAAATGAGGGAAATCGTTCACATTCAAGCTGGTCAGTGCGGCAACCAAATCGGCGCCAAGGTAAGTTTTTCCACTTCAATTTTCTATTCATTTTCCATTGAGAGTACAGTTGCCAAAATGGCGTCATATTTGCACGACTCTGCTGTCCATGTGGCAAAATTTGTATTGAGGCCGGCATTTTCGCACGCACACATTTGCATTTATGTATACCACCAAATGTGTATGTGTTTTTTTTTTTTGAGTCCCGGCATCTGTGTTTGTATATATCTATACTTGTCCGATTTCGAATAGATGCTTGCAATTTGCTGTTTCATTCGGTCATTTGGGGTCTAAACTTTAGAACGAAAGTTCGTCACGCCCAAAAAGTCGGTAGAAACCATGTTTAAGGGCCATTGACATTCGCATATGTGCATGTAATTATAGTTGGGTGTGTCTGCAATTACACTGACTTGTATCTCTGTGTGTGCGTGTTGCATGCATGAGTCATTTTCTCTTGGCCGAAATACTTTCATAGTTTTCCACCGGTTGTGAAAGCCATTTCACTGCCCAGATGGTGAAGGGTACTTTTCTTTCGTCAAAACACGAAAGGTTTTCTACACTCACACATGCTAAAGTTCAGCGCTGGTGTGTAAGCGTCGGCCGGTTTTTTGCCGCTATGCGTCTTCTAAAGAGAAAACATGACGTCATTTTAACCTAAAATGGCTGAACCGGTCGCCGTTGACCGGTTCGCAGAGTGTATAAGAGTTGTTCTTATACATAAATGGGATGTACGTATACGCCAGATGTACTTATGTATGCAGTACCCGTTCTATCGATTTTCTTGCATTCCTCACTTTATTTTTATTTTCTGCGCTACTCCAGCGGCTTCTCTATCTTATCTGGCATGAAAACATTTTCTATTTCTTATTCATGACGCTATTTGTGTATGTATAGTGTAGGCGAACTTTGTTTTGCAAGAATTTGGCAAAGTGCATTTTGCAAAACTAGAAAGTTAGATGACCTTATGTATGGAGGAATTCGCCATCTGGTTGTCTCTATCCAATTTTCTCTCATACCCCCACACACACCCATACAAAAGAAGGGAGGAGCTGCACATGCGTGTGGATAACGGGACAAGGCGGTGATGACGAATCTTTTCTAGTCCTTGCCCAAAAAATCAATACCTATATCCTGAGAATAGGCCGGAAACAACCCTCGAAAACGCCTTAAAACCCGAGCAGCTGCAACATAACAATTGTTGTGCCCAAGTATGGCTCTCTCTCGGCCGGCTTAAAAAGGGAATTTCTATATATAAAATAATCCGGTATGGCGGTACCATTTCGTTTTAACGAGTGTCAACCACGCATTTCCTCCGTACCCAGACCAACATCAGACTTTTTTCGGTAAATTGTTTTTATTTGTTTACGCGACATAAACAACGACAATCGCAAAAACTTTATTTGAGGTGACGTAATGCCCTGAAAAACAGACGATTCATGCGCCAGATGGTCGGTAGTTAGTAAGTAGAGCTAGCTCTGAGCTGCAGTTTTAACCTCTCAGCAGGCAACGCCAACGCCTCTCTCCAAGTGCCAACTCCTCCTCCTCGTCTTTTCTGTCTATAAGAGTGGGTCGAGACCCGAACCCGAACAACCGGTGATGTAAGCCATCGGAAGCAGGGGGTTTTGGGGTGGTAGGAGAGCCCGGCTCTGAGGTCGCCGGCAGTGCGTGGGGGCAGCAGACATATAGACAGACAGTCAGATAGTAGTCACAGTCGGCCCACGCCCGAAGATTCAAGAGAGATCGGTTTTGGGTCGGCGGAACCCAATGACAGCTGCGCCTCGAGATCTGAAACGAAAACCCACGCCAGATGACGTTATCGTTGGTGGTGGAAACGCACCAAAAATGGCAGCGAATAAGTTATGTTAATCGGAGCTCGGCCCATACACAGTTTATGATGGCGTACATAGAGGTGCCCGAACATATAGCCGAGCTTAGACATATGTATGTACATAATTGAGGCTTGTGCCCATTCATTCCAATCAATAAAGATTTATATATAGACTGAGTTTTTCTTCTACCCTGCCAAAAACGTTTCGTTTAAGAAGGTATCTTGTATAGGAAGTAGCAAAGAAAGGTTTCTATTTATATATAGCTTTTAAAATGATTTTCCCATTCACATTTTCTGTGTAAATGCTAGTGAACCAAACTTTCACTAAATAGAGAAGGGACCTAGTTAATAGTTAATTACTTTTAGAATCGGAACTAAGTTTTCCTGACTAGTAAAAGTTTTCTTACCTACAAAAGTACTCCATTCAACCATGTTCAAATATTAAAAAAACAGTTCCATTTTTCCTATCTTTAAAAAGAAAAAGGATGAATTATATTCAAACTGACTTCTGTATAACTTCAAGGAATAGTAAGCAATTTTAGTATTGTACCTGGTGGTCCAAGCTTAGAGAAATTGTATGACTATTGATTTTTCTAGGTGACTCATTCACTTCTTAAGATAGAGTTAGAAAAACACCCCCTGTAAGTCGATTTTTCTGCTGACTCATTCATACAAAGAATCTTGTATAACTGCTGAAAAACCTCTCTAATTCCCACTTCCTAATTTCCTTTTTGCAGTTCTGGGAGATCATCTCCGATGAGCACGGCATCGATGCCACCGGCGCCTACCATGGCGACAGCGACCTGCAGCTGGAGCGCATCAATGTGTACTACAATGAGGCGTCCGGTGGCAAGTACGTGCCCCGCGCTGTCCTCGTCGATCTGGAGCCCGGAACCATGGACTCCGTGCGATCGGGACCTTTTGGTCAGATCTTCAGGCCCGACAACTTTGTGTTCGGCCAGTCGGGAGCCGGCAACAACTGGGCCAAGGGTCACTACACAGAAGGCGCTGAGCTGGTGGACTCAGTGCTCGACGTTGTCCGCAAGGAGGCCGAATCCTGCGACTGCCTGCAAGGCTTCCAACTCACACACTCCCTTGGCGGCGGCACCGGCTCCGGCATGGGAACCCTGCTGATTTCCAAGATCCGCGAGGAGTATCCCGACAGGATCATGAACACATACTCGGTGGTGCCGTCGCCCAAGGTATCGGACACCGTGGTTGAGCCCTACAACGCCACGCTGTCGGTTCACCAGCTGGTGGAGAACACGGACGAGACCTACTGCATCGACAACGAGGCTCTCTACGACATCTGCTTCCGCACCCTCAAGCTGACGACACCCACATACGGTGACCTGAACCATCTCGTCTCGCTGACCATGTCCGGCGTGACCACCTGCCTGCGTTTCCCCGGCCAACTGAACGCTGATCTCCGCAAGCTGGCCGTCAACATGGTGCCCTTCCCCCGTCTTCACTTCTTCATGCCCGGCTTCGCTCCCCTGACCTCCCGAGGATCCCAGCAGTACCGCGCCCTCACCGTTCCCGAGCTGACCCAGCAGATGTTCGATGCCAAGAACATGATGGCTGCCTGCGATCCCCGGCACGGACGCTACCTTACCGTCGCCGCCATCTTCCGTGGACGCATGTCCATGAAGGAGGTCGACGAGCAGATGCTGAACATCCAGAACAAGAACAGCTCGTACTTCGTCGAATGGATCCCCAACAACGTGAAGACCGCCGTGTGTGACATCCCACCCCGTGGTCTGAAGATGTCTGCCACTTTCATCGGCAACTCCACCGCCATCCAGGAGCTGTTCAAGCGCATCTCCGAGCAGTTCACCGCTATGTTCAGGCGCAAGGCTTTCTTGCATTGGTACACCGGCGAGGGCATGGACGAGATGGAGTTCACTGAGGCCGAGAGCAACATGAACGATCTGGTGTCCGAGTACCAGCAGTACCAGGAGGCCACCGCCGATGAGGACGCCGAATTCGAGGAGGAGCAGGAGGCTGAGGTCGACGAGAACTAAATTCGAATCGAAAATCAATCGAATTCTCGATCAATGTTTTGCGAAAAAAAATGAAACGAGAACAAATGAATTCACTTGTAATATGTTTGTTCTCTTAACAACGTAATCAATAAAGTCGGATCCAATTTTGTTCACAAGTCTAAACATTGCTGGTTTTTATTATGGTTACTAATTGGCTGAAGAGAAAAAGCTCATTTTACAAGTTGGGTTTTTTTTGCTCATGAGGTTAAATTTGGTGATTGATAACATCATTCAAAAGATAAGGTTTTTTTTATGTTGTATTTATTGATCTTAAGATTAATGGTAATTTCGTTAAGATTTCCTACTTAGCTGAAAGCAAAAGAAATGTTGAACAGCTGTTCGTTTTGGGCATGTGGTTATGGTTATGTTTTGTGATTGATAATTTCATTCAAAGCATTTGTTTATTTTTAGACTTTTATTTATTAGCAGGTCTGTACCTACCTCAACTTTAGAGTAAATATTGCAAAAACAAAAGTTATTTGCCCTTGAAGAGGACACTATAGTCTTAACGTAGGAAGTAGCAATTTGAAGCCCACGTGAAATGATATTGTTTTGGCCTCCGGTTTACTTGGCCTTGTATGCAATATATCTAATTAATATTGTTTTTAATTCGTAGACATCCGACTAGTTTCCCACACGCTATTTACATGTAGGTAGTGCAAAGGTGCTTTGTTTTTTTTTAATAATTTCGAAGCCAATTTTTATTCATTTTGCATGTGTCATAAATAATGACTCATATGTACATATATCATAACCTTAATTCAAGTTAATGAAAATAATTGGTTGGTCAAAATATCTCAGTTGACCAGTTTTTCTAAATAGATTTATTGTGATTTTAAGAAGGAATCCTAAGTCTATAGATTTGGTTATATATTATATATTAAACGAATTAATATAACATATTACTTCAATATTTATATAAAATGGATTGCGGTCCTTTTTTAATGAGTGAAGCTTGAACATTTATTTATTTACCAATATTTTCCTGTTTAATATATTTAAAGATTTTAGATCAGTAACCATAAAACTTAATTTCCATAAAAACTTAATTATTTATTTAATTTTTTAAAATCGATTAATTATCGATTAGCAGCACTGCGTTACCAGGGATACGGCAACCAGTGTATATTGATGGGATAGTATAAGTACATTTTATAACAAACATTGTAAAATGATTACTTAACTTAGTAATAAATCAATAATCAAAAACAATCAATTTAATCAATTTTGTGTTATATTCTTCCGCTGTCCAACACTTATTTTTCGTGTGTGTGAGATTGAGTGGCCGTGTGTGAGTGTCACTGACTGATATTTGACAAGTAAGATAAAATATAAATAATAGGGCGATTTTCGCGAGTTGTCCTAATCCCAAAACCGTATTCCCGCCCCAAGATGATAGCAATGGACGAGCAGCGCGGCGACAAGATCTACGGGGGATGCGAGGGTCCGGACGCCATGTACGTGAAGCTGATTTCCTCGGACGGCCACGAATTTGTAGTAAAACGCGAGCACGCTCTCACCTCCGGCACAATCCGGGCAATGTTGTCCGGCCCGGGACAATTCGCCGAGAACGAGGCTAACGAGGTGCATTTCCGGGAGATTCCGTAAGTATGGACTCCGGCGCAAAGGCTCCGCCGGCTGTAATTTTCACCTGGGAGCGCCAAGTCATCGCAACTGTGACCTATTGACCGGCGACAAATTCGCACAGCCACATACATACACAAATGTAGGTGGCGCCATGCACACCCAACTAAAATGTACGGATTACAGGTCGTTCAGAACGATTCAAATCTCTGACTTATATACGTAATCTTGGGTACAACCACGGTCAAAAGATTAGATCTAGGTGTTACATCCCTTAGATGCAAAAATTCCGGGCAGGCTAAAGCATGAATAAATCGATTTTAAAAAATATTAATTTTGACTCAATTTGTACATTCAAGCATCTAAAAACAGTTCCAGTTTTTAATGATTTTAACAGTTGTCAAACTAATAGAACGATATGAATCTCGGAAAGATTAGTACAAAGTACAACATCCAATAGTATCAAAAACTGACACATGCTTTACAGACATTTAAAAAATTGAAAAATATAAGTTTCATATCCCATAGAACAAACATTGTCAAGCCCAGAGTTTATTCATAGATTTTTAGAAATGGTTCAATGTGTTCATAAAATGATGAATTAATAATTATTCTCCATTTAACAATCAAAATTCAGATTTTAATAAGCTTTATTATTTTCAGATCCCACGTCCTGCAAAAGGTCTGCATGTACTTCACCTATAAAGTGCGTTACACCAACAGTTCTACCGAAATACCCGAATTCCCGATCGCTCCAGAGATCGCATTAGAACTTTTGATGGCGGCTAACTTCCTAGACTGCTAAATTATATTGTTTAATTTGAATTTACATTATTTACAAGTAAACGGAGAAAGGCTAAGATGCGTAAAGCTTTATTCGCCCGTGTTAATTTGTAATCAAACGAGAAGATTGTCCCTGCGAGAAAATAAATTTCTGTTGATTTCCTAAAAAATCAGATTTGTAATACTCTTTTTGAAAAACATTGTTTTTTATTAAACATCAAGAAAAGAGGATGATATTTAAGATCTATTTGGAGTGCTTGGACCTGGATTTCGCGGCGTCTTTGTTGCTAAGCATGGCGAATCTCATTTGCTGTATAAGCCATTGAACACCCTCGCCAAGACCTTCGCCGGAAATAGCATTGGCAGAGCAGATATGCCAGGGTTTCTCCTTTATGTTCTCCAATCTAAGAGCTGAAATGTTAAATTATTAAGAAAAATACAATGTTCATGTTCATTCACAATACGCCCACTTGTAAATACTTTTGACACGTAAATCAATGTTTACAAAGCAATTATAAAATGTCTACACTTCTTAAGTCGGTAGTGATTTTTTAAAGTCATTTGAAAATCAATGTTTTTGAAACCATATAATTTATATGTAACAAGCACCTGCTGCAATTTTCACACTGGATAGGGAATCCTCCATGTCCGATTTATTTCCATAGAATAGAATTGGCACGATTCGGTTGCACAAGTCGGGGTGCTTCAGCACAAGATCCAACTCATCTTTGACCACCACTGCAAAGGAAACTTTCAGCGATAGAAGTAGTTAATCTCCATTTCCCATACCGAATCTCATGCGATCGCTGGAATCAATCACATATATGATTCCATGGCAGTTCTTAAACTGATGCTCCCAGAGGTTCCTGTATCGTGTGGCACCCGACATATCAATTGCCTTTATTGATACACCGGACATGCCTGTTCCGGGAGGATACATATTAATAACACTTGGCCATCCATATATATTTTACACCCACTTACTATAAAACTGTTCCACCATGAAGCCAACTGTAGGCACAACGATTGAAGTCTGTTCACTGGACTTTTTAAAATGATTGATTATCGAAGACTTTCCACTGTTGTTTAGGCCCAGCACCAAAATCGTCATTTTATCCTTTTTAATCTTTATCAAATCGGCCAAATTGTGCAACATTCCCATTTTACTGTTGGACTGAAATCTGTTTTATTTTGTTTACGGCGATATTTCTGACATGTTTGGCCCTGCAAAGGACTTTTCATTGCCATGGCAACGATTGGTGTTGGAATCGATTTATTGAAACTTTAGGCCACCTTCAACTTTGCCTGACGCTTCCGAATTCGTTCGCCCACGCCCACGTTCGCCTCAGGGATGACATTGAATTTGGTTTAGGTATAAAATACTAAAGGTTAAAATAAAATTTAATTTTTACTTTCGTGGTTTTTTATCTAATTTGATTTGTCAAAAATCATTTGTATATTTTCTTTGACAAATTATCTACAACAATAGTGGATTGTCTATGGTTGTGCGTCGAAAATATTCTGTAGCTCTCAAAATCTCGATTTGTAAGAGTTTTAATTTATAATATGCAGCATAGCTCATAATTTGTGTTGGTTTATCCCTAAGGCTGTCTAGTCTTTCGGGTACCAAGGATTTTGTTTTGCAAAACTTGTTTAACCAAAAACCGGTACCAAAAGATATTCTTCGAATTTTATTGACACGATGAATTATTAATCATGGTTCTCGCATTTGAATGAGAGGGGCTTGTTCTAAATGTTTTGTAGGTGCTAAGGAAATGGTTTTCTTAAGCTGAAATTGGATTAATTAAAAATCTAATAGCATAAAACCATTTCGAAAAGTATCGCAACATTTGAAAACTTGAAACAGAAAACTAATTTTTACGCGATTTTATGTCGATTGTTTTTGTCCAAGAAAAATAAGAATATCTAAATCAATTTGAAACATTGATGCACAAAACCGGGTACGATACGAGACCTTATGATATTCTTATCCATTGGTCTCTGGGTAACAGTAACCCGAAACACAATCGAGTCCCGCAATGCCTAAATTACGATACAAGATTAGAACTGTGAGTTTACGTGTTGACGAAAGCCAAGGTTTATTGTAGAATTCTTCTTAAAAAACATGGTTACGGGTAGAGCTTCTCTACTTCTTGGTGTTCAAGATGATACCATCGTATTTCTGCTGGAACCACTTCATGGCATCCTCCTTTGTGAGGCGGTGCTGGAAGCCAACAGTGCCGGACTTGCGCTTCCTGTGGTTCACGTTGTATCCTAGAATACAGAAGAATATGGTGTAAGTAAAGTAAAAAGGATAACCTCATGGAAATATTGTAGAAATTGTACCGTGTGGCCTTGCATGAAATGAAGCAAGCCCAGCTAAGCACATCTTCTTTGCTATGCGCACATTCACTGAGCATCAGAGCCTCGATTGGCAGAGATACCTAATTAAGTGCACGATTTCGGGTAGAGGGTGATGCTTACCGGGACGGCCCAGGACGACGTAGAAGTCCAGACCATAGATACCGATGGAGGGATCGTACTTGATACCCAGATCGATGTGTTCCTGGATGCCGAAACCGAAGTTGCCGGTGGAGGAGAAGTTCTCCCGACGCAGCTCGTACTCGCGCACCTTCAGGCCACGCTCGAGGATCTCCTCGGCCTTGGCGCCGCGCACCGTGCAGTGGACAGCGATCTTCTCGTTACGGCGGATACCGAAGGAACGCACCGTGTAGCGGGCCTTGGAGAACACTGGCTGCTGGCCAGTCAGCTGCTCCAGCACCTGTTTGTATATACACACAATTTCGTTAGCCGCCACCGAAGAATCACTGATATCGCAAATAGCTTACCTTGGCGGCACGGGTCAGCCTATCACCGGACTCGCCCACGCAGATGTTCAGGCAGAGCTTGCGGATGTGCAGATCCCTCATCGGGTTCTTCGCCGGATCGCGCTTAATCTTCTTAGCAACAGCCTGAAACAATCAAGGGATTTCGTCACTTTGAGGTGGGCCGTAAACACGTATAATTTTGGTCATCGCATCACGTCGCACTTTTACATCCCAAAAATATGGTCGAAAATATGTCGATGCGGCAATAATTTGTTTTTGAACCTACCGCCATTATGGTATGTAGGGAAGAAAGCTGCTCACAGGAATTCCTCGCTGCAAATAAATGGTTAAAAAGTTATTAAATAAAAATATCACTCAAAAAAACGCGGAGCACTCACCGGAAACTTGTAAGAAAAGAAGGAAAGGTTAGTGTGGCCGCGGTAAGGAGCACAAAAGGGCCTAAAAAATGCCCTACACGTGCTGTTGAGGTGCTGTTATCTAGCTATCGTGCTGTTATGCGCACACTGTTCCATCACCAGCTGCAAACACGGAATGTATTAACAAATGGGGTATTCCCATGATGTTAATAATAGAATTATTAAACTTACGGCAGCTGTATGCCAGCTGTTTCATATAATTCCAGATGGAGGTTGTACGACAATCGTTAAGATGTACAATAATATGTATTGTTAAAATAAAAAACCTAAAGGATCGAAAGTAATAAAAAAGGTGTTAACTTGAATGTATTTTTTTAAATTAATTTACCATTCAAATTGTAAGTGCCGCATTTTTGGATTTCAAAGCTTTGTAAAAGCCGTGGGTCTTAGAATTCTGTTTGTAAAATTATTTCTACTGTAGCTTTAAATGTATTTGAGATTTCGTTTGGCAAACTTGGGTAAGCCATGATGATTAAGAGAGTGTTGCTTTCTGTACGAATAACAGAAATAAACAAATACGTTTTTTTTTAGTTTTAAAATAATTGTTAATGTACTCAGAGGCTGATATTAATATTATTTAAGTACTTAATTATTAATAAATGTAGCTTCTGTGTTTTAATTAATAGGGCAATAGGTATGTAACGAGCATGAACTCTTAAAATGTGTTCTGTTACGCTGCCAATAGGACTGTTATGCACAGTATGTTTGGATGTATCGATAACCAAATCCGATATTTTTAATATCGTTTACTAAAAATCATAAATTAAAAAGTAACATTAACTAGTATACTTCCCTTTTGTAGTTATATTAAGAAAAAATATACTTTTTATTTGGGGTTGATTAATGTTTAATTGAAACTGTAGTTAAAAACGAGGACGGAAGCTAACTTCGGCAAGCCGAAGTTTTAATACCCTTGCAGACTTTGACGAAATTGCTAAAAGTGAAAAAGTAGCGAAAGGAATAAGGTATACATAAGTAAACTAGATTTGCATCGTTTCAAGTCAATTGCTTTTATACTGCAAAAATGTCATATACAAAAGGGATACTTTCGCAGCCTTTAACAATTTTTACTATCTCCTTTAAGATATAGACTTCCGAGCGGCAAGCGCTTTTACCCTAATCAAGATATGCGTAAATAAATAAGAATTGGAAAATTTTATGTTAGTAGCTTACACACTGCGCGAAATATTCTGATAATCATCAAATTTGGACCGATTTCACCCTATTGTTCTTATGGGAGCTATAGGACATAGACGTATGTCAATAGCTTATACACTGCGCGAAATATTCTAAAAAACATGAAATTTTGACCGATTTCACCGTATTGTTCCTATGGGAGCTATAGGATATAGACGTCCGATCAGCACGCGCTTTTACCTTGATGAAGGAATGCATAAAAAAATACGATTCGAAAAAATGTACAGCAATAGCTTTTACACATCGCGAAATATTCTGAAAAACATCAAATTTGCACCGATTTTACCCTATTGTTCCTATGGGAGCTATAGGATATAGACGTCCGATCGTCACGCGCTTTTACCCTGATCAAGGTACGCATAAAAAAATAAGATTTGGAAAGATTTGTCAATAGATTTTACACTGCGGGAAATATCCTAAAAATCATTAAATTTTAACCGATTTTACCCTATTGTTCCTATGGGAGCTATAGGATATAGACGTCCGATCGCCACGCGCTTTTACCCTGATCAAGGTATGCATAAAAAAATACGATTTGTAAAGATTAATGTCAATAGCTTTTACACTGCGCGAAATATCATAAATTCTTGCAAGATATATCCAATTGTTCCTATGGGAGCTATAGGATATAGACGTCCGATCGGGGCGATTTTCAAACTTGATCTGCGTACACATGTTTTAGGACGATTGTGAAAGTTTCAGATCGCTAGCTTTTAAACTGAGCTCGCAAACGGTATTGAAACAGACGGACAGACGGACATGGCTATATCGACTCCCCTATTGATCCTGATCAAGAATATATATACTTTATGGGGTCGGAAACGTCTCCTTCACTGCGTTACAAACTTCTGACCAAAATTATAATACCCTCTGCAAGGGTATAAAAACGCGATTTGGGATAAAACCCAAATCCAACTTTAATTAAACGTCCATAATAGTTTATTTGAATTAATAATTTTAGATATAATGTAAATTTCATTCAAGCATTTGTCAACTTCGAAGTGGGTAGCAACAATTTGTGTTCAGGGCTTAGTCGATGGACTTCATCTTGCAGAGGTGGTTCACCGGTATCATCTTGACATCGTCATTTATTTTGCAGACGAGGACGTCGCCCTCCTGCTTGGACAGCACCCTGCCCACGGACTCACGCTCCTCACCGTAGATGACCTTGAATTCATCGCCACTGTTTGGTGGCACTGGCGCCAAGTGCTCGCTGACAATGGACACACTGCGATCCTCCTGCCGCAAGAATACAGAGCACACGCCGTTGGAAACGGTCCGGATGATGCCCGTTTGCCCAACGAGATCAGTGTCGTCGTGAGAGTGAATGCGAACTTCAATGTCTGTGGTGCACCAGTCGCCCATCGAAGAGTCCAAACTGGCTCCAGGTGTCTGAGGATTATACGGGGACTGCGGTATGCCACCGGGAGTATTCGGCGAATAGGTCGATGGCGACGGAGTGTTCATGTAGCCAACAGGATAGGGCGACGGAGCAGGGCTGGGACTGGGATTGAAGGGACTGTAGCTCCTATCAGATCCGTATAGAGTGCCAGGCGTTTGAGGGGCAAACTGGGAAGTCATCTGATAGCCAGGAGTACCTAGAAGATAAGACAGGATTAGAAACCGTACAAAATCATATAAAAAAAGGCATTTACTTGGATTGTAGCCAGGGCTTGGGCTGGGCTCCTCAAGGGAATAATCGAAATCGTTGTTCCTGGCCGGGGTTGTGTTTGCGGTAGGATCCCAAGCTCCATGGCGAGGCGTCATGCTGCCATCGTGCGATGGTGTCATTGTACCGTAAGGAGTACGCGTATCCGTATCCCAGTTGGGAGTTTGGCTTCCCACCAACGGAGTCTTGGATCCGGCAGCAGTGTAGCTGGGAGTCTGAGCTCCATAGCCGGGCGTGCGTGCTGGAGTGCGTCCATATGTGGAGACACTGCCCTCCTTGCCGGTCACTCCCACAATGGCAATATGATTCCGATCCACCGAAATGGTCTGACATGAGGTGTGCAGCTCCACGCGAGCTGTGCTCTCAGTTGCGTCCTTGACAATTCCCACAGCGCCCTTGTAGGGTCCGCCACTAATCTTGATTGTTTTTCCCAAGATCTCGCGGTCACGGGTCACACGGAACCCGCCTCTGCCACCGCGTGCTCCTCCACGAGCCCCGCGGCCACCGGACGGATGCATGGGCGATTGAATGCGCGGCGACATGAATCCTAAGCCACCCAGAGTGCCGGCATTGTTAACGTTGGTCTTACTGCCTCCAGCCAACTGCAAATGTCGGGTCTTGCACACAAAGATTCCACCGTTCTCCGTGTACATGCGGCAATGTAGAAAGGCCAGGCTGCGATACAAGTGCTTGATCTCACCGGAACGTCCCTGGAAGGAGTTGTTTTTAGAAATGATTCCCACTGGCGGGTATTAAAGAACTTACAGCATGGGGACCCTCCATCACCTTGACTATATCGCGTCGGCGAATCTGATTCTGGTCGGCATCCAGAGCAACTGTGTTGCGGTTTTCCCTTCGCTTGTGCAAAGCAGTTGGTTTGCACTCGATGCACTTGCCATTCATGCCCAAAACATGGAAGTTTTCACGCTCCAGTCGTACAATGACTCCAACATTTTGGGAGCTGTAATATCAAAATTCTTATGATGGTCTTGTTTGCAAGTGAAGAAACAAATAAACTCACTCTAGTTGTACCAAATCTCCCCATTGGAACTGGCCGAGACAATCAACGCCTGTTGCCACATCTGAACAGAGTTGCAAGTCCCTTGGCAGCACTTCCAACTCGTGATTGGTCAAATCGGAGACAAGAACTACTCTTGACGGCTCCACGCGAATGATGAGACCAGTTTCGCCTTCATAACGACCGGCCAACACTCTAGCATGATCTCCTGTCTTGAAGTACTTGCGCAACTCACTGGCTTTAAAAATCAAAGGATCCTGCAGAATTTACTTGTTAATTATCTAGAAGGATTTGTTATTTTTCATTAAAAACCTTAAGATCTTGATGTTTGGGCATGACAGTAATCATGGTGCCGTCAATGGCCACAATCTTGGCCTGCAAGTTCTCCAAATCTCCCACGCAAACTTCAACATTGTCACCCATTGAGAATGAGTGAACCGAAGTCGGATCGTCCTTGACGGTACCCATAATTTCCAAGTTGACCTCTGCATTAAGAAATACTGGAGTTAATATTAATCCTTGGAGGTATTGATAACCCTTTCTTACCCTCTGGAGATTCTTCAAAGCGTTCTAGCTCGGCTAGAGTGGGCTTTACACCGTCTGACAATATGGCCGACATTGTGAAGTTTTTATAGAGGAAACCCTTCCGCGAATATCGGTTTCCCTCGAAGAGAAGGAAATCACCATCAGAGTGAACTTCTCCTCCGATGGCCCTAAAGAAAAATTTGGTTATATATTGCTAAACTGATTTAGGTGGAAATTCTTACCGTACTGCTTCTGGATCAAATGGCTTTGCTGCAGGACGGCGTTTTTTCTTGCGCTTGCTATCGTCACTTTCCTAGAAGATTTTACATGCTTAGCTCTGATTGTTCTTTGTTAATTTTGGAATAATCGCCTTACCGTTGCTGTCGTCCTCAAAGCGCCTCGCATACGTGTGTAGTCTATACGTGGAAGCAGCTTCAGATGCACTTGGTTTTGGGCCAGATCCACGTAGTCCACCTGTGCAATGTCGTCCTTGTAAAGACCGCGTTTTAGGCGCACCCATTGCTTGACCTTGAGGCCAACCTGCTCCTTGACCACCTTCAGCACATCAGTCATTTCCTTGATGGGTACCATTTCTTGCTTCCATTTGCCCATCCGAAGATTGCCCACATTGTCAATGCATGTTTTGACATGGGTCTGCTTGTAGGCCTCCAGATAAATGTATCCCTTGACGCCTTCAGGTGCAATAATAGATTTGATTTGGAGTGGATCATCTGTGTTCAAGTAGGTTAAGAACTTCCTCATCAAAAGAAGAGCTGTGGCCTTCTCTTCTCCTATCCGACATTTAACCATCCATAAATTGGGATCCCTGAGAGTACGTGGAGTAAAATAATTGTTCTTGCGATCGGGTTTAGAAACTCACTTGATGCCAGGCAAAAGAGTTTGCTGTGTAATTTCGTCTGACATTTCTTCGCCGCCATCACCAAAGTGGCGCTTTGCTATCGACTCGTCAGCGTATTTCTTTCGAAGGTACTCTTCGATCTCGTCCTCCTTTTGGGTGCTGAAGTATAGAAAAATATATATATAAAAAATGCCTAACTTTAAATTAAAGATTTAACTTACTCCCAGAGGTTTGTGCCGCGTCGTCGGATTTCAATATCCCTGGCTGTGGGGCCCAATTCATCAATCTCGTTGCCTACAATGCCAATCTCATTGGCACCTTCCTCCCACTCATCATCCTCATCGACCTTTAATAGGAGATTACAAATATAAAAAGAAGACTAAGTGTTGGCGCCAAAAGCTCTTACTTCATCGTCAACTTCGGCCTCATCGATGATGAAGCCTCCAAAGCGTTCCTTTTTCTTCTTTTTCCTTGGGTGATCGTCGTTCTCCTCATCATCGTACTCTTCGGAATCAATGTCCTCGCCTGGCGGCTCCTCCTCCTCCTCGCCGGATTCATCGCTCTTGGCACGATTGTCACGTCTCTGCGGGGACTCCGAGCCGGATCTGGAGTGACCCGATTGCGATCGGGATCTGGACCTGGAAACTGACCTTGATCCTCTAGAACCGGACCTAGATCGGGACCTTGACTTGGATCTGGCACTGCGTTGGGATTTGTTCGAAATAGATCCATCTTCGGAGCCGCTATCCGACATATTACTGACTTCCGAGTCCGACATTCTGGTCTATGTAAATCTGTAAAAGTAAAAATAATATTATCATCAATATTGCTTAAATATGTTGGGTATGAATAAGGAAGTAGAGACTTCTTCTTTTGCGTCTGATCCTTCGGACGGACTGGTATATCACGGATTTTCTTCACTGTTGCATTTACAAATATATTGTCATTGCACCGTCGAGAACTAAACGAATACCTGGCATTACCAATCAAACCTTTTAAAACCACGAAATCTGTAAACGTGTGCGAGTGCGATGAAGCACAAAGTGGTTTATGTAGTCTAACCGATTAGTTAGATCGGGAAATAAGTTGTATTCATTGAATACTCGCTGCGGAGACAAAATAAACTCAATACGTACTATTTTCCCTTCGTTTAGTTAAGTATTTGGTAGGAAAACTCTGCAAAAGCAGACTAAATTTTCAATTCTTTACAACGCTAGAGATGGCAGACACGTAACAACGCGGTTATCGATTGGTCTTGGATAGAAAATACCAATAATACCAAAAGGTAAACTTTTCGTTGGTTCATCTAAGCTAGTTCCGAGGGGTAACGGTTTCCAAAGTAGGAACAACCAGACCAGCGAACTAACATATATTCAGCTTCAAGACTCGGTCACACTGGCTACTGCGGAGAAATAAGTAATCATATTTTTAAAAATAACCATATCTGGTTGAATAAAGCCAGCAGACATCCGAATTCTTAAGCTTGAATCGGCGATGTCGCGAAGAAGTGAAAGGACGGAATGTTTTTCGCTGTAATTCGCTTAATAACCACATACATCTGGCGCAGACTGTATGTATAAACAGATGCATATAGGGATGAGTGAATGTGTGTGCGAACTACCACATACTGCATTTCCATAAACCGAGAGTTTGGCAATAACGAATATCTCGCTTTCCCGACCAGATTAAAGAATTCGGTTATATAGCTCGCCGATCGACGGCCTGTATCGCTGGCGTCGGAAGAGAGTGGGTGAGAGTGGTGTTTGTCAGGGCAGTAAGGTGTGGTTACACAAAAACAAAAACCTAACGGGGTGGGAAAGTCTCGCCTCTTCTCTCTTCCACCTGTCGAGACTGGCAGGATTTCTGTGGGCTAGGGTATTGTGTCATTCAATCGATATCCGTAACCATATGCTTCTGGTATCTCAGGTTGAAGCGTTTATCTGGAATCGCCCCACTGTGCGGTAACTGTGGACCATGAACACCGCGGGAGCCAGCAGTCAACCGCCGCCCACTAAAAATGAGTGTGAGTTTTGGGTTTGCCTTCGCTCGGATCATCTTACCACAAAATATACAACAACATGTCTTTTTCAGTACTCCCCGAGGAGTACCTCATCCACGTGCATATGCCGAACAAGAGCTTCAAGGCGGTTAAGTTTAATCTCAAGGAGACCGTTTTCCATGTCATCCGGCGAACCGTGGAGGATCTGGGAACGGATGGACGGACGCCCAGCATCCAGCGATATGCCTGCCGCATGCTAAACATGATCACCAAAGAGGTGATCTGGTTGGCTAGGAGCACCTCGATGCAGAAGGTTCTTACGCACATACTGACGCCCGGCTGTTCCAACGTAGACTGCCCCAACAACCAGGCTGAACTGGATGAGGGTTTGCTGGAGCACGGCCGAAGAATCACTGACAACAGGGTGTGGCGAGTGGAACTAAGGGTGCGCTACGTGCCGAACAGTATTCAGGAACTCTTCGACGAGGACAAGGCCACTTGCTTCCACTATTTTAATCAGGTATGTTACGCCCACAAACAAAAATACTGTACAAATTAACTAGATTTTTTTGAGAAATACACTGCAGCGTTAAAAATTTGACTAATAATCAAAATTTTTAATATTTTCTCTTGGATTGAAACTTATTGTTGTAGATATAATGACCCAAACGAAACGTTTTGCTATTTTTAATTAACGTTTTTCCGATTTTTTTAATATTTTAGGTGAAGGAAGACTTTATCCAAGCCAATGTCAGTTCTATCGACACTGAATTGGCAGTACAGCTGTGCTGTTTGGGAATCCGTCATTATTTCAAGAACATCACTGTAAAGGCTCCTGATAAGAAGCAGCACATTGACTATATTGAAAAGGAAATCGGATTTAAAAGTTTTATTCCCCAATCTGTGATAGCCACATCAAAGCCAAAGAATCTTAAGAAAATGATCCAAGTCGGTTACAAAAAGGTCTACAATTACAACGACATTGAATACCTGACACGGTGAGCATTGTGAATGTCCAAACTTGCATTCCCAGATTGTATTTTGTTTCTTATTACAGGTTCTTCGATCTTTTGAAAAGTATTTATTCAACAAACTCTGAGCAGTTCTCGATTACCTTGAGCTCGGCATGGAATATCTCTGGAATTCTACACGTCGGTCCTCCCATTGGTAGTTATTTCACAGAAAAGCAACATTATACCTTACCATAACACTTTATGATTTTTAGGAATCTCATACCAAACTCATCGTCAGGACAGCTTAAAGAACGTAGCTCAGTTTAAAGACGTCATTTCTATAAAAACCTGCACTTTACCAAAGGAAAAGCTGCCCAAGTCTAGCGAAAATGCTACAGAATCCGAATTACAAAACTTTAATTGCAATTGCCAGAAGATCAAGACTCAGATAAAAATATCAGCATCAAACAATGTAGAGGATTTGGTTATAACGTGCAATGGAATTAATGTGAGTTCGTAATATATAATAATTATTTAATAATTAATGAACATTTTTTTAAATTTTAGACTGCGGAGAGTATTGCTGATCTTATTGACGGTTACTGTAGGCTGTTATCAAAAGACCTAGAGTTCACGATTTGGCAGCGAGAGACAATAGCATCGAGTGATGATAGTGGAAAAGCAATGCCGAATGATGCTACGCTGGAGTCAAACAAATCGACTTCGAGTCTGGGAAAGCCGATGCTGACGGATGATTACGCCGAGATTGGTTTATTGGAGGGCGAGGGTGATTACTCTACACCTACCGTTCGTAATTATGAGTTGGACCGATCACACATTACTCCGAGTGCTAAAATTGGAGTGGGCCAGTTCGGGGATGTTTATGTTGGCACATATACTCTACCGAAATTGGGGAAGGGAAAGAGCTCCCTAAGAAATGGGCAAGATAGCAATAGCGACCAAAGAAACGCCGATGCCAGGCCAGATGTAATTCAAGTGGCGATAAAGACATGTAAAGCTAATGATGATCCCGAAAAAACAGACAACTTTTTGGCCGAAGCTAGTACGTCATATATTCTTCTCAGTTTTTTTCACAGTTCTTATAATCTTTTGGTCTTTTCAGTTATTATGCAGAAATTTGATCATCCCCATATTATTCGATTAATTGGAATTTGTAGCGTTATCCCCATTTGGATAGTTATGGAATTGGCCAAACTTGGTGAACTGCGGGCATATTTGAAGACAAACAGCGACAGGTAATACTAAAGCATAATGAATTAATTTGTTTCATGTAACTTAATTATCGCTCTCATTATTTAGATTAAGTCATGGTACCCTATTGAAGTATTGTTACCAGCTATCGACTGCTCTTAGCTATTTGGAATCTAAAAAGTTCGTACACCGAGATATAGCTGCGCGTAATGTACTTGTCAGCTCCCCAACGTGTGTTAAAGTAAATTACAAAATAATTTGTATTGATAAAGTTATTTTAAAGTACCTTTGCCAATTTTTCAGTTGGCTGACTTTGGATTATCACGCTGGGTTTCCGATCAATCGTATTATCATTCAACACCCACAGGTTATATTACCTCCTTTATTTTCTAAACATTTAAAAAAACTTGTTTCCTCTTAGTCGCCCTACCGATTAAATGGATGTCCCCTGAGTCGATAAACTTTAGAAGATTTACCACAGCGAGTGATGTATGGATGTTCGGTTTGTAAAGCAGACATTGTTTAGAATTTATCATGACTGATTGTATCACTTCCATAGGTGTCTGCATCTGGGAAATACTCATGCTTGGCGTGAAGCCATTCCAAGGTGTTAAGAACAGCGATGTAATCTTAAAGCTGGAAAACGGGGAGCGCCTGCCACTGCCTCCAAACTGCCCGCCACGACTTTATTCGCTGATGTCTCAGTGCTGGGCTTATGAACCTCTAAAACGACCAAATTTTAAGCGGATCAAGGAAACCCTCCAGTGAGTTTGCCAATCAAGCCAAAAAAGACCTAATTCTTAATATATAAACATATTTTTTGTTCTCTAGTGAAATACTGATTGAAGACAGCATAAATTCATCGGAGACTCTAAAGCGGGAGAAACGAAAAGTTGCATCCATGTCCTGGGTGGGCAGTGACGAGATTGACATTCCGCCATCGAAACCTTCAAGGGCGATGCATGATCCTGGTATTTCAATGACACAACATTAATTTCTTCGAAATCCTTAATGCTCTTTTTTATTGCAGACATTACAGGCATGATGCCTGAAACGACGGCGCTACCTCAGACTTATATAATTGCACAAAATCCCGCGGTGCTGGCCAAGCTAATGATGGAGAACCAAAAACGAGGCATCAACCCAGCCGCATACACCACACCAGCTTCGGTATTTAATACTCTAGCCGTAGGATTAGATGACAGCAAATCGAATGTCTCACTTAAGACTACTAAGCTTCCAGCAGCAGATTTGTTAAAACTTGACCCGATCGCAGAATCCGAAAGGCTAAAATCCCAATTTTCCACTAACAGCAGTGCTAGTCAAATTGCCAACCCTATAACCGCTTTAGCTAACCCCCTTGAATCCCTTAATCCTCATCAGCCAGGATTGTACACGGGCAGTTTGCCATCAAAGAGTAGTTTCGTCGTTTGTACACCCCAAACAGAGGACCAAATGCAAGGCGAAAACGTTTCTAACCCAACTGTGCCAAAGGTGGCCGGATATAGCCTATATGGTAGTCTGGAGAGGCATCAAGCGCCACCAGCAAAGGCCATGCATTCGAAAGGTGGCAGCTTAGAACGCCATCAATCATTGATGTCAGCTCAAAATTTAGTTTTCTACAATACGAAACCGCCACATTGCACGAATACAGCAGAGCGTTCGAGGAGCATGGAGCGAAACACCTACTTCCATGCCTATCGCCAGCAGATGAAAACCTCTATTGAATGCGAAGCTCTTCCCGAAGAAATCTACGATTTTGGGGGTGCTGGACTCAAGACTTGTGTATCCGCCAAGCAGCCACCGAAATTTAGTCCAATGATTAATATACGCCCAATGGAATTTGGCCAAATACAAACCGCTGATTGCATGGGAATACAGGCGATTGTACCAAGTGGCCCTGCAAGCGATTCCTTTGGAATTATATCCCCCCACAACTTGGACCTGAGAAATCAGAGGGAATGGGAGCGACAGTGGGTGGTTTCAGGGCCACAAAGTATGACAGTCGGACCTAATATTTCCGATGGAGCTGCTTGCATGGCTACCTTGCAAGCCGAGGCCATGGGAAATCAGGTTGGCCTAATATTGGACACGTTGGCAGCCAATCGTTTGCCTTTCGTTTTAATTTCCCTTCGTTTATTTCCTCTTATGTTGGTTTTAATAATATTTAATAGACTTTATCAGTTAGCTTTGATTTTTTACGTTTTTATTAATTTATTTTAAGACTTTTTCAAAAAGTGATAGTAATATATTTTGTAATTTTCAGGCCTTTCACAATGTTTTGGGCGAAAAGCTACGACAACAGCAAAAGGAAAGCAACAGCGATAGCGAATGGTTAATTCAAGAAGAATTACTGGTTAGTAATAATAACTTTTGAGTAAGAAGCATGTGTAGCCATTTTTCTTTCAGAGGCAGAGATCCAGCTCCATACCCCAAGGATCTATCAACGATTATCAGCCACAAATGTTTAAGCTTGATTTCATGTCAGCTGGACCATCTAGTTTACCAGACTGTTCGAACTCTAACTCTCGACCCATGACACCAAATGCGAATCTCGTTTCGCTAAAGTCGAACAATTCCTCGGCGGATCACTTGTCTGGCTTGACATCTGGTGAAGATCAGATGAGTTCGAATTCACGAAACTTTGGCGGTTCGGTTTTAAGTCGGCCACTGAACCGAGCAGATGACGAAGTCTATTGCGCCACCACACTGGTGGTCAAATCAATAATGGTGCTGTCACAAGGCGTGGAGAAAGCCAATACCGAAGGTTATTTGGAACTGGTTAAAAATGTGGGTGTCAAGCTGAGAAACCTGCTCACATCGGTTGACAAAATATCCGTGACTTTCCCAGCACAGGCCCTTAAGTAAGCACTCCCGTTTTAGTTTAAGTGGTTTAGTTTTTAATTAAGTGGTTTTGCTTTTTATAGGGAAGTGCAAATGGCACATCAAGTACTTTCCAAAGACATGCATGAACTGGTCTCAGCAATGCGATTGGCCCAGCAATATAGCGATACAACTCTGGATTGTGAATATCGCAGGTGAGTGTTAATAAATGTAAGCCATTCCGAATTCCAAGAATACTAACTCTCATTAATATTGAAGGAGTATGCTATCTGCAGCCCACGTACTGGCTATGGACGCCAAGAACCTGTTTGATGTCGTCGATTCAATTCGGCAACGTTATCAACACCTATTCCCACCACAAGCCACAAAAGAAACGAGTAGTTCGTCAAGTATTGAGTCAACTTCGGGGTCCATTGTCACAGAGCCGATTAATGAGCTTGGCGGTTATTTAAAACCAAGTTCTTCTGGAGATTTGTTGCAGAACACAGGAATATACGATAATGATTTGCAACATAGCTTCAGCTCGCAGTTGCAGTTGCAAAATCCATCCTCCAGCATTGACTTAAGTGGTGGGGGCAGCCTGCAGAGAGGGATGAGCTTAGCCCTGGATACCACTAGATCAACTAATGAACCCTTACGCATTGTCGAGGAGACTCTCGGAAGCCCGGGTGAACATATGTATTGTAACACGTCCGCCTTGCATGGCCACGCGTAATTCTAGAAGACTATGTTTCTGCGCAGCTAGATATTAACTTAATGACCTAACTACTGTACATACTTTAAATATATATATCAAAATATTTATATCAATCGAACAATTCAGCGAATTATTCGCTTATCTACGTACGGAATATACATAGCTTTGAACATACTTACTCACTAAAGTTTGACGAGACTCCAACTCGGCCGGCCGCATTCTCACATCGTCATGTAGTCAAAATAATTTAAGAAACAAAGACACGTTTTTGAATGAAGATGGCTAGTAATAATATTTATAGATAATCTGCCCCTAATACAACTAAAAATTAATTTCATCATAATTTTGGGTGTGTTTTAAGACATTTATATTGTGATTTATAGTTTACCATAATAAGCTTTACTCAAAGCAAATTATTTTGGTGCAAGGTTCAATCACAAAAAAATAAAAAGAATTACTAAACAAAACAAAAGTGGACTTTATTTTTTGGATTGGATAATCATGGACCATTCCAATAACCTATTAGAATTACTTTATTTAACCCAAAAGCTAAGAACTTCTAAGAAAAGGTTGGATATGGAATTTTTTAATAAGTTAACATTGGCTCAAGTTATACATTTCATTTTAAGTAAATTAGAAATCTGGGTCAACAAGTCAATAAATTCGGTGAACATCAGCTATCGACAATCAAATACAATTATGTGATTATATAGTTGAATATAAACTTCTTTGGAAGTGTAGTTTGTTTTGTACTTTATAAAGAAACATATTGGAGATTACCATTAAGAGATTTCTTGTAAATATTTGTTCGAGTTGATTTGCTAACTTATATATAATATTGTCCTTTAAGAATATATTGTGCGTTCAATCCATTCTTCCAATGTAAACGTAGCCGTTTCGTTTTTCTCAGTGTCTCGCTCTTTGAATATGTCTGCAAAAAATATAAAAATTAAAATTTGAATTTAATTTCTTAAAAGACCCATTGTTACCAATATATGTTTTTATTTTAACTGCACACATGATGAAATCATCAAAGGCTATTTTGCCATCTCGAGAGCCATATCGGTGACCCAGAACATTGAGAACGCGATTGTTAAGATGATATCCAGCAGAGTTAAGTGCCTCCCGAAGCTGGAATCCTGACACTCTGCCCGTGTTCTCCACATCGTAAACCTTAAAAATGGCCTTCCATTTAGCGATTTCCGAGAGCAAAGTCTCAAACTCTTCGAATCCCAGCTTGCCAGACTTATCAGCATCCAACATGGCCACCATGGAGCGGCAAACATCTTTGGAAAAGCCATGGGTCTCGTCCACAATAGCTGCAAACAATATAAGGCGATTATATCAATTTGGTTCTATTTTTGCAAGGAGAGATTGTATTTTACCATTCGCTGTTACAGGACCACCATCAGATGGGTTGTCCCCAATTAGCCTCTTATTCGACTGATCACTCATTCCCAACTGTTCCTCGAATGGCGTTCCCTTCAAAAATGGCCCACAAATCAAGGACAAAAGCCCACAGGCACCGGCCCCATCTTCTCCAGGACCCGCAGCCTGGGTTTCAAATGCGTTAGTATTGGAGAAACGGTTGAAAACAACAGGTTTGGGTAAATCTAAAAAGGTAGAATTCTTTGAAATATAATCCGGAGGAAGATATTTTCTTTTTCTTTGTACCGTCTCTCATCGAATGGTCCAAAATGCGTTTCAACTCCATCCAATCAACTTCCATGTCCTTGCCGGCAATGCTGTCGAACAAACGCCGCAAGCTCTCCTTCTGAGGATCCAAGGGCTTGGGTGTTGGAAATCCTGGTGATATCTTTAAAGCCAAATATTTAATTAAACGTTCCTGTCTTCTATAGTTTACTTACCGTGTCGCCTTTGCCGCCATAACCCACATGATCATCATTTTCTCTAAATGGGAGTGAAAAGCGAAATGATTGATATTGAAATGACTGTAAAACAAAACCGTTCATAGAGGAACAATATACAATACTGTGTACAAGTACAAGGATTTATAATGGCTTAATGAGTATTTAAAGCAGAGTTTCAAGATGAACTAAATTTTATGAGTCCATTTGTAAAGTATAATTCGTTGTTGTGGGAGTTTCATTTATTTTTACTTTAATAAATATATTGTTACATGAAAAGAATACAGTTTAAGCAAGGATTAAAAATAGACCGCTAAAAATATCTGAGTTTTTACCGCCTTTTAAACCCTGATAAAACGTGAAATAAAAATAGGACTTTATACTGAGCAGACTATTTTAAAATTTATCTAATACTTTCCATTTCAGGTTTAGTTATTTAAAAATAATACAGACAGACATAACGTATAGCCCTATTTAAGACAAATATTTCGAACGTTTCAAGAATACTGCTCGCGATTATTTCAACTATGCATATATTAAAAAAGAAAGGACAAAACAAATAAAATAACCATCATGCAATTCTGTAATTTAACTGTCGGGAATGTGTAGAGGGTAATAGTCAAACAATCAAATCTAGTTTAACATTGACTAGCACTAAAGATATAAATAGTTTGTAGTCACATACCACATATTGCACTTTAGAAGCTTTAAGTTATTGAAACCCCGGATTATTTCTAATATACAAACTTATTATCATTGTCTACATGTACGCACTCCATGTTATTTTGAGTTTCTGAGAACACTCGAATGATGAATTCTCCCTCCTCGTTCGGATCGAAGGTTGAAGGCACAATCAGGTAGTGACCAGGAGGTAATTTAAAGCGAGCGCATACCTAAAAAGAGCCTCATTTAGACAATAGAACCATTTTTAGAGCCACTTAAATACATACTTCGCGTGTGTTGATGAAGTGCGGCGATCGGCCCACCGATGACTTGTACCTGAAGAAGTTCAGACCCTGCGGGCGGTTCTCCAGTTCGCGATCATTAAGACTATAGATAGCAAAACCAATGGTCAGACATTCCATTCCCATGTTTCGCTTAGATCTGCGATTCTTCTGCATCAAGGCCACAATAACGGTGCACTGTCCCTCTTCGTCCTCCTCGTCGGGATCCACCAGGCTGATAATGTACTGGGGATTGTGCCAGAAAGTATCTAGGAAATTGCGGCAACCTCCAGCTGTTACACCGGGAGTCCACTCCCCCTCGTACATGGACATCTCCCACTTTCGTTTGCCACTCTGCTGCTGATCTTCGGTCAGCGAGTCTGGCGACAAATTGCAAATCTGGAAAAAATCATTGTTTATCAAATTTTTTTTAATATAAGTAACCAATGTTTTACCTCCACGCGGTCAAAGTGATTAAGGAAATCTTGGAAGGACATCCAGAACTCTCCATCTCTGTCGAAAGTGAGTCCTATCTCCGCTTTCTGCTCTTCAGGTATGTATCGCCACTCAGGGGAGCTATCACTCCAAGGTCCATTCCACTCAGCTTCATTGCCCCAAGGATTGCGCATTCGTATCATGGGAATCTTGCCCTGACGATTTGGCGTTACTATGTCAATAAGGCAAACCTGTGGAAATCAAATTTATAATTATCTGGTTTAGTTAATATGGGGGTATTCCGAACCTTGGTAATAGAGTAAGCGTGACCCCGAATTAAACCCTGTGGAGTTTCCGCCTCTGTGACATTTGGATCCGGCTCAATAGAGCAACCCATCATCGAGTTGCGTTCAGCAGCTTTTTGTAGAATGGTAAAGAGATTGCCGGGGGCTTCCTTCAAATCGTACCACTCGCTGACGCCACCCGTGAAGTCTTCCATGGCCTCGCAAGTACTGCCTCCTTTCAGAGCCTCGTAGGATCCATGAAGTCTGGAAATTATAGGATATTAGTAAGCCGCAAAATAAGCTGAAGCTATAGCTTTACTTGGCATAAGCCTTTTCCAGCAGAGCGCTCCAGAACTCGTTTTTCTCCGTGGAGTGCATGTACATCAGCTCGCCATTATAGGTGGGCAAGCGGTCATCAATAATCACATCCACCCATTTGCCTTTTTAAATGTACAAAAAGGTTAATTTCTTAGGACTTTTATATATCCATATTAATAATTACCATATTGCCAAAATCGGAAGTGGAATATGCCAGCGTAATTCTCCTCGAAGCTTTGCTCTGCTGGGATTACGCGGAAGAAGAGATTTGCTTCCTGTGTCAAATTAGCGGTGGCAGCCAATAGCCAGCAATCTCCAAGTTCTCCCTGTTGGACATCGAACCTTGAATAGCCCTCCACAAAGAACTGGGGATTCTCAGCGATTTCCTTTAAAGAAAACAAGCTATTATATTATATCATCACCATTAACGTGTTATAGCAAACTTACATGAGGTCTCAGCCATTCGATGTGACGATCTGGACGTCGAGAAAACTGAAGGGACTCGTTTGAAGCCGGAAACAGTGGATCCTCGAAGAGGGAACCGCTGGCTAGGCAGCTGTTTAAAATCGTCTCATAGTCCTGTACCTCGGAATAAGGTCCCAGGTTCGAGCTCTTTTCTCCTAGCTACAAAAAAACCTTTTATTAATTATTTAATCTTAAAAAAATATGTGTATATTATGTTTCGGTAAGAGTAGTCATTAGCTGTATGTACAGACTTAATGTGTGTAATGAAATTTTATATAAACGAGGATGCTCTGTACACTTTACATGCGAACAAAAAACAACACAAGGACAACACAAGGACAACACAGTACGACACTTTGGCAGCACATTATCCTTCGGACGGAATTGTGTCAATGCCATAAGGATGACTGAACGAAGTACTTACGTTCCCATAGTACAACGCTTGGGATTGCAATGGTTGAGATTGCAATGATTGCTAGTGTTTGATTGGAATGTAGTTGTTAACATGCATATGAATTTCAATGGATTGTTTATGTTTGTATAGTTAGCCCTTGCATATAGTCTATTTTGATGATAACCTCGCAGCTCAACTTACCACTCTCATGTTCTTGATGCTGGGCAAAACCCTCTTAGTGTCGGCCTCCTTCTTGATGAAGATTTCGTTGATCACTGATCCAACCACATCCTTAGCCGCCCCCATCGCAGCTTCTCCGGCTGCATTTAGGAACTCTTGTCCTGCTTGCCTCAAGAATCCCCTCAAGTCATCCATCGTTTAGGTATCTGAAATTAAAGTTTTACGTCAAAAACAAAGCAGGTTGCCGCCTAAGATTAAAAACCCATTTATATATATTTATGTCCAAATGTCTGATATCTAGTTAGCAAAGTCCAATATTTATATCGCCCATATTTACTTATTTGCCTCGCGGTGGAATTAAAAGCACACCCAGAGGGCATAAATATGGTTTAACGAGTAGTTCAGAAGCGTTAATATTCCCAACGTGACTGGGACTCGAGTTTAATTAA